TTAAATGAGTAGCATATGTAGTGTGCTTAGCATATGCAGTACATGTACAGTACAAAGCTTTTCCAAAATAAGTATAGTTGGTTTTATTAAGAAAAATAATAGTAGGTGCTATATAGGAGAAACTTTAGCAGAGAAATATGTAAAACAATAAATGGTCAATAATAACACATTGATAATGTACTATTTTCAAAGGTGAGACTTTGAGAGCCCTGGTAGGGGAGCAATGTGAGCTAGACTACAGGCTCCATAAATCATACAAAAGAGGGATCACCACCAGCCTTATTTCTAGATTTCAACATCCATATATGGTGTACTTGCAAATGAGAATATTGATCCCTTATAATGTTCCATATGTATTTACCCACGTGAGTCTCTCCAGAATGTATTTACTGAGTATCTGTTGACTCTCAGGCTTTAACCATATGTTAGTGAACAGAGGAGGTAGAAAGTCCTACTCTAAAAGAGTTTGTGGGGCAAATACTAAGTGTACATAGTTAGACTATGTAGTGTGCGTGTATATATATATATATATTGTGTTAAATAATTATGAGACTTGAGAAAAGGAAGCAAAAAAACGTAATAGAAAGTCTCAAAGGACTTAGTGACATTTCAGTGAGGGAGCAGACTTAGTTGCTATGGAGATGAAATATTTTCTAGGTCTGGGGGAAACAAGTGCAAAATCCTAAGGTGGGATTGTGCAAGGTGAGCACTATGGCTTGAGCAAAAGTGAGCTAAACAAGGAGGAGTAGATGCCAGGGAGATTAACGGACCTTACAGGTAATGGTAAGGACTTCCGCTTTTTTATTAACTTTAAGGGAGATAGAAAATCACTAGAAGTTTGAAGCAAAAGAATGATGTCATCTGACCTACATTTAAGCATATTGTTTCTGTACTGTTGAGTGTGAATGAGGACAGGTAGAAGGGTCATGTAAGGCGTGATGGCAAGGTGTACTAGGGCAGAAGAGAAACTATGGTGAATTTTGACTATATCAGAGGTAGACTAGATTTCTGAATGTCATACAAAACATGCAGAACTGCTTTGATATTGAAATCCTTTGTACCGTAGTGTGATCATTCTTAGAGGCTATAGCTACACACAATGATACACAGGTTGTGTTTAAAAGCCAATTAGTGTATTTGTCACATGCTGATCATTTCTATACTGTATACAGGTTTTCTGAAACCAAAGAGTGTTTACTAGGAATTATTAAAATCATCTATGTTTTAGAAATGTATCTTTTTTATTGTAATTTTTAGTTCATACTATTGTACTTTTTTGAGTGTGTGTATGTGTGTGTGTGTGTTGGACATGGAACCCAGAGCCTTGTGCATGCTATATGCAAGTGCTCTAGTACTGAGCTATGTACCTTACTCTAAGGAAGAATGTTGTAACATGCTGTCTTAGGGTTTCTGTTGCTATGAAGAGACACCATGACCACAGCAACTCTTATATAAAGGAAAACATTTAATTGAGGTGGCAGCTTATCATTGTCAGAGGTTCAGTCCATTATCATCATGGTGAGGCATAGCTGCATGTAAGCAGACATGGTGCTGGAGAGGTAGATAGCTGAGAGTTCTATGTCTTGTAGGCAACAGGAAGCGAACTGAGACACTGGGTGTGACTTAAGCATATATGAAACCTCAAAGCCCACTCCCACAGTGACACACTTCCTCCAACAAGGCCAAACCCACTCCAACAAAGCCACCCCTCCTAATAGTGCCACTCCTCTTGGGGTCATTTTCTTTAAAACCACCACACATGTCAACCTCTTATGTGACAATTGACTTTGCTAGTTGAGCATACAGGATCTAAAGTGGGAGTTCCAGACAACTTTATTTTTACTGTTTTTCTACTGCCATGAACATGAAAATGATTTGTAGTGTGAACAGAGAGGAACAGATCAATGATCACCTTGAGCGCTTCATAATCTTTTTTTCGTCATGGCATTAATTTGATAATTCAGGAATGTTTCTTGAGCTGACTGCTATTTCTCTAAAGCATGCTCCATTCCAGAAAAGTTTTTAGGCAGTACATGAAACTCTTTTAAGGTGTGTGTACCACACGGAAGAGGTAGAAAGGCAAATAAAAATCTTATGTCTCTGAAGAAAATTTAGAAGTAGTTCATCTTCTAGTGTTTTGGTGTCTATCCTTTTAATATATGGCATAGAAATTTATTTTATATATATATGCACGTGTATATACATAAATAATTACTTATGTTTCATATCATATGGTGAGCTTGAGCTTTTCTTTATCAAACAATATTCTTAACATTTTTCCAGTCACATGAGTAATTCTTTTTTGGTTTATTTTTTATTCATTTTCTCTTTAAGAATATTTAAGTCACTTCTAGTCATTTACTACTGAAAACCATATTGTATTGAATATTATGACTTACCTTTTCTGAGATTTTTTTCAATTGAGGGAAATTCTGTGTATAGTTTCAAAGTTATAAACTTAAAGCTAGAAGTTGAGCTATTTCTCTTTTTAATACTGAAGGAATTGTCAGACGTACTGGCTGTCACATTGTAGTGGTAGGTGATCAAGTGGCAGTCAGGAGATGGGGAGAATGGGTGCTTAAAGCAGAGGAACAGATGCATGGCTCATGCCTGCTGAACACTTAACTGGGCTCCAAACCCTGCAGTAAGCACTTTATATGCATGTTAATTATTTTGATCTTCACAAGGTAAGTACATTTATGAGACTCTCCATTGATGAGAGGACTGAAACACTGAAAGGCAAGTCTTTAAAGAGTTATACAGTTAGATGATAAATGAAGATTTAAAACCAGTAGTCTGGCTTCAGATTCCATATTGCCACTGCCTTCCTAACATCTCCAGTAAATGCTGATTGTTGGAGCATTGAGTGGGTGCTGTGCACCATCACTGCTAACCTCCTCTGTGGAGCTGCACAACCTACAGGTTGTTTTGAGTCCAGTATTCTAGGAATCTAGGAAGAAAATTGAGTGCATATTCTCACACATGACTGTATTAAGGCTTGGAGCAGCACTGTACAACAAGTCTGTTCATGCTTCTGAAGAGAAATTTTATTTTGATTCTTCGAGACAGGGTTTCTCTGTGCAGCCCTGGCTGTCCTGGAACTCACACTGTAGACCAGGCTGGTCTCAAACTCACAGAGATCTGCCTGCCTCTGAAGTGCTGGGACTAAAGGTGTGGTGTGTCACCGCTGCCTAACTAAGCATGTTTTTTTTTTTTTTTTTTTTTTTTTTTACAGTGGTTTTAGCACACCCTGCTAAATGAGTCGTTTGAGGAATTGTAGACCTGTGTGAAATCTTAGCATGGTGCCTGCCTGCATTTTGGACACTGGATGCATATTGTTGGGCATGTAGAAGTTAGGACAATTTAGCAGTTAGTTCCTAGCCTTCTACCTTATTGTTCAGGGGCTCTTGTTTCTGCTGCTGTATTGTGTACTTCCAGCTACCTGGCCTGGAAGCTTCTGGGGGATCCTCCTGTCCACACCTTCCGTCTTGTTGTGTGAATACTGAGACTACAGATGTGCACTAGCACATCAGGCTTTTACATGGGTTCCAGTTTGTTAGGCTTGCTTGTGAGGCTAGATTTTTTTATTGAACTATCTTCCTGACACATCCTCCATCATTTTATTTGATGATGTAACTTTATGACAGCTGCTGAGAAACCTTATGCACTAATTTTAATTATGTCATCATACTGTTGTAATGACAATCACATCTAGATACAAATATGCACATTTGATATTAAAAGTTATTTAAAAAATTAGAGCTTGAATTTACACCTACTTTTTATCTTTGGAAATTCTCCTTTGAACTGTTCAAAATTCTGTACACATGTTATGGCCTGCATGTTAGGACACTGTGTTGTTAACTTCCAGTTACTATAACAAAATACCTCAAATAATTCACTTACAAAAAGGAAAGTTTATCTTGACTTCTGGTTCTAGAGATTTCAGTGTGCAATCTGCTTCTGGGCCTGTGGTGAAGTAGCATGTTGTTCTGGGAGTGTGTGACAAAATGAAACCATCCACCTGATAGGAAGAAAAGGAAGGAGGAGATAATCAAGGCAGTTTAGGGTCCCCAGGCCCCAACAGCTTAAAGGCACTAAACTATTATTAACCCTTTAAAACTTGTGCTGTCATCCCAAATGCTGTGCTGGGGATCAAACCTTCATTATGACATGGACTTTTGAGGGGCACCTGGTATCCAAGCTAAAGCAGATAGTAATTGTTCTCTCTAGTGGTGCCTCTCTGTTACAGAAATGTTGTTGGTGAATATTTCTGTACTTAGTTTCAGCCCTGTAACAAACCCAGTAGGCTGGAAGGGCCCTAAAGAAATTATGTAGTTAAATGGAAACTATGTTAGGAACAGAAATATAACCAGTTTATTGACAGTGAGAATAGTCTTATTTGTACTTGGCAGTTTTTTGATCTGTAATTAGATATGCAAAATGCAGAAGCATTCTTGTTGGAAAGGGCGTGTAGTTCACAGTTTGTAAAGCTGTTAGTCATGATTGCTTTTTTATGGGAGTTGGGGGGAAGGGAAAGAATGAAGTAGAGTACATGGGATAAGGAGCATCATCATCTTCAGTTCGTTTTTTAATGCTTGACTTCCACAGAACATCCCTCCTTTGGTAACTGCATTCCCTGTCTCATCTGCTGGAATCTGGCATGCAGTGTCTCATAGGATCTACTGCTTTCATATTGTGCATCTTGGTCAGTTTCTTAGTGATAGGCGATGAGTTGAAATTCCTGGGCAAAAAACTTGGAAAGGAAGATATAATGTATAATAAGCAGCAGACACTGTTCACAAATAAAATTGCTTGTATGACATATGTTCACTAATGTTAAATTTTAATTTGACATTTAATTTAGGATCTTAGAATTGACCGACATTGAAACAATTGATAATTGGTGTTTATTTTTTCTTACAGAGAAGAAAATGGAAAATGGATGAAGTAATTTTTTTACCATACTTTAAAAGTTGTATTTTCTTTATCTTTTCTAGGTTGCTGTAGTTAAACTGAAAAATGCAGATAAAGTATTTGCCATGAAAATTCTGAACAAGTGGGAGATGCTGAAAAGAGCTGAGGTGAGTGAGTCTTTGTGCTGTAAACTTGATGGCACTAGGTTTCTAAGTTAGGCCATTTTAAAACATATTGGTGTAAAAACTTCTGTACGTCGATGTTGGAGTACTTTTGTACACAAGCGAGACAGATTGACATTATTAGTGCATTTAATTATTCCACCAAAATTAACTTTATGTGTTTGTAAAAGAGAAATTTCAAAACGAGAGAAGAGAGACCATGAGAACCAGCCACGCTACCTACAGAGTGCAGTCAGTGTAAAGGGCCTGTGAGGTGGCTTAGCCGAAGTTTGATCCCTGGTTCCTACGGTGGAAAGAGAAAGTTGTCTTCTGACCTCCACAAGTGTGCACCGTGGCACCTACACCCCTACATACATGTGTGCACACTTATGCACACACCTACAATAAACATTTTAAAAAGATAAAAAGACAGAAGAACTATGAAGTGCTCTTTTTTTTTTTTTTTTTTTTTTTTTTTTGGTTTTTACAAGACAGGGTTTCTCTGTATTGTTTTCGAGGCTGTGAGTCCAGCCCAGCCTCGAACTCACAGAGATCCACCTGCCTCTGCCTCCTACGTGCTGGGATTAAAGGCGTGCACCACCACCGCCCGGCTTGAAGTGCTCTTAATTAGAGATATTGCCAGGGTGGCCCTGAGGGCTCCAGTTTGTATACAGAGGTGTTGAAATGATCTTAGGATATTTTTTACATGATAGGATTTTGTTGTGTATATGTTACAACTTAACCACCTTCCTGGGTTGGCAGTAGGGGATTTTGGAAGCTATTGCTTAAATAAATGTTTTAGTTATTAACTTAGAGTATGTAACTGTGTATTTTAATCACATTTGCCAAATATAGATATCTAATAATTTTTTGTTAGTTATATTAAAATCATTTTTTACTAACCACTTAAATTTTTTTATCTCATTTTTTTGTGGCCATCAAATACATGTTAAACTATAAATTTAAAAACTGCTGGGTTCAGCTAGCATTTAGAATGTAGAGACAAAACTATTAAGAATTCCAGGCTATCCTTAGTTAGATAGCACGTTCAAGACTATCCTGGGACACAAAAAGAACTTGTCACAAAAAGCCCCAAACAACTAAAAACAGTGAATTTTATGCTTTGTTATAAAAAAAAATGGAATGCTTTTAAGATTTTTTCTAAATTTAAAATTCCATTTATTTTTCAAAATCAAAATCTTAGACTTTAAATATTTTAATATTATTTTAAAATTTTCTCTGTAACAGTATTTTATGAAGGAGAGAAGCCTTTATTTTTATTTCCAATAAATGAGAAGCCAAGCTAGGTATAATCATCAGTATACTTTTCATTTTTGACTGATTTTCATTATTGTTGTGTGATTGCATGTGTGTGAGTGCACGTGTGCACATGCACATACAGGTACATGATATATATGTATGAATATAGGCATGTACTTGCCATGATACATGTGTGTGGAGGTCATATGACAACTTTCAGGAGGTCAGTTTATCTAGGCCCCCCTGAGATCTAGGGTCTAGACTTAGGTCATCGGACTTGAATGGCAAGGACTTTTTACCTGCTGAGCCATCTTGAGGGCACTATGTATGTAGTTCTGATGTGCTGTATAGGATTGCTAATTTGAGGCATGTATTTTATGGTTGTTCTAAAGAGTCATGTGACAGCTTTGCAGAATTATTATTTATATATATTTAATCTCTGTTTCCACGTAGAATTCTTGTTGCTTATTATCCCAGTAGTCCTTTAAGGATGAAATTTAAAGAACATATTACTGAATACAGAAAATGTAAAAGCGTCTGGAAGTTGAATCACTCTGGCAAGCAAAATGCTTGGTTGAAATTTGAAAATCAGCCAGGTGGTAGTGGCACATGCCTTTAATCACAGCACTGTGGAGATTTTCTTAACAGGGCCAATGTTGATACTTGGTTATTTCCTGTGGAAGCTATTCTGTACATTATGTGGGTGAAGTATCCTGGCTTCTGTTTACTAGAATTACCATAAGCAACTTAGGACAAAGTACATTAAATAAAATGTCTGGAGTATGCCTTATATCTATATCTAATATGTGTGCTTTTAAAAAGCTTATTATGAGTAGATCATATAATGCCTGAGACTGCCTTTATAAATATGCTTGTGTACGTGAGTGTGTACCAGTGGAACTGAATGATTGTGGTGCGTGTGTGAGAGTGTAATAAAATAATTGTTGTAATTGAGTGACAGTAATTTGTGAGAGGGAATTTAGATTCTTTACTTCTGTATGTACTTGAGATTGTATATTGTAGTTTACTATATATATTTATCTTTTAAAACATTTTTTCTGAGAAATTCAGGATAGATTAGAACTTAGAGTTAAATTTGTTTTGACTAAAGTCTTCAGAGTTTTGTTTAGTTTGGAATTGTCAACCAAGTGAAGTAGTAGTTATGATATTCTAGCTGGATTGTCTTTAAAATTTCAGATCACTGCCATTGTAAGATAAAGCCAGGAAAGGGGTTTCCTGAGCTCTGTCAGCCCTCTAAAATATTAAGTGAAAACCATCCCTTGAGGTCAGTTAAGCTATATAGCTGGACTTAGTAGACTAAGTAGGTAACATGATTTTGTATTCTTCCTGAAGTGAACTAAAGCAAAATGTCATAGACTTTTTAAATAACTTGACTGACAGTTTAAATCACTATTTGATAGGTTACATGTAGAGAGCAACCTGCCCCGCCATCCGATTGGGCTCTGCCACAATTGCAGTCCCTAAGTAACACACAAGACGCTGTATTAATTATGAAGCTGTTGGCCTTGCTTGTTTCTTACTGGCTAGCTCTGACTTAAATATTTACTTCATACTTGTTAATCTAAGTATTTCTCTTACCGGAGAATAGGGTCCAGACTTCTTACCCCTATGGCAGCTACATGATGACTCCCTGTGTTTCTCCTTCCCAGAGTTCTATTCGACTCCTGGTCCCACCTATCTTACTACCCTATTGGCCAACAGTGCTTTATTCAACAATGAATAAGAGACAGATTTACAGAATGGCATCTCCCATCAGTTACATTTACTTGTTTTAGTGTTTTCTCAGATACTGCTATTTAATTCCTGGCTTTGGCACTTCTGTTTGTCCAAATAAGTCCTTAGTGTATATTCATGAGAATACTAGGGCTAGTTGTACAATAATTTGTTTCATGTATCATGGCTACTTAATCTTCCTTATGGATAACCAGTATTAACTGTAAGAGCTGAGGACATAGCTCATGAGTACAAAGACTGTCTAGCATGTACAAGATCCCAAGTTCAGTCTTACTACAATACAAAGCCAAAAGCACTTGCTTTGTTCATTTTCTATGTCTTTAAAAATGGCAAAGTGGATATGGGAAAATTGGACATTTCTGTCATCTAGGCAATGGTTTGGTTGGTCTTTGTGTAAGCTAAATAATTCTGTGAATTTTTCAGATTGTTTTGGACTAAAGCAATTCTAAAAATTATTAAACTTTTATACTGTGATACACATTTTTGAGCAATTGTTTGGATGGTGTTTTCTAGTTTGTATAAAGTGTTCTTTAAAATACTTCCCTTTCAGACAGCATGCTTTCGTGAGGAGAGGGACGTGCTGGTGAATGGGGACAACAAGTGGATAACGACTCTGCACTACGCCTTCCAGGATGACAACAACTTAGTAAGAGACAGTTTCCTAACCTTAGTCTTTAGTGGACAGAAGTTAGCATTGTTTTCTTAAAGTGCTATATAAACATAGATTTTTTAAATAGAAAAAAATTACTACATTTTGCAGAGTAAGTTGTACACTTGGTGTGAGAATCTTTTTTGTCTGAGAAATTTGATGTTTTTTAAAAATTTAATTTGTTTATGTCTTTAAATAAGAAATCCCCTTGTATCCAGACTGTTTTAATTTCCTTCAATTAAATGCTATAGGAGACAGTTCAGGAGTTTTTATTTTTATGTTATTAGTAGTGTTCTGCTTCTTAAAACTTTACACACTTTTCAATGTGACCATGTGCTGTGTTAAGGTGAGCTACATTTACATGACATCATGGGCCACTCCACTAAAGCTTGGGAGAAAAAGCTTTAGAGAAAACTCAAAATGTCAGAATCTGTACCACCTGAGTATAAGTAACAATGAATAGAGAAACTAGAGACAGGGAAGTAAAAGTCAAAGGATAAAAAAGGTTTTCTCCAGTATAATATGCTACTACTTGTCCTGCTATTTATGCATAGTTCTTTGGTTTTTGATCCATTTTTATTTCCAGATTTCTATCTTTTAGAGAAGTATTCATGTCTTGAGATGCTATTATATACCAGACTTGACAAATGAAATAGAAAGAATAGGAGACAGTCTTTGTTTATTTTCTAAATACTTACTGGATATGTGCTCTCTGCTAGGCACTGTTCTTTGTCTTTGGAGAGAATAGTGAGGGAGAGATATAAGTTCTCTCTTCTTACTGTTCTTTATTTACATAAAGTATACTAGATGATAAATATAAAATCAAGTAATTAATGTATGTAAAATAGTATAGATGAAAATAGTAAAATAGTATAGAGGCAGAGGCAGGCGGATCTCTGTAAGTTCGAGACCAGCCTGGACTACCAAGCAAGTTCCAGGACAGCTTCCAAAGCCACAGAGAAACCCTGTCTCGAAAAACCAAAAAAAAAAAAAAAATAGTATAGATGATGAAAACGGTACATTTATTCAGAAGTGTAAAGTCTGAAGATTCTTCAAGACAGATACAAGGTAGCTAATTCAAGAAGGAAGAAAGATACAAAGAATGTTACACAAACTTTTAAGTTTTAGTCTTCATAAAGTTGGTTTGGAGTACAGTTACATTTATTGACTTACGTATTGTCTACATACTATCAAGCTAGTTATAACTTTATAGCATTTTGAGTTCTGTGCATATTGCTGTATCATGACATTTTATTTTTATTAATAATACATACCTATCATGTCAGAGTGTTTTAATGTACAGGAAGTGATTTTTAATGTATTAAATTGAAAACATTGTGTTTATTATGAAAGCACATTACACATCCATACTAATAGAATATAGTACACACATACATGACCAGATACACCACACGTCACTTCATTCTCAACCACAGGAAAGAATTGATTAGTAAAGTTAGTAAATTTAAAACAGAATACTTCATTATAACAGAACTTCTAAAAATAAGATGAAAATGAGTCTAAAGCTATTATAGGTGATCTCTGAGAAGCTTATTTATTAGATAATAAAAGCCATTTACTAGTGTTCAGAGCTGAATCATGATCAGGGAAAATAAACTCATTGTTTTATTGAAAACAATTGCTAAAAAAATTGAAGACCTCAGGAACGACACTGATTGACTTTAAAACTAAGGAAATATGAATATTTATTTTATCTCTTATGTAATTAACCACTCTTAATCCTAATCTTGCCTCTTGCATCTGAAATCTATAGTATTTACTGTCTGCCTCTCTATGGTAACTTGATCTGTCTTCTTTTAACAATAATAGTAAATACAGGGCAGACAAGAGTCATGGAGTAATGCTTGTAAACGTCGGGAAAGTGCAGGTGTGCCTACAGTGAATGAGATTCCAAGGAGAGAGTTCATGGGAGTGGTCAGGAAGCTGATGGAGACTCTGCACTGAGAAGACTAAAGACAGGAGAGGAGGCCCAGGCATGCATTTCAGGGGCAGGGCATGTGCTAGCATGCTAGCATATTCAAGGTCTTGCCTCCCCCCAGAAGTACAAAAGATGGCCAGTAATACTAAATATATTTTTTAGTTAAAAAGTAAAAAAGTAAGACTCATCTGATCCACATTTGTCTTTAATGCCATACCTGTTTAAGTCCTTTGGAAACATTGAAATTGTGCTGAAATTCTACATGTTAAAATAGTAACTTGCAGAATTCCCAGTTGGAACTAAATTTTGTCTTATTTTAGCTTTGTATTTTTAAAGTCGGTTATACAACCAATGTATGTATGTGTACAGTATCTCTAAGTCTTTGGTAGAAATAAATGGCACGATCCTTAGTATCTTTAGCTAAAGTGAAACTAAAGGTTTGCATATAGCTATAATACACATGAGGTTTTTGTCTGATGTCAAGTCAGATCCAGGTGTGAAAACAGTGCTATTTCACTATTTGTTATCTCCTATGTGTTTTTCAAAAAACTATAAAATTGGGTTTAAGACCAATTTAGTGCGCAGCAAACAGAATTTAAAAATTGAATAGAAAGGAAAACAAATGTTTATGACTTAACAATTGTTGTGACAGTTTTTGTGGGACATTTGAGCACACTTCCACCCCTTAGATGGGGAACTGATGACATATTAAAGTACTATACCACCAAAGTCCAACTCGGTTAGCCATTGAGTTGCTGCATTAGGGTTGGTTACAGAGCAGAAATGACTCACAGGCAGCTCTGTCACCAAAAGCCACCCAACATGATTGATAGTCCATAAAATCTGGAAGCCTGAAGAGCACTGCACACCTGCACGCAGGCAGCTCAGCAGGTTGGAGAGTGTCCTCTGTGGGCAGCTCACTTGGTCTGAAGTGGTCTGTGCTTTTCCAGGTAGCTTGGCTGCTCTGAGTAGCCAAGGCAGCCTGGCTTGTCTAACAGTGTCATTCAGCAGTTGGTAATGTTTATGTACACTTGGAAGGAGGGGTTGGTACTAGTGAATCTGGTCAGTTTCCGAGACTTTGTGAAGCTATTTTGAGTTGTTTACTTCCTGAGCATAAGGAGCTTCCCTGCACTGTGGAAAGTTTGTCTCCCTTAGAACACCCTGCTGCTGTTCACCTCCTGATAAACATCCTACGTCTTAATCAGCTTCCCTTCAAGGTGGAAGGTTTTGCTCTTGGTAGAAATGCTACAAAACAGTGGCATTTGTTTTTTAGTGCATGGTATATATCATTGTGGTTTGTAGTCAGAATTGTTTCTAAAGTGATAGGATAAAGCTTTGCATGTGTTAACTATTAGGTGTCAGAGTGAACGGGATGATGTTTAGTAGGATTTAGTTTGCTTATTGTGATTTTAGGAATGAACATACCAGGCAGATATAATATATGTAGATTTATTAGTAAAATTCATAAGTACATTGAATATAAACTAGGTCTTTATTTACACTTAGACAAAGTATAGTATTTATCATGGTAATTTTCAAAAGTAATAAAGGCTAAAATCCTGCCAGCATATTCTTTTGGAGATAGAATTATCATCATGAATTATACATCATTTAAAAACTACATTTTGTTATAAATGTAGAAGTAAGTATAAAAAAGTGCAAAACAGCAAATTTTAATCATTTATTTTATGTATATAAATGCTTTGCCTGCATGTATGTTTGTGCACCCCTTGTATGTCTTCTGTCTGTGGAGGTTAAGAGAGGGCATCCAGTCCTCTGGAACTGCATTTAGGGACAGTCGTGAGTGCTAGGAACAAAACCTCGGTCCTCTGTGAGAGCATTAAGTGCTCTTAATTGATGAGCCATCTCTCCAGCCCCCCCCATAGGTCGAATTTTAAAGAGCAAAAATTTGCCAAAAAGTATTAAGATGAGAAAAAAAGTCTAAGCTGCTTATTACCATTGTGTCTTCTGACTTATTCAAACTGATCTGCAGTCTTTACATTAGACCTTAGCATATGCATTTCTTCTTCAATGGCATTCTCTGAGAGATAATCTGCATATAGCAGTTATATTAATGATATGGGAGGAGGATCAAAATGAAAATTCTTGTCATTTACAGAATTCAGAAGTTTTAGTTATCATCACAGCCATTCTTTTAAGCTTTTAAAAATGTTAAAAAATAAATGAGCGTGTGTAGCTGAGTGGTAACTACTGTGCCTAGCATACACAAGGCTCTGGATTGCATCCCCCTGAACCACCCAAAACAAAAACAAAACCACCCATAAAACCTATTTTGGAGATGAAGCAATGGCTTAGCAGTTAAGAGAACTTGCTGTTTGTGTAAAAGACCTGAGTTTAGTTCCTACCAACTTCCTGGAACTCCAGTTCCTGGGGACATATGCTGTTCTCTGACCCAAATGGGCACCTGGACACCTGCAGTTCATATACATACACTTAGTGCCTATGCACACTCATAAAAAATAAATCTTTAAAGGTTATTAGAAAATAAAATAATTTAAGAATATAGACAAATCTAGTTTTAGATACCAAAACAGAAATTGTTCTAAATATATTTTTCAAAGTAACTTTCGACCATTTTTTAAAAGTAACAAAACATGTTTACTGCTGTATAACTCAAGAAATTTGTGGTAGTTAATTTGAATTTGAATTTCCAACTTTCCTAGATACTACTATGCACATACCATGAAAAAGTGTAGGGTTATATCGCGTGCCTTTAATGTGCTTAAGCAGAAGATACAAAGTTAATGTATGATGCTAAGATGTGATTAGAATATTTTTTCTTAAGAAAACTAATTATGTTCCAAACTGTTATATCAAACACTAACACATGAAATCCTTATGCCTTTGAATATTATGAATCAGAAAAATTTGTCTTTTTCTCATGTGTTCTTACGCTTTATTTCCTGTTTATTTTATGCTTGAGGGAAAAAGGAAAATATTTAAGCTATAATTTCTTGAATTATCATTTATTTATAAATTATTTTGAAATAAGGTCTTATTATATATCCAGGGCCGGACCTAAACTCACTATGTAACTCAGGCTGGTCTTGCATCCTCGACACTTTTGCCCCAAACTCTTAGGTGTGGTATAGTGACTTTATGTTATATTTTATATTTGGAGTGGTTAGTGGGACTTTAACCTAATACCCAGTGGATGTTAGAGACTGTCTGACTTGTGGATGTTATAACTGCTGAGTTATAGCACTAGCAAGAAATACAGTTCTCACTGAGCCTGGAGCTTACTGCTCCCTTAAATATTGGACTTTTTTGGTTTTTGTGACAGGATTTCACTGTATTAGTCTGAGTTAGCCTTGAATTTGTGATCCTCTTGCCTTAGTCTTCTCCTGAGGCTGTTTATTACAGGTATGTTCTATCACCCCTGGCTGAAATATTAGTTGTGAATGAGTTGCTCAGATGGGTAATGTTAGATCAAATAATACCATCTTTGTGTATTTAGGCTGACCTCTATCCTGCTATGTAGCCTGAACATTACCTTGAACTTCTGATACTTCTGCTTCTAGCTCTTGAGTGCTAGGTTTATGATTGTGTGTCATCATGCCCAGTTTGTGCAGTGCTAGGGACAGAATCCAGGCCCTAGTGCATGCCAGGCAAGCGCTTCATTGATGGAGTCGTAGCCTCAGCTCCATAATTAAAGTTTTGGTCCTATAAAGCGACTTTTCCAAAGGACTATGGTCTGTGTTGATGTGAAGCGAGTGTTGCTTCTGACTCTGCCAAAGCATAGCCACACAATGTATCTTGTTGCTGCTTTGTCGTTCATTTGCGGACACAGTATGGCAGTGGGGCATGTGTTGCTTGGCTGATGGAGACTGTAAATGTCTGTTAATATCCTTGGCCAAATTTCTTTGGGTTGTTTGTCTTCTAAACAGTTAGGAAGTGATGTTCATTTGGAAGGCTGTTTTCTTCATCTATTTTAGGATTGTTGCATCTGGTTTATATTTATTTGAATGAGTTTGGAGAAAGTTTAACCGTATTGGATGATATTTTTAAAGTAGTTCATGAGTAAAAACCTGTTCTGTGAGACACTTAATTTTACTGAGAAATTATTCAGAATGCCAGAACAATATTGACATAAACATAGGTACCTACAGCAGACCCAGGGACAGAGGTGAGTATTTTGGGTTCTTAAAGGATGATGAAGGTACATCACAATTGAATGAAAGAAAATAATAGAGTGTTTAGCAACTCAGTTTACATAATAAGCATTCATATGTTAGAAGGTAGTCCTTACATCCTGACAAAAATAAATTTTAGACGAATCATTGAGCCAGACTGAAAATTGGATTCTTTTTTTGTTCTATACTCCTGGCACTGGGGACTGAACCCAGGTCCTCATGCATGCTATGGAAAGCTCTACTGCAAAGCTCCACCTTTAGCACTAAATAGTTTTTGAAGTTTGCAGTGGTCTTGCTGAGTTACTCAGGCTGCCTTTGACTTGTGATCTCCCTGCCTCAGCTCCTTCACTAGCAGGGTTACTCACCTGGGTCACCATATCTAGCTGAATTCTTTAATTGCCTGAGGCAATTCTCTACATTTATTCCTGCCAATATACGTATGATGCTTTGAGACTGATCATTAATTTGTGTTTTTTTGTAGAGTATAAACTTTCTGAAAGTATATTCCTACTCATTTGTTGTACCTTCATTTGATGAGTATGATGTTACCACATGGTAGGAATCTGAAAAATTGTTTATAGAATTGGTGAATTAATTTATTTGTTCTTCTAGTTCTGGAGTCCATTTTTCATTGTTGTGGAAACCTACACATTTTAACCTAAATCTGTAGCAGTAAATGCTGGAGAGAGGCAGTGGTCTGAATTAGGATGCTGTTAGTGGATAAAGATAGCAGCAGATTACATACAGAGTTAGTAATAGACTCAAAAAGACCTTAGTGCTGAAATAGATCCAAAGAACAACTTCCAGTTAATCAGCATGCTCCAATATCTTGTCTCTCTAATGACAAACTGCCATTGAATGTAGGGTTCATTTTTATATTTTCTTTTTTTCTTAAGAGTTGTGTGGATTTGCCGGGCAGTGGTGGCGCACGCCTTTAATCCCAGCACTCAGGAGGCAGAGGCAGGCGGATCTCTGTGAGTTCGAGGCCAGGCTGGACTGACAGCCTCCAAAACAATACAGAGAAACCCTGTCTCGAAAAACCAAAAAATAAAAAAAATAAAAGAGTTTTGTGGATTTTACTCCCTTTCCCCCCAACATGATGGATTCTGGCTTTATTAGCATCCAGTTTACTTCTAAGAACAAAGTAAAGGAAGTTTGTGAACTCAATTTAGGAGGCAAGAAGCTGTAGGAGTACTTTCATATTTATCAGTTTTATTGTCTTTATCATGGAAGACATTCAGTAAAAGCACATTGATAGTTTGGGAGGGAATAGACTTGGAGTTTGAGTAATAAGAGGAAGCATAGAATAGTGTGTGGATAACGGTTCTTAAAAGATAGTTTGGGAAACCTCATTTTGAATGCTGACCATCAATAGAAAAAGTTGAAATAATAATTCTTTTTAGCTATTCAGTGATCTCTTCAGCTATTTTATGAGTCTGGTGTAATAAGAACAGCTTGCTCTGTCAAGGGAAAAGCCCTTGGTGTAGGGTCTTCCATTTCTTTATCCCATGGTCATATCCAATAGTTCCAAGTGGCACTCTGTAAACATATACTAAAGAATGAGTTGTGTTGCATGACTTTCTGTACATAAATATGAGTCTATTTTAATTGCTCCTTTTTTGTACCTTAGTCTTTTCTTGCTACAGTTCTCATTGAGCTTCTTGTAAGAGATGAAAGTTTCTTCTCCACAACTGTCTCCATTTCTTGCAACCTGATAATATTATAGAATTTTATTACATTGCATTAACTTGTTATAAGCTTCAGAGTAGAGCTAGTTAAATATTAGGCCTTAAATACAACAAGTTATCTGTAGACCAGGACTGAAGTATAATTTCCCTAATTTTCAAGGCTTTAAATAAATAAAATTAGTTTCTTTGACATGCACCTTTTCCTTCCCTCCCTCTCTCCTTCCCTCCCTCCCTCCTTCTTTGAGACAGGGTTTCTCTATGCAGCTATGGCTGTCCTGGATCTAACTCAGTAGACCAGGTTGGCCTTGAACTGACAGAGATCTGCTTGCCTCTGCATCCAGAGTGCTGGGATTCAAGGCATGCACCACCATCACCTAGCGACATACATTTCCTAGGCTTAAAATTTTTCAAGTATTAGTTCTCAATCTCTCTCTGTCCTTCCCCCATCTTGACCATCCCATTCCCTCATATTCTTCCCCAAACTGGGATTGGTATGTAAAAAGAGAAGAGATTGTTTTAAAAATTAAAAAAAAAGGATAAAAAGTGAAAATTAAAAACTTACACAATTGGGAAAATCTTTTCAAGTATCAGAATGAAAGAATTTTTAAAGCCAAACTTAAACCATAATGTCAGCACGGTGATAGCCTTGACATGTTTTCATCTTGTAATAACTTACTGAGCTGGAGAGATGGCTAGTGCTGTCTATTGTTCCCAGCACTCACATGGTAGCTTTCAACTGCCTGTAACTCTAGTTCCAGGGGATCCAACACCCTTTTCTGACCTCCATAGGAACTAGGCACAGTTTTGCTACAAAGACATGTCTGCAGGCACTCACTTGTACTCAAAATAAAAATTGAGTAAATCTTCAGAAAAAATAAAATCATTGTAACATCAAGGCATGCCAAGTGGTACACATGCATATGGACATGTATAAGTAATAAATACTTGAAAACAATCTAAAATGTAACAAACTCTATAACATCATTTGTCATCTAACTCAGAGAGCCTGCTGAACACTCTTATATATATCCTTCCCCTTCTTTGGTGTACACACGCACACACACACACACACACACACACACACACACAGGTCTAAAGTGGATATGCTTCTGTTTATGTATATTTGAGAAAAATCTATTGTGGAAGTGAGAGATACTATCATTTACTTGACAAAGGACAAAAAACAGCAAAAATTATAATCTTGCCTTTTATACCAATTTTTAAAATTTTGTTTCATTACTTATAACATTTAGAAGTTTTACTATTATTAATGATTATTTTATATACTTAAATGAGAATTAATCACACAAATAACCTTCATAAGTATTCAGCCTAGTCCCAGTTGGCCCCAGGATGCATTAAGTATATTAATTTTTATCATATTTACTTACTGAGTACATTCTGTTTTTGTTCACAGTACCTGGTTATGGATTATTATGTTGGTGGGGATTTACTTACTCTGCTCAGCAAATTTGAAGATAGATTGCCTGAAGACATGGCTCGATTTTACTTGGCTGAGATGGTGATAGCCATTGACTCAGTTCATCAGCTCCACTATGTGCACAGGTGAGTTAGCCAATCTGCCATTCCATCTGGCTATTACGATATTATATCTAGAAACAGCTTAGTTGTACCTCATTTGCAAATACTTTATTTTGAGATTGTTTTGGTCTTGTTCTTTACTGTTACTATTTATCTGCTTTATTGAGCTGATGTGTCTGCTTGTTAGTTCATGTACATACATATTATCTACATATGCCCACTTGCAGGCAGCATTTTTGTGGCAAATTTTGAACACACTCATGACTGAATTTACATGTAATGTCCTTCCCAAAATGAGCATGCAGCAGTTTCATTATGGTTGGTTCTTATATTCTGATGTTAGAATTCTAGGCCATAAATTATAGACTTGTTATATAGTTTATGTTTCTCAAGAAAAGGCTTGCACTGGGGAGATATCAAGAATGAGGCTCTGAGTTTGGTTTCCATGTAAGCACCATGTAAAAATCAGACATGGCAGCATGTCCACTGGGGTAAGGAATGCAGATCCTTAGAGACAGATGGCTGGCCAGCAGTCTAGCCAGATTGATGAGCTCCAGGTTCATTGAGAGACCTTGTCTCAGAAAGTATAGTAGATACCCTAAATTTACCCCTGACCTCACATACACACAAACCCACACATATATACTCATATGTATACACACACACACAGGAAAAGACTTTAAAGGATAACATAGATATAAAAGGATTTTTTAAAATTAAAAGACACTGATAGTTTTGATGTTTATGGTATAATCTTATTATAAACTGTCAAATAATTCATCATTTATACTTTTTTCTACATAAGTTAGCCATGGTGGTATATACCTGCAGTTGTAGCACTTGAGAAGTTGAGGCAGGAGGATCTGGAGTTCAAGACCTGCTTTTGTTATGGAGTGAGTTAGAAGCTAACCTGGTCTATGTGAGACACTGTTTCAAACAACACAAAAAAATGAAAATGTGTTTGTTTTCTGTGAGTGTGTATTATATACCATTTATTATTGGATGAAAAAAGTAGGCCTGTGTACAAAGTGGTTTCAAGATATCATTATTTTTTACTGCTGAGTAATACTCCATTGTGTAAATGTACCACACTTTCTTTATCCATTCTTCAGTTGAGGGACATCTAGGTCACTTCCAGTTCTGGCTACTAGAAGTAATGCTTCTATGAATATAATTGAGAAGTTGTGCTTATGGTATGATTGTGCATCCTTTGGGTATATGCCCAAGAGTGGTATTTCTAGGGCTCAAGGTAGATGGATTCCCAATTTCTTTGAAACCACCATACTGATTTCCAAAGTGGCTGTACAAGTTTGCACTCCCACCAGCAATGGAGGAGTGTTCTCCTTACTCCACATCCTCTCCAGCATTAGCTGTCATCAGTGTTTTTCATCTTAGCCATTCTGATAGATGTTAAGATGGTAGCTGTCATCAGTGTTTTTCATCTTAGCCATTCTGATAGATGTTAAGATGGTAGCTGTCATCAGTGTTTTTGATCTTAGCCATTCTGATAGATGTTAAGATGGTATCTCAGAGTTGTTTTGATTTGTATTTTCCTGATAGCTACGGATGTTGAGCAATTCCTTAAATGTCTTTCAGCCATTTGAGTTTCTTTTGTTGAGAATCCTCTGTTTAGATCTGTATCCCATTTTTTAATTGGATTATTTGGTATTTTGGTGTCTAGTTTCCAGTTATAGCTAGAGCAGTAACATAACAAAAGGAAATCAAGAGGGTACAAATTGGAAGAGAAGAAGTGCAACTTTCACTATTTGTAGATGATATGATAGTATACATAAGTGACCCCAAAAATTCTACCGGGGAACTCCTACAGCTGATAAACACCTTTAGTAATGTGGCAGGATACAAAATTAACTAAAAAAAATCAGTAGCCCTCCTTTATACAAATGATAAATGGGCTGAGAAAGAAATCAGAGAAACATCACCCTTTACAATAGCCACAAATAGCATAAAATATCTTAGGGGTAACTCTAACCCACAGAAGGAAGTTGGAGGACCAGGATTGGGTGGAAAAAGAAGTCAGACAATTGCAAGCCAAAACTTCAGTCATTACTACTTATAATTGTAGAGAGTTTGTGACTTTCTGAATCATTGTTAACTTGGTCAGAATTGTTAGATCTTTGTCTTTCCACATCAATTGTTCTGTACATATGGGCTGTCCAAGACAGGCATGAGGAGTCTGTCTGCTGCTCTGAAGGAGATATGCATAGGGATGAACACATCACACCATACTCCATAAGTACGTACAATACTGTGAGTAAAACAATGATTGAAAAGTAGCTCCTCTCTTAAGCTTGCTCTGTAGTGGCAGCCTTATCTAGTTTCTCTAGAGCTTTGTCCTTCTACTGTTTACTCCCATGTCTGGTATCATGACATCTATTCAGATATTTCAAGACTGAGGAACTATAGACAGTTTATAAGGACTCTTAGGGACTCTCCTAAGCTGGCTGAGGACTAACTCTGATTCTAGTACTACTTTTGTTAGGCCTGCTCTCACTGATCTGCCACGTATGCTTCTCTGTAGTGGTAACATGGTTGAGACTTTGTAAACGCTGTGTATTGCTGAGCCAAAAATACTCTGCTTGTGTAACTGCCTCTATTTTTTACATTTCTTTGCTAATACTTTATTCTATTTTCCTCCCATTTATATGTACTAAATACTAGATAATCACATTTCAAGTATGCCTCTAAATCAAATGATGCATTGTGCTAGTTTAACATTCTCCAACCTTATACACAACTGTTAGTATTCAGGCATGTGTACAGGGGTTCTGACAGGATACACCCATACCTGTAGCCACTAAGAATATCACCTGTGCACATTCACTATGTTCCCTTTTAAAAGGGTTCTACACACCTCTCATCCTTCTCTCTGTTCTGCTCTCAATCTCCTCCCTCTCTCCCTCCTTTCTTCTCTCCTGATGCTCCTGTCTCCGGAGGCTGATCTCCCCCCTCCCTTTTCCCTTTTTGATAATCCCTTTCCCTAATAAAAGCCCCTGTGCTTGAACCCCGTCTCATGGTATCTGTTTTTCTTAAATTACAACATTGGTTCCCTGATCGGGAAAGACTCTTCGGGCGTCTCCTCCTGCCCGCAGGCAGTTTGAGGCATGCCAGGTCTCTGGAACCTGGTTCACATAGCCTCGCTTCTCTAGATCGCCAGGTCCTTCCATCCAAAATCGTCGTGAGTGATGAGCCTTTCCACCTTCCCCTCCTTAGGCTATTACCACGAGTGAGGACTCCTCTCATCCTGCAAGTGTGGTTTCTCACCTTTTGACCTCAAGTTCTGGTACAAGGCAACCACGGCTCTCTCAGGCTCTGAGCCGTTGGCCCCCACCCTTTGTGTGACAACCCAACCAGTGGCCTGTGGCCAGTCTGGGACCATCTGGTCCTTCAGCCCACCTCTTGATTGACGAATCATCAAGGCAGCTTGTGCCTTTCTTGATTGATCCTTGCTTGATAAAAGCCATGGGATCTTGTCCTGCCTCATTCATGTGAAGTACACCTACCAAAAGTCAGCTTCCCAGCATTTTGTAATCACTTCATGCTGGGACCCTACCCATCTGCTTCACATTCAGTAGATCTGCTCTCTCCCACCTACAATAAACCTGCTTTCTCATTTGCTGATGGCTTTGCCTTCCATTCAGTACCAACCATTGGGTCTCTGGTGGGGTTATCCACTTCTGACCCTTCCCCTGGATGTTAGACTTCCTTTCTCCAGCACAGTCCTTTCCTAGCCTTCTGGCTTTTTTCAGAGTCCTGGAACCAGGTGACTGTGTCTCTCTTGGGATCAGAGCCCTTGTCCCCCATCCTTTGAGTGAGGACTCACTGGGTGATCTGTTCCTGTCTCAAAATCCACCCTCTCTGAATTCCTGGGATGCAAGGAATTACAGAACCTTGGGTCTTACTTCTCTGCCTCACTCATGGGAGCTGTGTCATCGTCTATACCCCCTTGCTCCTACAGGGATGTGTTTTGGAGACCACTGACCATTCCTAATCAGCTAGTGTGGCAGGGCTATCAGCTGTTGCCCATAGAGCTGGAGGCACAAGACTACCAAACATGTCCGGTGATGCTGTGGTGATGGGAAAGGATCAGGTGCTTCAATCCCTAGGGAGTCCATTTGGATCCACCAAGAATGGCATTTTGCCAGGTCCAGGAGGCACCTTGAGGGTTCCACAGAGCCTGGACGGTGAAGTGAAATAGCCAGCTACTCTAGGACATGACCAGCACCCCAGCTTTCCCAGGTCCCCTAGAGATGAACGGTGCCCCCCAGATAGACAGGAAGTAGTCTTGAGAACACAGTGTCCTCATCCTGGCCTCACCTACTACCCCTTTCTGACGCCTCATCTTTGTATAATAAATGAAAAGGGAAGAATGTATACTGGCCTGTCCTTGGGGTTCTGATAGGACACGCCCTCAGATGCAGCCTCTAAGAGCACCACCGGTGCACATTCACTGTGCTCCCTTTTAAAAGGGCCCTGCCACCTCCCATCCTTCTCTTTTCTCCCTCTCTCTGTTCTGCTCTCTCCTTCTCCCTCTCTTTCTCCTTCTTTTCTCTCTCCTCTTTCCTGCTGCTCCTGTCTCCAGAGCCTGGTCTCCCCCTTCCCCACTCCCCTTTTTATGATCTCTTTCCCGAATTAACAAGAAAGAAAACAAAACACCTCTGCTTGAATCCTGACTCATGGCATCTTTCTCTCGAATGCTGCTTTTCTTAAATTACAATAGCTGTCATTCACTTTATTTTCTCTTAGTGTATATTAGTTTTCCATTTTATGAAATTATGGTGGCAACTTTATCTTTTTTCTTTTTATTAAAAATAGATTTTTTCTCACATTATATATGCTGATTATGGTTTTTCTTTCCTCTATTCCTCCTAGTCCTCCCTGTTTTCCCTCCCATCTGAATCCTTTCCCTTTCTGTTTCTCCTTAAAAAAACAAGTCTTTTTTAAGGAATAACACTAAAATAAAATACAATAAGATAAATACATTGCAATAGGACAAAACAAGCAGAAGGAAAAGAGCCACTTGTTTGCACTCTGGAATCTGATAAAACCCCTCGACTGGAAACCGTTGCGTGTGTGCGAATACCGGGTGCAAGCCCTGTGCCTCAGTCTCTGATGTCACATTAACCTTCATCATGTTGTTCAGAGTTTAAATTTGGAATCTCAACCTTCCTAATGCTGTGACCCTTTAATATATCTCCTCATGTTGTGGTGACCCCAATCATAAACATTATTGTGTTGCTACATCGTAACTGTAATTTTGATATTGTTATGAATTGTAATGTAAATATCTGTTTTCCAGTGGTCTTAGGTGACCTCTGTGAAAGGGTCATTTGACCTCATTGACATCGCTTCTGTTTTCTCCTGAAGGAAGTCATGGTTTTATGTAAAGCCACTTATTTCAGAGCTTTATATCAAGATGGCCAGGCTTATTTGTTCTTTATTTATTCTAGGAAGTGTTTCTGGCAGTAAAAAAGTGAAGGAGTAACTAATAGAGGCAAACAAAGAATAGAGGAAAATGGAAACGAGGTATTTACTGAGAAATAAGGAAATAATTTGTTAGGAGGTTGTAATAGAAAGGAATGTGCCAGTATTTTGAAAATATAGGGCATTTAAAAGCCTTAATATATAGGTTAATTAGTGGCTACAAATAAATGAATAAAAGAAGCAACATAGTGATGTACAAGTATGAATAAAATACTTGACATCACAAGTAATCAAAGAAATAAATACTGTTTCAATTAGGAGATTGACAAAGGTTAAATTGATTGATATTCCTATCATTGCCACAGAATGAGAAACTGCTTACTCTTTCATTGTTGACTAAGTTGTGACACCATAATTATATTTTTTTCTCCTGGCAAGGATACATTCATTTTTTCGTTTTTTTCAAAAGCTCAATGTATGTTATCCAAATTGCCTATGAATTTATCATAAGGAAATAATCTGGAATGTGACTAGTTTACATTGTGAGAACACTGATCACAGTATTTTCTTTATGAGGTATAGTTGTAGTGTTGCCTTTAGTGGGAAAACTGGAAGCAATAGACTTGTCCAGCATAGGGATATAAGGAAATTCTGGCAGACACAATAATAGTTACATAAAATCACCAAATATTATTAAATTTACTTCATTGGGGAAAAATGATTCTGTTTCATTCAGTTCTAGACTTTGATTTTAGCTTCTGAAAGTAAAGTGCTGTTGTTTATCATCGGGAGAAGCTTTTCAGCTTCTGAGATGTCCAGTTGCAGGACATTCTTGAGTTTATGAAATTATTAAAACAGCAACTGTTCTATACAGCATACTAACACTGAGTAATAAAAACCCAGTTAAAGCTGAAGATCAGAGAAGCAAAACAGCCAGCCACTAGCGCTTACCCATACCTCAGGGTGAAAGGGCTGTCAGACTCCCTTCTGCCCTGACTGCCTCTGATTGCTCTCGTCTCTTCCCACTTTATATTCTTCTCTAGCGCTGGGATTAACGTCGATCATCCCAAGTGCTGGCATCAAAGGTGTGAGCTCTGTTTCTTTTAGACTGATTCACTCTCACGTAGCCCAAGGTAGCCTTGAACTCACAAAGATCCATGTGCCTCTGTCTCCCAAGTACTGGGATTAAAGGTGTGGCCACCACTGCCTGTCCTCTATGGCTTAAGTGTGTGATTAACTAATGGCTGTGTGTGTGTGTGTGTGTGTGTGTGTGTGTGTGTGTGTGTGTGTGTGTGTTAGCTCTTAACTAGGTATGTAGCTAACTAGTGGCTTAGCTCTGCAGTCTGATCACCAGGCAAGCTTTATTAGATCAGTACTGGATACTGCAGATTCAGTGGACCTTCATAGCTCTGTGTAGAAGGGAGATAACTGTTAACTAACCAGTAACACTGGGTTTAAAATTATAATGTGGTGGAGACCCTAAAGGTGAATAGAGATTCATGAGTCGAGACTTTTCCTTTCTGAGATGTCAAGATAGCCTTGTGTAATGATTATTATTTTTTCCTGTAGACCAGGTTGGCCATAAACTTCTGATTCTTCAGAGTGCTGAGGTAATAGGCAGTTAGTTCTAAATGTCTTCTCTGTAAGCTGTGACTGAGAGATCATAATGGGAATTACAAAAATATTTATAATGAAGAGAAAATAAAAGTGCTCCATATCAGAACTTGTGGGATATAGCTCCAGGAACTGCAGCAGGAAAAGAAACTCGCTAATTTTAAATGAAAATATTGGAAAAGGAGTGAGGTGAAAAGTGAATTAAGTCTCTTAACTGAGGAAGTTGGGAAAGATAGCAAAATTACCTTAAATTACATAGAAGAAAGAGGTAAAATGAAGTTAATTAAAATTAATAAAAATACAGAAATAGGGGAAGAGCAATAGGCAAATATTTAAAAATTATTAAAAACACAAATAATTCATTAAAATTCACTAGTTTAGTCCCTCGTAAATTGTCACTAAAGACAGATTTCGAGTTTGAATCTTGCTAATGGTATAGAATATGGAATCTGGAGACAGGCAGACTGCCTGCCTGTAAATCCTGGCAGAGGCCTTTAGTGTAAGCTCAGGGTGTCTGAGTTGCTTCATCTGTAGACAGGGTAGATGATTGTACCCACATGGGCAGCTGTGGAGAGATAACAAGCGCTTTGGGAACTACATGGGGTGCAAAGCTCTAAACAAGGTTTTAGTTTTAATCTTATAAAAATGCAAGAGAAGCTGGGTGTGGTAGTTCACACCTATAATTATAGCATATGGAGACTGAAGCAAGTAAATTGCCAGGTGTTCAGTACTAGTCTGGGTGACATGGTGAGTTGAGGTGAGCTTTAACAATTTCAGAGTGACATTGTGCCTCAGAGTGTAAGCCAACCACACTACAATGACAAAAATAACAAAAATATGAGAAATCAATACAGCATATAGATTTCAGAAGTCATCAGCTACATTCTAATTGAGAATTGGATAAAATATATATTTAATTAGAAAAATCAACACCACTTTAATACATTCTAGGAGAAACAAGTTGTATGGGTAAGCTAAAAAATACTTTATGAAATGAAAAATGTAATGTAAACCTACCCACAAAGTTCCATTATCATATTTATAGGAGACTCTTACTTTGCCCTGTATTTTTAAAAGCTATGCACATATGATGAAAGTGCTGCCACTAGAGTGTACAGTGACATGTCTGTGTGTTGTGTGACCACCTTCTCAATAAAGAATCCTTTCTTCCCCAAAAGTACCCTTCTCAGAATGAAATTACCATAATACTTTTATTTCCAGGAATTACTGAAATGATAAATGCTTTAGAAAGTTTTAATGTGAATCACAGGTAGGATTCACATTACCTGTAAAACCCATTTTTTAAAACAGTTTTTTTTTTTTTTTGGTTTTTCAAGAGAGGGTTTCTCTGTATTGCTTTGGAGTCTGTCCTGGATCTTTCTCTGTAGACCAGACTGGCTTCAAACTCACAGAGATCCGCCTGCTTCTGCCTCCCAAGTGCTGGAATTAAATGTGTGCACCACCAACACCCGGCTTTAAGAGTATTCTTTAAAAAAGAAGTTGAAGTTTTTTCATGTAAAAAGACTGCCTGATTATTTTCCAACTAAAATGTATTTATCTTTTCAGAGACATTAAACCTGACAATATATTGATGGATATGAATGGACATATTCGGTTGGCAGATTTTGGTTCTTGTCTGAAACTGATGGAAGATGGAACGGTAAATAAACATGAATTTTTCTGTCCATAGACATTCCCCTAGCCATGTCTTCTTTCTGTGTTCTAGAGACTCTTTGCTCGCACTGTCTGCCCCTCAGTGGTCCCTTTGTCTGTGCCTCACCCCCTTTCACAAAGCATCAGCCATACCTGCTCATAATAAGATGCTCAGAGCATCTTACCTGCTCGTAATAGTGAGCTTGAGAATGGTGCTCTGAGAGCCTGGTGGCTTCTTTTTTTCTCTAATACCTATTAAACTTGAAATTTTCCTAAGTTTTTAGAGTGACAGAGAATCTAAGTTTCATATACAAAAAGAAGATACAACTGCATCTTCATTTGTACCCTTGTCTAATGGTGTAGTTGTTGCCAGGGACAGTGTTCAGCAAATGAATCTTCTGTTTTGGGTGAAGACGAGGTAGCAGTAGTTTTGTGTTCCAGCGTGACATTTGCTGACTAAATCCTTAAGTTCTTGTTCAATTAAAAGAGTATATTTTCAGATTTTATTGCTTTCTATACGTGTATGTATAGTGTGTATGGGTACAGGTGTGTATGTGCTTACATTTGGGTGTGTAAATGTGGGTGTCTGTGGAGGTCAGTTTCCACCTTGTTTAAGACAAAGTCTCTTGTTCACAGCTGTGTACATTAAGCTGGCTGGTCTATAGCTTCTGGGAATTTTCCTGCCTCTGCCTCTCATATTGCAGTAGAAGACTCAGGTTATAGATATGCTGTACCGTGTATGGCTTTACATGGTGTCTAAGTTAGGGTTTCTGTTGCTATGAAGAGACACCATGACCACAGCATCTCTTATAAAGGAAAACATTTAATTGGTATGCCATACAGTTCAGAGGTTTAGTTCATTATCATGGTGTGACATGGCGGCTTGCAGGCAAAAATGGTGCTGGAGTAGTAAGCCAAGTGCCCTATGTCTACACTTGCAGGCAGAAGGAAGTGGTCTATATCACTGATTTTAGTTGGAGCATATATGAGACCGCAAAGCGCACCTCCACAGTGACACACTTCCTCCAACAAGGCCACACCCACTCCAACAAGGTCACACCTCCTAATAGTACTACTCCCTTTGGGAGCCATTTTCTTTCAAACCACCACCATGGGTTCTGGAGATTCATACTTGGTCCTCACATTTGCATGGCAAGTGCTTTACCCCCTGAACTATCTCCCCAATCATATTGCTTTAAATTTTTCTTTATTTTTCTTGCCTGTTGCAGAGGCCCAAATGCATATCACTTTAATTGGCAGAATTTTTTTGGAAGATGTTAAATATAAATTTCAAAGCCATGAATGTGCCACCATTATTCTTGACTAGTTATTTGACTATGGAAAGTTATCCTTAGGTGATTTTGCAAATGCATTATGTGACTTATAAATTTGGCCATGTTGAAAGGAATAATTGGTACTGAATTATCCTTCCTACTATAATGTTATTTAAAACAGCTCTTTTAGACAACTAGTGTTGGCATGTTATAGTTATTCCTAATAGAAATGAACTCTTGAGGTGTGCCTGACTACTTCCTGATTGCCCAGCATGGGAGCATTCCTGACTCTCCTGACATGGCCAGAGTCAGAGCATAGCATAACTTTTCTTCAGAGCTTGGGGGAAGGCACCACAGTTGAGGTAGCATTAGCTGCTGGAATCTGGAAGATTTGCCACTGGCCTTGTATAAAGGCAGGCCTAAAGTTCCCCAAATTACTCACAAAGGCACCTGCACATTGCACTGTAGAGTGATATCCACGGGGACACAAAGTAGCAGATCAGAGAGTCAAGCAGTGCTGGAGGAGGCGGATCAGCACCGAGAGTTTTGACAATTACCTTTTAAACATTTTGTATCTACTAGAATGTTTCAGTCTAAAGCCAGTACCTGACAAAACAAACCAGAGCTTGAATGTGATCCTGCCAAATGAAGGCCTTACAGAGCGAATAGTATACCTGTGCCCCACCTGTACTCATTTTGGATCTTGAGCAGTTGTATAGAACAGCCGTTGCCTATTTCTTACGCAATTTAGAACTTGCTTACTTCTTTTTGGCTTTACAGGTAGTTTTATACTGGTTAAGTTTCATTCAGGCTTTTTAGTGTTTACAAGTCTGTTTGGTTTTATGCTCTTCCTGTGTTTTTTTGAGTTAGTATACCTTTAGTAGGACAGAGTAAGGGATGTTATCCTGAAACCAAAGCCTCTTGCATAACTAGGCAAGCACTGAACTTCTCAGGTCTTAACTAAGCTACCTAGGCTGGCTTTGAATTTGTGATCCTTCATCCTCAGCTTCCTGAGTAACTGGAGTTACCTAGCCTATGCCACCAGGCTAGCTGAGATGCACCTGTTACTGTTCTTAGTATCATATTAGTTAATTTGGTGATACACTTCTGGTTTTACTTTATCAGAAAATAGTCCTATCTTACATTAGGGCTTGTGTTTTTTTTATTTGTTGAAGTCTACTTTATAATTTTGTAACAGGCAACTTTTTGTATATTTCATATTTGTTTGAAAAGAATATCTTTTCTCCAGCTTTTAGTACAGGGTTCTATACATGTCCATAATATTGAACTGGTTTTGCATTCATGTTTTATATTCTTATGGGTTTTCTCTATTTTAAAATCCTTACTATATTAGTGAATTTGCTAATTTTTCCTTCATAATTATCAGTGCTTTGTACATCTCCATTGTACTTTATTATTTGAAATTACTAATTTTTCCAGGACATATTCTTTTGTAATTAGATTGTTGATATAAAGTAATCTTAATAACTTGGCTTGTATTTTATTAGTGCTTTGAATTTCTTTTGTTTAATATATGTTCAATCTTACCACTTTCAATTTATGTGCTTCTATTTTGTTTATCTTACTTAAATTATTTAACCGATTTTCTCTCATTTGTTCATTGATCTTATTTGTTTTTCAGTGTTAACTCACTGTACTTTGACAGGTTCTTTAATCTGCTCTTGGATCTTGTGACTTTACTGTAGGCTTTGCTTGTTATTTACATGAGTGCCTTTGTTTTCCTTGCCCCCTCTGTCCAATCAGTTTTATCTTTATTACTGTCTTTATCCTTGGAAGATAACATTTCATTTTAATTTTTTATTTGTTTTTTGTTTGTTTGTTAGTTTTGAGTTAGGATCTCACTATGTAGCTCTGGCTGTCCTAGAACTCACTCTGTGATTCACCTGCTTCTTCTTCTTAAATGCTGAGATTAAAGACATGTGCTACTCTGCCTGACTCATTTAAATATTTTAATGCCTCTCTTTAACTTTTAAAAATATCTATAGTTTACCCAAGTATAGAGTTAATAATTTATTCCTACTACATTCCCAATCAAAACAGTTAGCTTATTTTACTTTATACCACATGTAGAAATCAATTCAAAAGAGGTCAAGAACTATGTGAAAACTAAAAAACCTCTTAGAAAACATAAGGAACAATATTTATGACTGTATTTGGCAGACTTCTTGAGAATAACACAGAATCACAACCCCTCCCCATACCCATAATGATATATTCTATCCTCCTCAAACACTGTGCATCAAATGGCCCAGTGGGCAGAATGAAAGACGGCACACAGAACTAAACAGTGTCTTCCAGTCGCTTGTCTGATTATGTGCTAAGAAGATGTAAAGAACGGCCACAGGTTATAATTAGGTTCTGGCCTGCAGCGCTCTAACGGCCCCACAGGTGTAGAAGTCTCAACCAGTCAGTCACTCTGTGGAAGGCTCAGTGTAAGGGGTAGTTTCTGCAGGAGCTTTTGCACCCAAGCTCAACAACAGAAAAACAGCGCCAGTGAAGAGTGAGAGAATTGTCCCAACGAAGATTTACAAATGAGGAGTAAGCATGTGAAAAGCTGCTCCATAGAACCTGTCATTAGAGAAATAAGTCAGAAAGCCTGTGATCCCACCACAATAGCGTCTCCGGCCTGGTGGGATGGCTGCGGCCAAACAAGAAAGCAGCAAGTGTTCTCTAGGGTGTGGATGACTGAGCCTAGGCACTATCAGAAAAAATAGTGCAGCTACTTCTTCCAGATACTAAAAATAAAATGAGCATTTATTATTTTCATCTGTCTAGCCTGGTGTAATTATATTTTCAACTTCTGAAAATTAAGAATTTTGGTTTTATACTTCCGTTCTATAATGTTTCCAAATAAGTTTTTTTTTGTTTATTTGTTTGCCTTTTTTTGAGACAAGGTCTCATTATATGGTCTCTTTGGTTAGTCTGAGTCCTGATATCCTGAGTCCTGTGGTCACAAACTCACAGAGATCCATCTCAGTGTTAGTATTTAAGGTGTGTACTATCGCGTCCAGTGCAACCAAGAACTTAATGTATGAAAATCAACTTTTAGTTTTCTTAGGTTTCTTTATAGAAATTTAAAATTATCATCAGTATTAATCTGAATGAGTTGTTCTCTTCATATCTAATTACAATTTTTCAGCTCCATTATACATATATAAGTATATATAATGAATGCACAGATAAATATTAGAAACAGTAAGAAAGCGAATACAGTAGTATAATATAATCCTAGTACTTGGGATGTTGAGGCAGGAGGATTGTGAGTTTGAGACCAGCCTCAAATATATAGTAAGACCTTGTCTCTAATAACCAAGCCAAACCAAAATTAAACAATAATAATGTTGTAACTAAAATATTCGTTTTATTGTTAATGACTGTAATGACTAAAATTATGTTGTTCCCTTAAATGCATTCAGCTATAGTAAAGGTTCTATAAGGTTATGAGTAATGAAAACTGTCTTATTCTGTAAACTAGGAGACTAAATTCAGATAACAAAAATCTTACTCTCTACTGTATATCTCAAGTAACTTTAATTTAAAATTATCTTTCTAATATAGTATATTAATAAGAACATGCAATTCTTCAGGTCCAGTCCTCAGTGGCAGTTGGAACTCCAGACTATATTTCTCCTGAAATCCTTCAAGCTATGGAAGATGGGAAAGGCCGCTATGGACCTGAGTGTGACTGGTGGTCTTTGGGGGTCTGTATGTATGAGATGCTTTATGGAGAGACGCCATTCTATGCTGAGTCTCTGGTGGAGACATACGGAAAAATCATGAATCACAAAGTTAGTATATTCACTCTTTTATAGTTTTCACAGTAAATGCATAGAGTAAGTTAAAGTCTCATGATAGTAAAGAGAAAATATTCTTTTGCTTAGTAGGGGAACATTGTTAGTAATGGCAATCTGTGAAATAATTAACTTTTTCACATATTTTGTTTAGAAGTGCTCCTAAATAGAAACATTGGTCTCTATAGTTGAGTAACAAAGTTCAAAAGTAGTTAGTTTCATTAATTTTTACTATATAATATGAACAATCATGACAAGCATACATATAAAATTATCAATATTATTAGAAATTAGTAATGAAGTGTGAATAAAGATAAAATTGAGATTCTTTGGAGCCAGCAAGATGATTCGTGGCTAAGGTGCTTGCTGTGCAAGCCTGTTGACCTGAATTCAGTCCCTGAAATGCATGGAAAGATAGAAGGAGAGAACTCACCCCACGAGGTTGTCCCTGACCTTCATTCACACGAACAGCTCAGCACTCGTGCACACACACCCATGCATGGACCCACACATGACAGCTGCAGTTTTCTTCTGTCAAACTGGCAAAGACAAATGAAAAGTTGTGTTCTGTACTCTAATGCAGCAATTTGGGAGCTCCTCAGGTTCCATTGTCAGGGATACAAATTGTAACTTCCTGTCACAAAGTTAACCGATACCCATCTTGAGCCTTAAGATGATGGTTTGAGCTTTGGATGGAGCAGGTTCGGGTCTAGAAGTCTACCTGATAGAAATATTTAGACCAAAGATATGTATATATAATATCCATCCCATGTTAATGATTACAACACACTGGCTGCACTCCAGCTACATGCAGGAACTCAATCACAAAACTCCAGTTCGAGATCACCTAGTGCAAAATAGTGCAGAATTGAATAAACTGTCCAGTTACAGAAGATTCTCAACAGTTGGAAAAGTCCTCAATGAATCTGAATGTCCACAGAAGAATAGGATTATCTGTACTTTTTAATTGGTTCTGGTGTTATAATATATATATTATATATATAATATGTGTGTGTATATATATATATATACAATCAGTTTTATAGACTATGTCTTCTACTGAGATGCATAACTGGAGCAGTAGGTAGTTATGAAGAACTGAATGAAGGAAGACATTGAAGGTTGAAAGAAGTAGCTTCAGTGTAGCATGCTGCTTAACTACACCGGTCTGGAGAGAGTTCCAGTCAAGACTCTTCTTATTAGTTGTACGGCACTGAGAAAAAAATGACTCTGTACCTTAGTTTCCTCTTCTACAAGACCATCATCATAGTAGTTCCTACCAAGTGTGATTATTGTGAGGATTAAATGGCTAAATAAGTAAATCACTTTGAGTAGTACCAAATACATGTTACATTTTTAAGTGTTTAATGATTAACTGATATTTTATATTGTACCTGAACAATATCAATAATCTACTTTCTTTTGAACTATTGAGTTTAAATTCTGCTACTTTTAGTCAGATCCATCTCACTTTAACATCAACTTAAGATCCTATAGCATCTGACTGCTTTTTGAAGTTCATCCATAATGAAGTCACTTAGAGAATCAAAATTTTTTTTAGGAAAAGGATTTATTTCTCATTATCCCTGTGTCTCCCCACAGTATCAATGATTTGTGCCATCAAACACTAGATGTTTTTCAAAAGGAGATGTGCTTTAAACAAGTTTACCACCATGTTGTAAGAGCACTGGGGATTTGTATTTACACCTTATATTGTTGTCTGTGTAGGAAAGGTTTCAATTTCCACCCCAAGTGACTGATGTGTCTGAAAATGCTAAGGATCTTATTCGAAGACTCATTTGTAGCAGAGAACATCGACTTGGCCAAAATGGAATAGAAGACTTTAAGAAACATCCATTTTTCAGTGGAATTGATTGGGATAATATTCGAAATTGTGAAGCACCTTATATTCCAGAAGTTAGTAGCCCAACAGATACATCGAATTTTGATGTGGATGATGACTGTTTAAAAAATTCTGTAAGTATGACATGAAGATGTTCTGTCCTTCTGGTCCTTTTAAGAATGGTTATAAAGTACCATTTTTATTTATTAGTTTTGTGTCAGGACTATTTTTCTCTTATCAGTTACACAGTAGTTAATGACTTCCAGTGCTTATTCTGTCGTATATCAAAAAAAATTAAGAGACTTAACTGAATTCATTACAGTCACCCATGGCCAAAAGCAAAATTCAGTGACCCGTTCCTTAGATAGTTGTGTCAGTAAGTTTCCTAGGAAGACAACTTTAGATGCTCTAAAAAGTGTATTTCATGACAGCCCCCCCCCAAAAAAAACCATGAAACTGGAAACACATGGCAAAACATTTCAGGGCTTACTATAGCCAAAAGGAAATAAAGAAGTATTCATTCATGAAAAACTACTGAACTTTATTTGAACCCATACATACCACACCTCCTACCTCTCACCCCATCACCTGTTCCATTGTGCTTACTACATGGAACAAAAAGCTGATGCCTTGCTGCCAGATGGGCAAACTTTATTTGGGAGGCTCAAACCCAAAACCCATATTGTTGCCACTAAAATAGTCAGCTGGGCAGGAAATGAATGTGGAAAGTCAGTCTATAGTCTTCCTTACCTGGGGTAGTCTCTGCCTGAGTGAAATAGTTCCCTCCTCTCAGCTCATGGACTGTAACAAGGCCAGCATATTGTATTGACTTTGCTCTTAGTCTCTAGATTATATAGATTCAAATTTAAGAAAATCAGAACCTAAACTCTTGGGGGTTTTTTCTAGTCTTATTTTAAGCTGTTAATTTATTTAGTAATTTTACATCTTTGGTTTTAGTTCAATACTAAATTTTATATTAATTTTATATCACTTTTTACTGTTATGTAAGTATTGAACTCTAATCGATATTAATAATAAAAAATCCAAAGTCAGATATTAGGGGAGGAAAGCTGAAAGATCAGAGAAGCAAAGCAGCCAGCCACTTGCTCTTACCTCTATCTCAGATGAAAGGTGCGATCCTGTCTCCACGAATCCTCAGACTGAATACTCTCTCTACAGAACCTCAGACTGAATCCTCAGCCTGCTGCCTCAGACTGCCATGAGCTCCTGTCTCCTCCCATCTTATATTCCTCTCTCTACCCAGCCATATTCCTTCCTGTCTCTACCTCTTCAGTGCTGGGATTAAAGGCTTATCACTCCAAGTGCTGAGTGTGAGCTGTTTCTCTTTTAGACTGGATCAAAATTTCCTGTAGCACAGGGTGGCCCTGAACTAACAGAGATCTGCCTACCTCTGTCTCCCAAGTGCACCAAAGGTGTGCGCCACCAATGCCTGACCTCTATGGCTGACTAGTGTGGCTTGCTTTACACTCTGATCTTCAGGCACGCTTTATTTGTTAGATCATAAACAAAATATCACCACAAAATACTATGTTCAAGATAAATGTGAGCTGTTAGATTATTTAAACTTCACAAGAGGGAATTAGAAGGATTTTCCTTACCAGTTTTTAAATTATATTCACTGTTGACAGAAATTCTGAGTCATTCCAAGTTAAGTGAATATACAGTTGATTTTAATTATTCACAGTAGTTGTATTTTATAAAGTTATGGTGAAAACCAAGTTAGTTGACATTGACAATTGCTTTGTAGGAATAAAAAGTTAATGAATTTGAAGGAGATCAGGGAGGGGTATATAGGAGCTGTTGGAGGGAGGAAAGGGAAGGGAAAAATGTTGTAATTATATTATAATATCCAAAAATTAAAGAAACATAAGGTTAACCTCTGGTCATATTTTCAATTACTTTGAATATAAAAACCTTTTATATGTACTTCTATTTAAGGGTACTTTATATAATAATATATACCATTGATTCATTAACACTGAACTCATGTCTAATAGTACTATAACTTATTCCTAAAACAGAGTTTATCTAATACATGTTGTTTTCTCTGTAAAGGCACATGATTACTTTCTTTTATGTTGCAACATTAGATGGCAGCCAGATGTGGTATCACACACCTCTAATCCTAGCACCTATCAGTCTGGTAGGGAGTCTAATGGGAAAGGATCATGAGCTCATGTCTACCTTGGGCTATACAGCAAGACCCTATTTTTAAATTTTAAGAAAAATAAAATAAGAGCAATTATCAGTCAGAACTTCTGGGAGCCATTTTACACAGACATACTGTCAAAAAGGCACAGAAATGTTTATAGACATCTGCCGAGGACATCTGCCTCCAGATGAGAAAAGAGGAGCATTCCATGTTCGGTCTTAGCTGGAGTAGCAAAGGGCAGTGCACATCCTCTACACACATCTTCAGTAACCACATAAACCCCGAGGATATTGTTTGTCCACTTGCAAATAAATTATGCTTTTAAACTGTGTGTGATGAAACATGCCTATAATTTCAGCACTTGGAAGGCAGATATAGGAAGATTGTACGTTTTAGGCCAGTGTGGGCTATGTAGTGAGGCCTTGCCTCTGTAGGAAAAAAAAGCTAGACAAATTTTCAGATACAGAACACACAAATAATGACTAATTTCAGTCTTTGTTAGGCTTTTAACCTTTATTTGTTTGAGTTTTGTAGTGGCAGTACCTATAGTCTCTACCAAATTTACCACTATCTCTAAACTGAATTGTTGCATATCCCCATTGACAGTTAAGATTTATAGTCCAACCTATGGATCATAAATATAGATTTATTGCCAGATTGGTATTCTTTTTATTTTCTTTTAGGAAACAATGCCTCCACCAACACATGCTGCATTTTCTGGCCATCATCTACCATTTGTTGGTTTTACCTATACTAGTAGCTGGTAAGTTTCAAAAATCAAGATAAGTTGGGTAATTTATAAAAAAAAGTAAAGTAAAGCTTGAAATGTTATATATACATGGTTATAGTGTGGAGCTGGATTTAAATATGAAAAATGAAGGATAAGCCTATTATAAAAAGAATAAACTACCCAAGAACCAACTATTTGGAAGGAAATGATGAGGACAAGTAGCCCGAGTCGTACCCATTGGGATAGGGCAGGAACCAGCACCAAGGCACTTAAGGAATATTCTGTATATGTCAAGCACCAAAATTTCCAATGCATTGTTCATGCCCCTCTTTACTCTTCACTCCATCTCTGTCCTCTGACCCCTCCCTTCAATGTCCCATAAGAATTATAGTAATCACTTCCTGTGTGCCATGGAGGTCCCTTTAACTATCTCTCAGCTGCTGGACTTTCTTAGTTGAGTGAATGTCGTTCATTTAAAATCTAAGCAATTCAAAATGGCTGGAGCAGACAGATGGTTCTTAACAACCAGACTGACTTTACATTGAGATTCACCAGCTTTGAGTACCGTATTCTGTGTGAAAACACGTGGATCGAATTGGTTTGTTCTGCCCTATATGTACCATACTTCATTCTTGCAAATCTTGGTCACCCTCATTCTCAGCAGATGATCTTGCTTCTTCCATCCCTGATAATTGACAGCAGCTGCAAGTCCCTGCCACTGCTTTCTATCTGTTCCCAGACTCACACGCTCTTCTTCTCAAGGATAGACTGTGAAGAAGCCTGGCTCGGGCCGATTCCTTCCATTCCTTCCTGCTTGGCTTAATGTATTGTTCACTTTTAAGTCAAAGTTTTCTCCTTTAAGTGCCACCCATCCCCATCGTTACATCCTGCTAACCATCTTACCAGACATGGAGTTATTTCTTCCATCTTAAAGTATAAAGCCTTTCTGGATCTAGTACCTGGTATCAATTATTTCCTTGGTCTATAACAAAATTACTTCTCTTAACTGTCCTTATTTATTTATTTATTTATATTTATTTATTTATGTTTGGTTTTTCAAGACAAGGTTTCTCTGTGGCTTTGGAGGCTGTCCTGGAACTAGCTCTTGTAGACCATGCTGGTCTTGAACTCACAGAGATCCGCCTGCCTCTGCCTCCCAGGTGCTGGGATTAAAGGTGTGCGCCACCACTGCCTGGCTTAACTGTTCATTTTCAATACTAGTCTTTCTTGATTGCACCCATTTCAGATTTGTACCCCAGTCACTTCATGCAAACTGCTTTCGCCAGCACCACTGTTGGCTCCTGTGTAAACAGGTATATTGAGTACTTCTAGTCCTAGTCTTAGTTGCCTTTTTCACCTTTGCCACTGCTCCATAGGAAAACATTTAACTTTGTGTCCATTTCTCAGTTTCATCCTCTCCCCAGTTTCTGAGTATCAAAGTGTTCTAGGGCTCAGCCATGGAACTTCCCCCACACATTCCCTATGGCATAAGACCTCCTTGCCTTCTACTTAAAACCTGTCTGAACTGTCTGTGCAATATGTCCATAGCTCCTTACATTTCCTACATCTACCAAATTGCCCTGTCAGATGAGATAAACCTGCCTTTTGTCCCCGTTCATGGCCATTTCCCTTTATTCCCAATCCTGTTTCTTTGTATACTGAGAATAAACCAAGGTTCCTGTAAGACCCTGTACAGCTGTCTCAGTCATCTTCTATTCCTGCTCTTCCAGTTGTTCGCCATGTTTTATGTCATGTCCTTAAGGCCCAAGAGCCTTGTCTTTGGATGTTAAGGCTTCTGTTCCTGCATCGGTTTTCCTCCTGACACTACCTTGCCTGGTACCTTTCCTTAGCTTTCTTGATGTCTAAATTTCTATCTTCTCTTTCTCTCTCTCAAGACTTCTTTTCTCTCTTTCCTACTTAATATTTTTTCTTTAACAATTAACACTTTTTAATATATTGGATTTTTGCATACTTTTATTTCTATCCCTGTTGCTAGAATTTAAACAATTGGCAAAGAGTTTTGTCTACCTAAACTTTTTAATTAAAATACAATTGCATCATTATGCTGTCCCCTTTCCTTCCAGTCCCTCCTGTGTTCCCTCCCTCCAACTCTTCTCATGTTCACCTCCCCACTCCCTTTCAAATTGATGACCTGTTTTTCTTTGATTATTATTTTACACACACACACACACACACACACACACACACACACACACACACACACACACGTTTCTGAGAACATTCAGTGTTGCTTGTGTGTACATGCTTTCAGGGCTGACTACCTGGTTTTATATAAACAACTACGTAGTTCATGTCTCAGGAAGACTAATTCTCTCTCTCTCTCTCTCTCTCTCTCTCTCTCTCTCTCTCTCTCTCTCTCTCTCTCTCTCTCTCTCGCTATCATTAGTTGCTATAGTTCTTTGTCTATGGATTCACTGATGAATGCCATCATCTCAAATATCTTTAATGTGTATCCAGAAAAGCACCTAACTTTAAAGTTTTGAATTTCAAATTCTATTAATGAACACATGCAGATGGTTTTGATTACTGTTTCAGTGAACTTGTCAAATTGTTTTAAACTACTAATAACCCTTCAGTAACTTTGTTTTATAATTTATGGAATTTTAAATTGAAAGACAATTTGGTGATAGAAGTTTTCATATCAAATATTTCTACAAATAGCTTATAGTAATTTTGCAGAAAAAATTATAGTCATTCTGTGGTATCTTAGATGTTTTACTATAGATATTCAAATCTGTGTCTTATATGAAGAATTTTTAAATTCTTTGTTTTTCTTCAAACTTTATTGCAATATGAGCCAACTTTTTTTTTTCCATTCAGTGTTCTTTCTGACCGGAGCTGTTTGAGAGTGACAGCAGGGCCCACCTCTCTGGATCTTGATGTAAATGTCCAGCGGACTCTAGATAATAATTTAGCAACTGAAGCTTATGAAAGAAGAATTAAGCGGCTGGAACAGGAAAAGCTTGAGCTCTCTAGAAAACTTCAAGGTAAGTATTTTAGTATTTTCCTCATTTGAATGGAACTCATAGTGTTTTGAGCTGCATTATCAGGGCTTTTCTTCTTTTTGTAAATGGTAAAAAAAATGTAGTTGTAGAAATATATGCAAAAAGGGTATAATGCCATTTATGTAAACATTACACACTAGTAAACAGAGCCATGATGTGTATTTCTATAGGTATAGATATGTACATGCAAATATATGGAATAGAATACCCCTGGGGTTGGGAGAGTGGAGCTGTCATGAAAACAGTACCCTTCTCACCCTGACGTGACACTTCAGTGACTTTTCATATCATACGTGATCGGTCTTTACACGTTGTTACCATCATACACTGTGATGATTTTAAAATGCACGTTAACATTACTTTTTCACTTCTTTTCTGCAGTGGGTTTGATATTTCCCTAGTCTACTCGGTTTCTCAGAACCCCGCAATCAATGTCACATAGTTCTTTTACACCCTCCTTTCTCTCTCTCTGAGCAATGATGATATTTCTCTTGCACTCTCTTTCTCTGCTTTGGTTCGGAGGCTTTGCTGTATTTCTGTAGGATGCCGTTGTTTCCTGTGCTCCTCTCTTGTGCTTGTGTTTTGTTCCTCGTTTAAAGTGCCTGTTGATTTCTACATCTGAGTCGTCTGTGAGTGTGCTGCCACCTTTTTTCTCTTTGGTTATTGGTCATGTTCTCCTGCTGTTCCAAATGCCTTTTAACTTAAATTGTGTGACTAATATGAGTGAAAATAAAAACAACTGAGTTAATACTACTTTTGCCCCAGAACATGTTTTCCCACTCTTCATCCAATCAGTAATTGAGCCCAAACAAGACTAGATATTAACTCAATCCATTTCTAATGTCAGAAGGGAAGGGAGGATTAGATAGAGCCTAGTAGGGTGTTTTTCTCCTTTACTCATCACTAGGGGGGATTTGTTCCATTTTTCAGCCTCCTCGTCTCACTCCTTCCAAATCTGGAAGTAGTAATGAAATACTTTGGTGAGGAGACTGTCCCTGACTTGATGCAAATACAACAGATATACTTACTAGTAGGACAAGAATGCCTTCCCTAAACAGTGTGCAAGTCCCCTTCCCCCACATTCTCTAGAAGTTTCTAACTTGGTGGGTTTATTCAACCTGACAGCCCTCAATTTTAGGGGCTGGTAAGCTGGCCTAGTGGGAAAGGGCACCCATGACAAGCCTAATGAGTAAAGTGTAATCCTTGGAACTCATGGTGGAAGGAGAGAACTGACTGTTGAAGACTGGTCTCTGTTCTCTACATGAGTGCAATGGCATGTGTACTAACACCTATAACACTCCTCAAAAACAAACAGATAATAAAAATATTCCGCAGTTTAGGTCAGGCTTCTACCAGAACAAAGCCCCAGGTTAGAGCCATTGAGACAGCCTTTCATCCTGGAATGACTTCCTCCTCTGTGGATGACTTCCTCCTCTGTGGTTCATTTTACTCAGTATTTGATTTTGCACTTCCATAATGGTTTGCAAATTAGATTTTTTAAGAGCTTAGTTTTATATTTCAAATTCATTTATTTTATTTTCACTTGTTACAAAGGAAACAATAGAGCAATAGCCACGCCTGTTCCATTTCATTACAAATGAGAGCTTTCTATACCCTAGTTTTGATGTCTGAATTCTTTAATTTTTCTAAGAGAATGTTGTTATGCATGAGTTGTAGATAGTATTTGGACAAAGCAAAGTTTGCTAACTAAGCTGTCTTCAAGTCCCAAATTTAAGTGTCTTTTAAATAAACTAAAACAATGGATGTCCTTTTCCAAATAAACACAATAGGATTGATGTTAATACTGAATAAAATACTTTTTAGATACTGAGGTTATGATCAGATGTATGATGTAGTATTTTTTATACTTTTCATTTGGGTTAAGAAATGCTTATTGATGACCATGTATGTAAGCATGGTGATGTATTTTATCTATGTGTGTGATTTGTGCTAATTCACTAAGATCTCTTTCATCAATAGCAGAAAAGCTGTTTTTAGGACAAAGGGTGGTTTCATTTCTGATATAAATTGTTCTTTGTCTTTTTCTAGTACCTGGGAAACAAGCCTTATTATAGTGTTCATATTGCTTAATACATTTCATCTTCTGTATACAACTTTAAGATAAATTGATCTGTATTTCTATTAAATGTTTTAAGTAAATTGAAAAGCCAAATCACATGTAGCCAATCCTTTAATTTCCTGTATAAAATCCAGATGGTCTCCATATCTACACACTATGTAAAAGTACATCTAAACCTTTCTTCATGTCTTACTTAGTCATATGTCATATAATATGTGATTTTTTTTTCTGTCAAGATGATGGTCTCTGCTAGGAGAGAATCATAAAAGTCTGAATAGTTAATTCTTTGTCTTAGTTGGTCAATAGTACTTCAAACCTCAAATCTCATGTTAAAAAGTTGAGTCATTAAAGTATATATTTGGATATCTTACTTACAAACTGTAAACAGATTCAATGTAACTGTATACTTTAAGGTGTTCTTAAGCTTTTTCAATGAGTAAATGTTCTGAATAATGGAACTATTAAAACAATTGTGTATAGAAATGTTGATATTTTAAAAAATTTAAGTCTCTGATTTTCATTCTTTAGTTCTTTCTTTTCAGAGTCAACGCAGACTGTTCAAGCTCTGCAGTATTCAACTGTTGATGGTCCACTAACAGCAAGCAAAGACTTAGAAATTAAAAGCCTGAAAGAAGAGATTGAAAAACTAAGGAAACAAGTATCAGGTGACTTCCTGAGGTCCATCATTAGTTTAGTAGATGTTAAGAAATAGTTTTATTCACACATAACTGTCTGCTGAGTCTTGTTGATGTTATGTGTTATGAATTATATGACACTGAAGAAAAGGTAAATAAAACATAGTCCTGGTTTCATGAAGTTCATAATTTGATTTGGAAAGTAAATGTGTAAGTCACCATTGCCACACATATGAAGGGGCTTTAGAGAAAGTAGGAAAAGGTACACAGAGAATACATAGGTGGCACACCCGCCTAGAGAGAAGAAAGATGTCTAACACATGACTCTAGTTTCAGAATTTGTCTGGAAAATTGCGTATATGAGTGGGAAGTAGATATTAGGTTTGCAGAAGAGTTGTTGCTGCAGACAAGAGAACAGCACATATGAAAACACCAACTGTCAAATCATATATATCAAGGGCTGTCCATTTCTTTTTAGTACGGACATTACTGTGCCCTACAAAATTTCAGTTTGTATTTTCATTTTACCTCAAATGTTTTAAATTTTTTCATTTTGATTCAAATTGAGAAGTATGTAATTTACTTTGAGTTTTTGAAGAATTAACTTCTGTATTTCTCTGATCAGTTTTGTAATACCCCTTATGATCCCAGCTCTTTTAGAGTTGTTGAGGTGTATCACAAATAATAAAAACCCCAGAGACAGATATTGGGATTAAAACTGAAGACCAGAGAAGCAAAGTGACCAGCCGCTAGAGAGTTCTCACCTCTAGCAATGCTCAGATCGAGGGGGTAATAGTGTCCTCTGATTGCATCTCCAAACTGCACTGCTCCTCAGACTGCCTATACTACAATGTGTTCCTGTCTTCTCCCACCTTACATTCCTCTCTCCACCCGGCCATCACTCCTATCTCCACCTTCCTAGTGCTGGGATAAAGGTGTGTACCACCACTGCCTGTCTCCATGACTAATTAATGTGGCTGCTGAGATTAAAGATGTGTACCACCACTGCCTGGCTCTATGGCTAACTAGTGTGGCTGCTGGGATTAAAGTTGTGTTACACCACTGCCTGGCTCTATGGCTCTGGCTAGCTTTGCACTCTGAACTTCAGGCAAGCTTTATTAGATCATAAGCAAAATATCACCACATTGAGGTTTGTTTTATGCCTAAAATATGGTTATCCTTACCTATATTCCCAGGGCACTTGTGATGAATGTGTATATTCCTGTTATTCTAGATGGTTTGTTTTATAAATATTTATTAGATTCTATTGGTGGAGAATATTTTTGAGGTTTTCTATAGTCATGTTGGTTTTCTGTCTAGTTATGTTATTCATTATTAAGCCAGGCATGATTTTCCTCCTGTTGAGCAGGCCTTAAGTCTAATCAGATAGCTGTTGGTTGCTGTGAAGATGTGAGCACCACTACTACACCCTTAGGAATATCTTGCATACTGGTCACTGTCGTGGTTCATAGGCACACCAACATCTCTTCATTGCCAGGGGAGCAAAAGTCTAATTCCCAATTCGTTCTCCACTGACACTCTGGGAACCTCTTAATCTTTACCAGTTGTTATTTGTTTGTTTTTAAAACACCACCCCTGTGGGTGTGCTTTGGCATATCATTGTAGCCTCAGGTTGGAAATTCAGATTCAGCTCTCATGGTTCAGCATGGGAATACAGAGGTTTCAGAGATCTGCCTGCCTCTGCCTCTTGAGTGCTGGGATTAAAGGTGCGCACCACCATGTCATGGGAGTTTCTATAATGTTTAAGTCAAATACAACAGTAGTTTTCTAAGATTTTTTGTTCTATTTATCTGTTGTTACTGATTTTGGAGAATGACAGGACCTTTCATGACCCACTTAACATGATGCAAAGACAGATGTCAGACACTTATGGTCGTCAAAGACCAATCTAGAGCAGTGGATCTGATTTGTTGTCTCACTCCAGTGGAAATTAAAGATAGTTCAGTTTTGTGCATAAACAATATGGAAACAGCCTTTATTAAGTATTGTTATGGAAAAGTGAGATGAATTTCCAAGAGTCTGGAAGTATATCTAAGAAAAAGCTGTTGAATTTCCTTTTATTTTTAATATGTTTTTTATAAGGCAATGGCAGAAACTGGACAAAGACAGATGTAAACTCTTTGGGGACTGGTTAATTACCTGGGTCTATCAAAGGTGAAACAAATAGAAGATCCATGTGTTCTGTGCATGTCCTCCCTGAACCAACCAGGGAGATAATCATGTTCTGTTCATGCTTTCCCACACACGCTAGGAATAGTTGAAGCCCGCTTTTATGCATCTCTGAGTCTGGCTTAGTTATTGATGTTAATTGATTGCTAGCTGTTACTTGAACACTATTACTACCTTTTGACCTTGCTGCTGTCTTGTTAACTGTTCATTATATCAAGCTGTGTTTATTTTCAGAGCCACTAAAAAGTAGCTAGAGTATTACTGGTTAGCTCTTTATCTGTGGGATGGTTTGGGGTTTCTTTCCTGAAATAGGTCCAGCACTTTAAGCCATTCTCTCTTAGTATAGTCTATTTATTATAAGCTATTTTCATTACAAACAAAGTATTAAAAGAAGGAGTATGTAATAAACAATAGCGTCTTGCTTTTTTTTCCCCCAAAACAGAAAGGTTCCGTGGAGGTTAGGCAGCTGGCCTGCCATCGTTGGCCTATTTGCCTCTTATCAGCTCTGCCTGGCTATCTCACATCAGGGTGCACGCCTTCTAACTAATTTCCCTTAGTGTTCCAGACTCTGTGGTTTTAATCCTTAATCTTCTAAAATATGATCATAATTGGTCTCATCAATAAAAACCTGCCGTCAGATGGATCAGAGCAGCACAGCAGCACCCATCAGAGATATTACCTCTCCAAATTCTCACACTAAAAAGGCCTAGATCCTGTCTTCATCCCACCTTATCACTTCCTGTCTCCTGTCTCTTATTTATTTAGACTTCCCGAACTCTATGGTTAACTAGTGACTAGCTCCACCCTCTGATCTCTAGGCAAGCTTTATTTGTCAGAACACAAACAAAATATGGCACAACAATCTTTTTAAATCCAGCTGCTGTTCTCTCTAAAACATATGAAAGTAACTTGCAATTCTTCCCACAGTTCTTTTCTCTTATTCTGTATAAGAGTGCTGTCTTCTCCCTCACTAAAAGACAGACTCTCTAACTGCCCTTTCTTGATCCTTTGGCTAAAAAGACAAGCATTTTGGGGGCTGTATTCCCTTATACGTGTTGACTTTTCTAGGTTACCATCTCCTTAAGGTCTAATTCTGGGATACACGAGAAGAAAACCTGGGAGCTCACTACTTTGATTCCTCAGGCCCAGCTAGTTCTAGCTAGTCTCAACACACTTTGTCATAGTCTTCTTACTTACTTATTCACTGATCATTTATTCATCTTTAAATATAAGGAATGAGGCTTTATTTGTTCTTAATGAGAAATATATCAATTATCATTCCCAAGTCCCAGAGTCACCTTCTTAAGATATGGATCTGTTCATGTCACAGCTTCAAGACGCGTGCATGTATTTTCAGGGGATTCTCCTTGCCTCTAGGATAAAGTAAGAATTTCTCAATATTGAATAGAAGTCCTTCATCACCATGCATGTGTTTCTCCTCAGCTGTATTTCTAGTAACTACTCCCTTTATTTACTATACTCTGATTCTACCCATGTGGAGTTATTTCTAGATCCTGTATAGTGCTTATGCTTCATACATGAGTCCCTCCTCCTTCCATTTTAATTCTCTCTCCTTTCACTTGTCTGTCTGTCAGCCATTCCTCTGTCTTCTGTCTGTGTATGCTTGCTCATTTGCTGGAAACCTTTTTTCATAACCCCTGCTTATCTATAACATGTCCTTATTAACATATTTGTGTCTGCACATTGTCTTCCCTCACCTCACCACAAGAGCACAAGCTCTTTGAAAACAGGAGATTTAAATTCGTTAATGTTTATCATTTTATTCACTAGATTGTCCCAAGTATCTATAGAATTATACTTGACTCATTAAAACCCAAATCGGCATTTATTAAGTGAACTGTCTCTTCTTTGAAACCATCTCTACCCTTTTCCTAAGATTTCTGTCTCATTGTATTTGTACAGGCACACCTAGCAACTTCATTCTCCATGCATCCCATGGAGAGTATTGTCCTATCCTGGGAAATCTGTTATACCAGCTCCTCCCAGGCTCCTTTCTTTGCTCCGCTCCCATTGTCTTCTAAATTACACACATTTTAAAATCATTTCCCAATAGCAGAATAAAATTAGTAAAAATACAGTTAAGACAAAGGGTTAGTCCTCTTGTTTTGAAATTGTTCTTACCTTACAGGGTTTCATGTGTTGGATATGTAAAAATAGTCACTCCTGTATTCTTTCATTCCATTTCTCTAATACCTGTCCCTCCGTTCCTTCCTCCTTCCTTCCTTCCCTCCCTTCATCATTTAACTTTTTAAATTGTGGTAAAATATATCTATAAAATTTATAATTTTAACAGCTTTTAATACTTCATTGAGAAATATTGAACACTTTCACATCTTGTCATTGCTATCTGTCTTTTTTTATCATCACAAAATAGAAACAAAGTGAAACAATAGCTTTTTTTTTTTTTACTAACTCAGGCCCCTACTTCATTCTTCCATAAATTTGACTCTTTCAGAAACTTCATATAGTAGAACTGCACAGTACTCATTGTTTTGTGTTTCGCTTACTTCACTGAGTATAATGTTCTGTTCTTCTAGGTTCTGCAGCCATTTAGTCCTAAATAAATATACAGAGGCATATATTGATTATAAGTTGTTTGGCCGACGGCTCAGGCTTCTTATTGGCTAACTCTCTTTCTTAATTACTAACTCATTTCTATTAATCTGTGTATCTCCATAAGGTTTTGGCTTACTGGAGAATGCCCAGCGTCCTATATTCCTGGTAGCTACATGGCATTTGCCTGGCGACTCACTCATTGCCTTCCTCTTCCCGGCTTTCTCCTAGTCTGGTAGCCCTGCCTATACTTCCTGCCTAGCTACTGGCCAATCAGTGTTTTATTAAACCAGTAAGAATATACTCACAACATACAGAAGAACTTCCCCCCATTATTATCATGTTGTAGGCTGTCTACATTACAAATGTCTACTTCCTACTTTTAAAAAGCTGAGCAATATTCCATTATATTCATATAATAGATTTTGCTTTGGCCTTCATGTGTTGTTGGACATGCAGGCTGCTGTAGTGAAATTGTGCATCATATATTGTTTTATTTTTTTCAAAAGGATCCCTATTCTATTTACCACAGCAGTTGTTTAATTCCACTATTAACATTCATCCATTTAAAAAAATAAATTCACTTTGTCCTAATTAATTCACAAATGGAAACATTACACAGCTAGTTTAAGGAAACCACTGAACCAGTCCCAATCTCTGACCGTCTCGGTAAATTCATATACTGTTAGACTAGCCAATCTTTGACCGTCTCGGTAAATTCATATACTGTTAGACTAGCCAATCTCTGACCGTCTTGGTAAATTCATATACAGTTAGAGTAGCCAATCTCTGACTATCTCGGTAAATTCATGTACAGTTAGAGTAGCCAATCTCTGACCGTCTCGGTAAATTCATATACAGTTAGAGTAGCCAATCTCTGACCGTCTCGGTAAATTCATGTACAGTTAGAGTAGCCAATCTCTGACCGTCTCGGTAAATTCATATACAGTTAGAGTAGCCAATCTCTGACCGTCTCGGTAAATTCATGTACAGTTAGAGTAGCCAATCTCTGACCGTCTCGGTAAATTCATATACAGTTAGAGTAGCCAATCTCTGACTGTCTCGGTAAATTCATGTACAGTTAGAGTAGCCAATCTCTGACCGTCTCAGTAAATTCATATACAGTTAGAGTAGCCAATCTCTGACCGTCTCGGTAAATTCATGTACAGTTAGAGTAGCCAATCTCTGACCGTCTCGGTAAATTCATATACAGTTAGAGTAGCCAATCTCTGACTGTCTCGGTAAATTCATGTACAGTTAGAGTAGCCAATCTCTAACCGTCTCAGTAAATTCATATACAGTTAGAGTAGCCAATCTCTGACCGTCTCGGTAAATTCATGTACAGTTAGAGTAGCCAATCTCTAACCGTCTCGGTAAATTCATATGTATGCTGGCATACATAAGTTATTTGCTGGGTTCTAGGGACTGTATTGGGAACTGGAGACATGTTGGTAAAATTGAAAATAGAGTTATACCTCAAGCTACTTAAATACTTTTGCCTTAGAGCTAGTGGTAAATGCCAGCCCCCCAAGACCTGCTTGACTCTGAAAGAGAAAAGTGTCAGAACCCTCCCCTGGTGTCCTCAGGGCCTTCCTGAGCAGGATCTGTGCGTACAAGACACCTACCAACTGATGACTGACTTCATATGTTACTTCCTTATAGCTAGATCTCCTTCTTAGAAACAATTAAATAAAATCTGTCATTCCTAGGGTTTTGTTAATATCAGCTTTTTTATGCATTCTAAATTCTCAGAAGGCTGGGTAACACTTGTTTTCGTACTGTGTATCTAGTGCCTATATTAGCTTCTGGTACTATATAATCAATAGTAAATATACATTTGTTGAATGTCTACAGGGTTGAAAAAAGGAAGATTTGTGCCCTCTTTTAAAGCTTTCATAAGAAACATGAAGGTTATTTTGTTTTCTAAGTGAAAGTTTTATTTTGTGTAGTGTACTTTTTAAACTCCCTGTTATTTATTGCCCTGGCAGTGGGCATCTAAATCCTGTGTTCTGCCTCCATTTCTACTAACCTAGAACCAGCCCCAACGGCTGCTCAGCTAATGGACCAGCAATGACAAAAGAATCCCGCCTGTGTTGGTAAATGGTAAATTGTATCGTGGAACCCGGAATGGGGAGAAGAATTACCAGATACGGGTTGCCATTTCCAAAATATGTTGATCATCATGGTGACCCTCTAATGGCATTGAAATGTTTTTCCCATATACTGTGTCTTCATTATCATCTTCCCTCATATAATGAAGGCTTTTATTACTCTTGTTTTGATAGGGCACTGAAAATATTAAAAGACTGGCAGTTTACTGATATAGATGTGAGTTCTGTATAAAGGTGTGTAAGTTCTCTAAAGGAGAAAATATATTTGTAGAGATGGGGCAAATAAATAGACGAAGGGAATTTTACAATGAGATGAAGAGAAAATCACTCATAGTTACATTTCTCCAAAATCATAAAGTTCTTATCTTGCTTATAAGTAAACATTGGTTTTATGGAGTTAGTGAATACATTTCTAGTCAAGCATTAGACTATCCAAGTACTTTATTTCTTATATCTTTAAATGATTAGTATGGTGGGCTTCATAATGGAAATTAAAATTCAACTATATATATGCAGTATATAAAAGAAAACAAAGTTTGAATGTGGTTATTATGTTTTAGTCAGCATTTGAAATGCTGGTTTTCTTTAGGTGAGTTCTAAAGGAATATACTGACACACATATTTATTGCTTTGAGTTTTAAAGTATGTTGTTAGCATTTCACAATAACATACTTGTAATGTTCTTAAAACAGACCTTTTCTTCATGAAGTATGAATGACAGCTATCTCCTGTGAAAACCCAACAGTCTGAGTTACTGGCATCTTAGAATAGACTGTCTTTAAAATACTGTATATAATTTATGCAATGCTATGTCATGATTTTAATAAATATAGGCTCATTTTTGTATAATAGTTTAAATAATTTAATAATATTGATTTTAGAAAAAATCCTATATTGGGCAGAATTTTTCCAATTGCATAGTCTTTGGCAACCTATTCAGAATATGCTTAATCTGTTTTATATAATTTTCTCAAATGAAGAGAACTATCAATATTTTAATCCAAAAGATGGGGAAAATAAAAATTACTATTTCTGAATAGTTACTTGTTATGCATATCAATATTCTACATTTCATTTGTTTAGACTGTATATCTGAATTAAAGATTTTTTTTCAGAAGTGAATCATTTGCAACAACAACTTGAAGAAGCTAATTCTGTGAGAAGAGAGCTTGATGATGCTTTTAGGCAAATCAAGGCTTTTGAAAAACAAATCAAAACTTTACAGCAGGAAAGAGAAGAGCTAAATAAGGTATGCAGATATGAGTGGATCCTCAAAGCTGTTTCTACATGTTTCATCTTTTATAATTAGAGTATTGAAAGTATTCCTAATAAATGACAATGTATATTTTTCTATTGAAATTTGCATGCTAACCTAAAACATTAGTTTTAAATGGTTTAATTTTTTAAAGATTGATTTTATTTTCAACTATGTGTATCTGTGTGAAGGTTTGTACACATTAAGTGTATGTACCTATTGCAGCCAGAGGCACTGGATCCCCTGGTACTGGAGTTACAAGTTGCCTAATATGGGTGCTGGAAACAGAACCTGGGTCTTCTGCAAGAGCAGTGTAGAGTACTCTTAACCACTGAGCCATCTCTCAACCACCTACATTTTTAATAATTGTTGTAGTGCATGACATTCTTCAATAGCTAGTAATAAGGGAACTCAAATTCTTTTGTTCATTTGGAAAGTTAAAAGTTTTGACTTAGAAAGTAATGTTATTGAAAAAGACATAAGAAAAACAAATAGATTCTAATGTTCATAAATTTTTAAAATACAGATTTTAGATTGTAAACAATACTTTATTGTAATCTAAATTTGTATTTTCTAATTTCTAATGTGGTCATGTATCTTTGACACATATGTTCATTATGTATTTTCATTATAATGTGCTGGTATGAACACTAATAGGTTATAATTTAAGGTCTCCTCCATGATTTATTTATTCATTCTTTAAATGTCATTTTCTTTTCCAAAGCAGCATGGGGGAAAAAAGCTAGTCATTTTCTTAAGAACTTTGTGTAACATGTAAATGGTTCTAGGCATTGCAACAAAATTTATTTGTAACTCAGATTTTATAACAGCCCAATAGAAAAAAGTAGGAAAAGACATGAACCACAAGTTGGTAAGTACTATGAGTGTTGTTAACAACAACATCAAACTTGGGACTAATGGCAGCCAATGCCCTTGAGAGAGAGTAGTTTCTGTCACAGAATAAATTGTATTTAATGATTTGATCTACAAAATACTGATTAATGTAGAATGAAGTCCTTCTGGGGGTAAATTGTAAGTCTTACTACTACTAAGAAAATGGAATTAAAATAAAACAACCTTATATTGATGAGGGAGCTATTACAGATGAGACTGAATTAGATGAGCATACTTTTTATCTACTTACTGCAGTTGTGAGTTTTGGTTTGTGTAGATCCATCTCAGGGGAAGTTTTATAGCACTTGACATATGACAAAGGTTCTCTGTCCTTTACTAATGTACTAATGTTGGTGGTGATGAGTTTGTATGTATCATTAGTACTATACAGTCAAATTTAGGTATCATAATAAACATAAAAACCCGACATCTTGATTTTTAGGAACAAAATTTTTTAGCAGTTTTTAGTACATTGTAGTGCTAAATGTTAGTATATTTTGAAAAAATATTAGTGTTGAAAAGAAACCTTATACCAGTAGGGTATAATATTAAAATAATAAGTGATTTGGTTAATGTCCTACTAGCAGAAAGAAAAAAATTCATTTTCTTTGCATCATAATCAATGCTTATTTGCTTTCGTCTTTTTTATAATAACCATTCTGACAGTGGTAATATGATATCTATTTCTGGTTTTGATTTTTCATTTCTGTGGCGATTAGTTTATCTTGTAAATCTCTTTATATAGCTGTTGGCTTTTGAATGTCATCCTTGGAGCACTGTCCACTTAGGTCCTCTGCTTACTTTTAATTAGTTTAGCAAATATTTTGTTTTTATAGTAATGCCAAAATGTTTTCCAGTATTCCAGTTTTTATATTCTTTCATATAGTACAGTAGTTTCTGTGTTCAGTGATGTTTCATATGCTGCATTTATTTCTTTTAGTCAATCTCGTCTTTATTGAGATTTTGGTCTAACTCCATGTTTCTTTGTAGTCTAATTTGAATTTGTCTAATTTTTTTAGATGGCCATGTATCTTTAATTACATGTCTGTTCATTTTTATGTTATTTCTTTTACAAAATGCCTTAAAATTTACATGTTTTTCAGTTTGGTTGTCTTTTGTTGTTTATAAGAATTCTTGAATTTTCTAATGTCTTTCACTAATTGTGCAAGTTAAAGATACCAGTAGGTGGCTTTTCTATTTACTGTCTGCCTAACCAGAGCTGGAAAGTCTTAATACACTTAATAGTGCATTTGCTGTCTCATACACTACTAAGACTCAGAGATTTTTAAAAAATCTCCTAAGTTTTATCCTTAATTCTTAAATCTTAATCTTTGATATTTATGTCTTTAAATACTAGAAACTCATTTTTGCTGACTGTGTTGTCACTGTGATCTTAGTGCTTTCTTTGGTCCCTGATCCTTATGATCTATCTCTGTATCCTTATGAGACAGAGACACGCAGCAGAGGGTAGAAGACAGGTGGATGCACATTTAGAACTTGCAAGACTATTGCCTGGCTGAAGGACTTCTCAGAAAGAATAAGCATGTATTAGCATCCTCTCCCATAAGAGCCAATTCAAATGGACCTGTCAGTCACCTGGGTGATGAAAACACCCTCCAGAAAAAGCTGTTCAGAGGACTTCAGAAACAGTGTAAAGTCTACCTAAGAGTAGGCTGACACAATGGCCTCTTTGACCACTGTCAACTCTCATCCCTTGAGAGCATGCTTTGTGCTATAATAGATTCTACCCAACCAGGGCCAGAAATCTGACTCAGACCTCATTTTTTGATTAGTGATCAAAAGTCCTGCTACTGGTTATGAGAGAGGGGTTCATTCCTGTTAAACTCCAAACCTGATACCTAACTAACTGCCTGATACTGTGTTATAAAAATTTGATTTTTCTTTTTCCAATATAGCTAACCAGCTACTTGCGGGCAGAATAGTGTTCTTTCCTCAACTGTGCAATGCACCTCCATCATATAGCAAATTCCCTCTTGAATTAGTCTATAACTCTTGAAAACTGTGATGGAATTTTAATCAGAATTGTATTTCATCACTGATAAATTACGGAAGAATTAACTGTATTATATTATATCAAAGTTCATGTATATTTGTTATGATTTTGAATATGCACAAATATAAGAGCATAGCAGATTATTGTCATCATTTGTATTCAGTAGATAACGTAAGTTTTTATCTCCTACACAATTCTGAGAACTAATTGGAATCAACAACCCTTCAAGTGAGGAGTCTGTATTACAGAAGAGGAACCTCCATGACGGTTGTCCAGGCCAGGTGTTAATTATAGAAGAAAAAGGCAACACTGCTCTCTACTCCTTTTTTTTTTTTCTGAGTCTCTTTGGAAGTCTGAAGAGAAATGTCTTGACCTCTTCTCTGTGCCTTTGGAATAAAAATGAACTATTCTAAGCCTTAGTTAAGCCCCAGATAACCAGCCTCACAAAGAAGTCCCCATAGTCCAGGGCACATGCAGCCTCATCTTGAAATGTCTCCAGAGGGTAAATGCATTTCCCCACTGTTGAATTCATTATGAATTACTTTCTATGGCTCACATATAGGAAAGGCCCCAAGTTTCAGTGACATTTGTTTAGGTGGACTAATTGTGTAAAACACAAAGCTGTTTCTGTCCAGTACTGCTGTCTTCTAATACATCAGTGTGTTAGCTTTCCATATATTTAAAGTTATTTAAATTTTATAATGTGGTTCACTTGGTAGAGTGCTTGCCTGGCATGCACCGAGCATTGTTCAGTCCCCAGTACTGAAGTGGCCTAAACAGACATGCTGATGCCTGTAATTCCTGCACAAGGGAGATGGCTAAAAGTTCAGAAATTCAAGGCTGTCCTTGGATATCTGGTGTTTATGGTCAGCCTAGGATCCATAAATCCCCATCTCAAAAACAAGAATAAACAAACAAACAAAAAACCAAAATGTGCTCTGTCATGAAATTGTTTGCCTTTCTTTAAATTGTTCTTCTGTTGTTTCATATTTTAAATATCTTTATTTTTTGTTTTCTTCCTTGCTTTTGTTAGCAGTTCTTGTCTAACACTGCTGAACTCTTATTAACAGGATACGTTTTAGATTTTTTTTCAAAAATTTCTGTAAATAATAACTTCTTTGTTTCTAACTTGGGGTTTTTATGGTTTCCATCTTCTGTAAGCTTACTGCGTTAGCTGGGACCTCAGAATAACATGGAATAGAAATAGTAACATCAGGCACCAACCTGTTGATTTTAAAGAAAATGCCCTGAACTTTTATTACTAATGTTTTACTGTAATGTTTACTACTATATATGTTTTTATAAAACATTTTCCAATAGGTTAAGGGGATTACTTTCTATTTTTATTTTGCTACTCAATGTTTACTATTAAGAATAAATATTGACTTTACACAGAGTTCATTCCTATACACCATTTATATGATTCTACTTAAAACTTTGTATGGTGAGTTACATTAACAGATGTTTTCGAATATGAAACACATTTTAAGTTCAAATTACCACATATCATTTTCTAACTAGAATATGATAGCATAGGTCATGTTTATGTATATTATATTTATAGCACTGTTTTAAGTGCATTCGGGTATGTTTGTATGTATATTCATACACACACACACACAATGCTGTTTCATATTCACAACCACCCATGAGTTGTGTATTATGTTAATCTCCCTGAGACTGAGTACTGAGGTGTTAACTTGCTCAGGGTTATTGGTGATAAGTGCTAGAGCTAGCATTTCTGTATACATTTCTGTATACATTGTGTTTAACTCCAAAGCTCCTGTCTAGGGGTTTTATAGATCACTGGAAATGATTTGCTCATAATAAGGTTTTTAAATCACTTTCTATGAGTTAAATTGACCCACACTTTTACTTTTCTTGACCGTTTTTAATATAAAATCATGACAGTCTCAGAATGGGTGAAACTGCCTACATCTTGTTATTGGGAAGCTTCTGTCTTATGCAGACTCTGAAATCTACCTTCTTTTTCCTTTCTATTTCAGACTATTTCCTGTAGTTGGATTTTTTTTTCACTTGGTGATTGTTTTGGGGATCTGCCACCCAGCTCCTAAATAAATACATGGAAGCTTATTATTTTCTTATGAATACCCCGGCCTTAGCTTGGCTTGTTTCTTGACAGCTTTTATTAACTTATCCTGCCTATCTTTTGTCTCTGAGCTTTTACCTTTACCTATATACCTTTCTTTACTCCATGGCTGGCTGTGTAGCTAGTTGGCTGGCTCCTGACAGCCTCCTCTCCTTTTCTTTTCTTTCCTCTTTGATTTTCTTTTCCCAGAGTTTTCCTCCTATTTATTCTGTCTGCCAGCTCTGCCCATCCTTTCTCCTACCTTGCTATTGGCCATTCAGCTCTTTATTACACCAATCTGGTGTTTTTGACAGACAAAGTAATACAGCTTCACAGAGTTAAACAAGCGCAACATAAAAAAATACAACACATCTTTGCATCATTAAACAAATGTTCCACAATATAAACAAATATAGCACATCTTTTTTTTTTAAACATTTAATGATGGAAACAAAAATATACCTAAAAGCGAAGCTTCTGGAAAAACCATTTGTTCTTTCCTGTCTTATATCGTTCCTCAAACTTGACCTTGGCTTCCCGCCTGGCCTTGCGTTTCAGGGCTGGGTCTCTAAAGACATCCTTATTGACAACAGTTTTGTCCAAGGGGATGTCCACAGAGTACCTTGTGGGCATGAGGTGATTGTAGTTATAAACTTTCACAAAAGACTTGATCTTTGATCGCTTGGCGATTTTCTTCTTGCCCATGGCAGCAGTCACTTTTCGGGGATAGAGGTCAATTCCAGCCACCAGGGCATGGCTGTAAGGGCGGTCTGAGGTGCCGTCCTCAATGTTCTTCACGATGGCGGCTTTGTGTCCGGAGTAACGTCCAGCCAGGACCAGCACCACTTTCCCGGGTTTCATGAACTTGCCCATTTCGACAGCAAGCAGCCGGTTCCCAGCAGAAAGGCAAAAATATAGCACATCTTAAAATAATATTCTGCACTTTCCCATATAGCTTTACTTTAGTACCAGGTTTTAGTGTATATGAAACATTGTGTTGCTTTTTAATATCAAAATGTTTAGTTTTAAATATTTTTTGTATGGATCATTTTTCTCCTTGACAAATTATTTTCTTATAAATGCATCTTGAAGTTTTCCCTGTTGGAAATTATACATTTTTTGTTAATTTATTATTTCATTGCAGTGCCTTGAAGCATGTCATTTGTGTATGTTAGAAATCTCCTGAGCTTTGCTTCATGGCTCAGATTTTAGTGTTATTTTAAAAATACCAGTGTATATTATTGAAAAGAGTATATATTCCCAAAACAGTGTACAAGCTTCTATACATAAAAAGCTTACTAGAAAGCTTCAAACCCTTGTAAGACAGAGTCTTACTGTGTAGTCCAGGATACCCTTCTACTTAGTGCATAAAGCATACTGACCTCAGATTCATTCTAACCCTCCCAGATGCTAGGTTTATAGGCATGGGCTCTATTTCAGGTTGTCTTTATAGTCACTGTTACCTTGTTGATAATTAATGACTAGGAAATCGAAATTCTCGTTGTGGTGATTGGTGATTTATTTTCTAATGCTATCTATTTCAGGCAATTTCTTTTCACTGCACTTTAAGACTACCCTACAGAACTCACTAAATGTTAAAATGGATTGGCTTCCTGTTCTTTTGAGTTCTGTGGTTGTTTAGTAATGTATTCCTAACAATGCTTTTCTGCTAAGGTTAGATTTTGCTTATCTAGTATAACAAACTAACTATCTGGTGAGTTTGGTCCTTTATATTTACTTTGATTACTAAGGTATATGAATATGTTTCTGTTTCATTTTCCCTTGTATTTGTCACACTGTGCTTCTTTTGTATCATTTTTTAACAAAATATAATTGTGCTAAAATGCATGTAACATAGCATCTTAACCAATTTAAGGCATAGTTCATCAGTGTTATGTGTGTATTGCTAAGAAACAAGTCTCCAGAATTCTTTTTGTTTTGCTAAATCATGTCTTATTCTTTGTTTTCTTGTTCATGTTTTACTTTCTACCAGTTCTGGTCTTTGAGTGCTTGCATTTGAATTTTACTATGCTTGTTAGCAAAATCTAAATTGAACTAGTCACCAAAATTCTTAAGGTTCTTTAATTCTATTACTTCCTTCGAATATATGTGTGGTCCACACAGATACTTAGTATGTATATTTACTAGTAACTATGAATCAGATGTTTAAAATAAAATCTTATACATATTTCTTCACATCCATGTGTGCCAGGTTCTTAGTCCTGTTTCCCTTGTGTGCCATTGTCTTTCTAAAACTGTTTTCCTTTTTCTGAAGTGAAGGTATTGCGTTTCCTTTAATACAGATATGCTAGTGGTAAGCGCTGTTAGTTTTTGCTATACTTCAGAAGTAATTTTTCTGAGTATACCGCATCATTTTCTTGTCTCTTTGTTTTTTCACTCTTCCTGTTACTATTTGTCTCTTCTGAGTTTGATGATCTATTTTTGTTTTTTTGAGAGTAGAATATAAATGATTTGCTCCCATCCCAATTTCTTTTTTTAAATGTATTCCATTTGTGTGTGTGCATGTATGCACATGTGTCTATATATGCACGTGTGTACACCTTCTGTGGCATGGGCACAGAGGGTAGATTAGCAATTTACAGAAGTTAGTTCTGTCCACCTTGCAGGATGGGGGGTGTGTGGGGGGTGTGGAAAGCAGTGCCTTTTAATTTTACATGTATAAGTGTTTTGCTGGCACTGTTTGTATGCTCAAGGTAGCTAGAATAGGGCATAATGTCTCCTGGAACTGGAGTTACAGATGATTGTGAGCTGCCTTACATGGATGACCACCCAGTGCTCTTCACTACTGAGCCATCTCGTCAGCCCCCAAATCTCTTTGGAAATTTTTATTTTTGTAGTGCTATCCAGTTTCATTTCTACACATTTCTGGGTTTATGTTTGAGTTTCTTTCTCTTGCTTTATAAATATTAAGTTTCCTATGTTATATATGTGTGTTTTTAATTTTAATGCATATTTCTTTAATGTCTAAATGTCTTGCAGATATTTTAATAAATCTATGTAATAGTTTTTATTAGTCTTTTCTCATTTCCCAGTTTCTATGGTAACTCCTTTTATTTCTTCCAATATCTCATACAGATCACTCTTATGCCGGTATCTAGTGATTCCCAAATATTTCTGGTGTTTATTTCTGTTTCCTGTTGTTGCCATTGGTTCCTAACAGTGGTTCTATTCCTTGGTTCTTTGGGAATCTGTAGATATGGGCTCATGTTCATTCACTGCTAATGTGTGAATACGCCGAATTTCCTTGAAGTTCCTTCCTGCACTTCCATGGATCTGAGTCTGCTTTACCTCTAAAGCAGTAATCTTAGATTTAGGGATATTTCTCCTTGTTACTAGTCTAGGGCTTACTCTTCTCAGGAAGAGAAAGGTAACTGTTGTTTATTATTTGCAATTATTCATTTTAATTAAAAATTTGTCCAAATATTTATTAAGTTTTACAAATTATTTTGAACATCATAGTTTATCTTTTTATATTTTAAGGCTCATTCAGCTGCCTCTTTGTATTTTCATGTCAGCATAAAAATTTGAGAGTTGGTGTTGGAGAAAGTTCACTGATCAAGAGCACTGGCTGCTCTTGCAGATTTCAGTTCCCAGCACCCAAGTGGGAGCCAACAATTGTTTATAGCTTCAGTTTCTTGGCTCTGATGCCCTCTTCTGGACTCAACAGGTTCTGTGTATACATGGTGCACATATATAATACAGGTTAGACACATATACACATAAATAAAAATAAATTTTAAAAACGAGTTTTCGAAGGCATCATTACCTTTGTGTCTTTAGGAGTAATCGTATTGTCCTGAGGTGAATAATTTTGGCTCTTCATGACTTTATTAATAGCTACTTTCATGGCCAAATGTGGTGTCCAAGTTGCAGATTTGGTAACGTATATTCTTTTTACAAAACTGTAGGAACTAGTCCAGGCTAGTGAGCGATTAAAAAACCAATCCAAAGAGCTGAAAGACGCACACTGTCAGAGGAAACTGGCCATGCAGGAGTTCATGGAGATCAATGAGCGACTAACAGAATTGCACACCCAAAAACAGAAACTTGCTCGCCATGTCCGAGATAAGGAAGAAGAGGTGGACCTGGTGATGCAAAAAGCTGAGAGCTTAAGGCAAGAGCTGCGCAGAGCAGAGAGAGCCAAGAAAGAGGTCAGTAGCCAGGCAAATCTATAGTGTCTGTGGAGTAGTGCTTTAAACTGCACTCAGAGACTAGTGAAGTAATGTGCATCCCATTCTTTTAAGTGTTGATGAAAGGTCTTTTGTAGCTTGGTACTATAAACTAGTGTGAATCTCACCATTTGAGCTATACATTTTCTTGGGGAAAGGTGCTTTGGAAACTAACCATGAATTCTGCCCTTTTTATTTTGAAGCTGGAAGTTCACGCTGAGGCTCTAGTTGCTGAAGCATCAAAGGACCGGAAACTGCGTGAGCAGAGCGAACACTATTCCAAGCAACTGGAAAATGAGCTGGAGGGACTAAAGGTACCGCTTGACCTTATGACCCTGGTGATTTTCTTCTCGGCAATCTTGATAGGAGGACTAACTTATTAACTCTTTTTGGTGCTGAATGAAAACTACCTGTGCTTCCAGTCTAGTAGTCTTACTTCTCATTCTTACTAGTTGGGAGCTGATACAGATTTGCTCACCACATTCAAGTTGGTGTGGTGGAGCGTAGAAATCCATGAAGGACTGCCTACCTGAACAGGATGTCCTGGTAATCTGAATGCATATTGTTATAAGCTATCAGGATGCACTGAATTTGCCACTCTCTTGTTGTGACAAAACTTTTGATTAAGCAACTTAAGGAAAGAAACGTGTGTTTTGGCTGACGATTTGAGAGGTGTTTAACATGGCAAGGATGGCATGACAGCAGATCGTGAGGTCAAATCACACTTGGCAGTGAGGAAGTAGAGAGAGATAAATGCTAGTATTCATCTCACTCTTCCCAGTTTGTTGAGTCCAGGACTCCAGGGTGTGTCTTCCCATCTAGGTTAACCCAGTCTAGGAACTCCCTCATGGACATGCCCGAGGTTTGTTTCTGTGATAATTCTCAAGCCTATGAAGTTGACAGTCAGAATTAACCATCATGCCACTTCCTGTTTTGTAAATGACCCGAGAGAGGCCAACTCCGGCCAGATGACCCATTTTTAACTTCTAGCCTGACTAGTTACCAGCTGAGTAACACTGAATAGAACACTTCCATGCCTCCTGTTTTAATTTTCTCATCCATGGCTTCCGTTCCAGGGATATGTAAGTACATATGCAAGCTCACACCTCATAGTGCTCAGTGCTTTGTAGCAGAGATGGCATTGCAGATGCTGAAGGGAGTGTCAGAATCAACTGAGTGGCACCTAGCCTTTTGTGCTATTTTCAAATCCTTGTAGTAAGTGCCTCAAGGTTTAATGACTGACTCACAGATCTGTTTTCTCACCAGAACTGTAACCTTGCTTATTCAAAACATAGAGAAATGTATTAACCTGTCCTCTGTGTGTGTCATTTCTTTAATGCTTGTTTACTACATGTGCTTTTCATTGAATCAGTTGTGTGGTAGAGTTGGCATTAGCTGTAATGACAGAATATCAGTGGAAACTCTGGTTTTCTTTTACTTAATTCAGAAGAGCTACAGAGTGCAAGGTAGAAGTCTGAGACATTTGTTTTGCTTAGCTCTCTCACTACTGTAACCAAAATACCTGAGAAAACAATGTCAGAAAGGAATTCTTTATTTCGCCTTCCTTGTTTGAGAGATCCTATTGTATGGCTTGGTTCATTGGTTCTGGGCCTGTTACGAGGCAGAACATCATGGTGGGCGCTTATGAAGAAAGAGAATGTTCACCCATTGGCAAACAGGGACACAAGGGGGCAGTGCAGGAAGTGGACAGGGATAACAGCCCTCAAGCATATGCCTCCCTCCCAGTGCCCTCCTCCCTCTAGGTAGGCTCCTCTTCTTCCTTTCACTGTCTTCCCAGGAAATCCATCAAGGGCTTAATCTGTGAGAGAGCAGAGCCTTTATGACCTGTTGGTGTCACTGATGGTCTCACAGACACACCTAGAAATAGCTAGAGGGACCTCACATCCAGCCAAGTCAGGATCAACACTAACCCCATCACAGCATCTAATTAAATATTTTTGAGATTGATTTACATTTATGTTACACATATACGTGTCTTGTGTCTCTGTGTGTCTGTGTTCCATATGTGTGCAGTGCCTACAGAAGTTAGAAGAGGGTCATGTGTCCTGGAACTGGAGTTGCAGGTGGCTGTTAGCTGCTGTGTAGGCTATGGTAATAGTTGTTGGGTTTTGATCTTTATTTGATAAAGTTAAAAAAAGGCAATTATATCAGTTCTAGAACGTATTTCAAAATGCCACTAACCCACGAAATCTTGGTTTGGGGACCTCTGTCTCAAAGTGTAAGTAGGAGTTAGGCCAGCAAAGGCTGGGGGAGCTGGAAGTGGGTTGCTGTTGTGATACTCCACTAGCTTCATTCAAATGCTGCTCTGTGTGAAGCTTGTGTAAAGATGATGCCATAGGTGGGACTTTTCTTTTCATCTCCAGTAGAGGTGAAATAGTTCCTTCTCACTAAGCCTTCTCTATGTTTACTACCTTGCTGTGTCCTGTGAAGCTTTGGAATTGACCTGACTGGGATGATAGGGAATAAGGAACAGGAAAGCTGGGATGGAGGTGTGGGGGGTAGACTTTGTTTACTACCCACAATACCTATTCATTCTTTTGGATATTTTCCTAAAATAGAACTTTTTGTATAAAAGGTATGTAAATATAATTCTAAGCCACATTTTTATTCCAGGAAGAGTAATTTTTAGTAGTGTTTTGAAGCACTGGGCTGTAGTTTCAGCTTCTTGGGAGGCAAAAGCAGTAGGGTTGCAAGGTTAAGGCTTAACCAACTTAATAAAACTCTGCCACAAAGGGAAAACTGCACAAGAGGGAGGTGAAAGCTCAGGTGTAGGATGCTTGCCTGGTGGCTTAACTTCCAGTACTGCTGAGAATGGACAAGCATGACGTCAACAGATGTAAAGGGAGAAACTTGTGCAGTAGGAGTCCGGCTTCTAGCGGGGCCGAACATCAATAGAATTTTGAGGTATTTAGCAACATTATGACCAGCTAGTCTTAATAGGTATGTATAGCTTTTACCCAACAACAGTAGAATGCAAATCCTTTTTAAGTTGTTGTAGTAAACTGAAGAATTGACCACAGGTTAAGTCACAGAACAAATCTCAGTAATGTAAAAAGATTGAATTCCTGCAAAGAATCTTCTTTAGTCACAAAGGAATGCAGCTGGAAACCAACAGAAGAAAAACTGGGATGTTCAAAAACATGTGAATGTTAAACAGCATACCTTGAAACAGCCAGTGAGCCAAAGATGAAACACAAGGAAATTAGGATGAGAGGGGGAGCATGTCATTTCAGAGCTCATTTACTATCAGTGTCTTGAGCAGCCATGCATCTCTGCGTTAACCTTTTATTGTGAAGAGAAGCTTCCTTTTAAGTCTGAGAATAGCATTTGTTTATGAGAAGGCAGCTTGGTGATGGATCAACCTAGCTAAATGTTGCTACTTCATAACTATAATTTTGCTACTGTTATTAATCATAGTGTAAATATTTTTTGGAGCTAAAGGTTTTCCAAAGGGGTAGCGTCCCACTGGTTGAGAACCACTGCTCTAATGGATGTGTTTCAGCAACTGGAAATTCATATGCAAGAGTGAATTTGAACCCCTGCCTCACACCACATGCAAAAATTAACTCAAAAATAGGCCATCAACTTCAATATTTGAAACAAAATATAAAATCCTTAGATACTTTGGATTTGACAGTAGATTCATAGAAATGACACTGAAGGATAAGCAACAATAGAAAAAAAGTAAAACGACAGCTTATGGAATATAAGAAAATATTTGCAAAGTACTTATCTAGTGATATGTTGATATCCATAGTGTATAAAGAACTGCTACAGATCAACAACAACAAAAATAATCCAGTTTAAAAATGGTTTAAATGGACATGTCATTAAAGAAGATATACAAATGGTCAGTAAGCATATGAAAAAAGATGTATCATCATTAATTACTATTGGAATGAAAACTAAAACCAAAATGAGATACTACTTCACACTCTTTAAGACAGCAAGGAGAGAAAGGAGGTGGGGCGAGGAAAAAAATGTCTTATAAGAGAGTGGGGGATTTGAAATCTTTGTTTATGGGAATGTAAAGCTATTCATCAACTTTGGAAATGATTTCTTGGTTCCTAGAAAGATGGACACAGAACTCAACATGGACACCACTTACTCAATCATCTGTAATGTGTGTGTGTGTGTGTGTGTGTGTGTGTGTGTGTGTGTGTGTGTGTTCATGTTCACCCCATACAGTTGAAAATGGGTATTCTGATATATGTACTTATACTGAAGTGTTTTGAAGCTGACGGGTAGAAACAACCTATGAGTTGACACATCATGAAATGGATAAGGTTAAACAAAATGTTTTCCATACTAGCAGTGGGATAGCATTTGGCTCATAAAAAGGAATGGTGTTCTGATATATACTATGGTATGTCTTAATCTTGAAAACATTAAGTGAAAGCCAGACATAAAAAGAGAAACAATGTATGATTCCACTTATATGAAATACCTAGCCCCATGGAGGGCCTCACCCTCCCTGGGGGAATGAGGGGATAACGGGGGGGGGTGGTTGGGGGGAGGGTACGGGAGGAGGGGAAGGAATGGGAGAGGGACCTGGAACTGACTTGTGAAGCAACCTCGTTTCTTATCTAAATTTAAACTGGGAAAAAAAATAAAACAAAATAAAATGAAAAAAAAAGAGAAATACCTAGAATGGTTAAATTCTTAGAAATACAAGTAAAGTAGAAATTGCTTGGGCCTTAGTAGAGGTTTAATTCTTAATGCTTACAAGCTTTTTCTTTGGAATGTTAAAAAGAAACTTTGAAAGGATATATTTGTAATGCCACTAAAATGAATACTTTAAATGATCAAAATAAAGTTTTGTTTATATTTACTACTTTAAAATTAATAACATATACCACTAATTGAATTTTTAGCTTTAGTAAGTGAATTATGTGATATGCAGATTCTATCACTATTACTGTTGTGAAGTTAATAATTGCTAGAGTTCCCAACCCCTAATGTGTTAGCTTGCCAGAGCTATTAGAATACCATGTAAATGGCTTACAAAAATGGAACTGATCGTTTGAGTCTGGAGGCTAGAGGGTCAGCATCACCATGTTGGAGAGTCTGTTTCTGGTGGATTTTGGTCATTTCTGATGTTCCTTGGTTATAGGGGCATCCCTTAATACTTCTTTACACTTCTGTGGGATTCTCCTGAGCGTAGCATGTGTCCAAATCTCTCCTCTTTGTAAGGACATACTCACATTGAATTAGGGATCACCCTAATAACCTCATGTAACTTAATTTCCTCTGAAAGGCACTGTTTTTAAATAAGATTAAATATTGTATAGTTAGTTCTTCAACATAAGAATTTTAGGGAAACAGTTCAACCCCAAACACTTAACACTTTTCGTAGAAAGCATTTTCACTACTAAAAAAAAAATGACCATGTTCATAATTTTGGTGATTGTCATTCAATAAGAATATCTGAAGTCTCTCTACAATTAAATGATGAGCTTTTTAAAACTTTAAAAATATTTCACTTTTGTTTTATGCGTATGAGTGTTTTGCCTGCATGTATGTTAAGTGTAGCACATGCACATGATGCCACAAAGGCCAGAAGCAGGTGTCAGATCCCCTGGAACTAGAGTTACAGGCAGTTGTGAGCTACCAATGGGTGCCTCTACAGAACTGGGGTCCTCCGGAAGAGCAGAGTACTCCTATCCCTGAGCCATCTCCAGCTCATCTTTTGTAATAGGATAGTTTCCATGAATACTTATGTGATACTTTTTCTTTATTATATTATTTGGATAAATACCTAGAAATGAAATGAGCAGGTCATCTTAAAATGCATAAATACCTTCTTTGCAAATATGAAAGGCTAAAAAGTTAATACTAGTTCTTTTTGTTTCTTGGCTTATTATGACTTACTTACAAACTGTATTTTTCTCTGTAAAATTTCTACTTGTCCTCTTAATTTTGCAGTCCTTATCATTTGTATAAATTCTTTACACAGTAGAAATATTACTTAGTTTTCAACAACTACTTTCAGTCTATCATTTCATTTGTCTTATAATTGTATTGTTCATTTGTAAAACTATAGAAATATTTCACTTTGTTCATTATTTCTTCTGTTGCTTCAAAGCTTGACTTGTCCTGAGTGACCATTAATATTTAGTTTCACATTCTTTCAGATGTTTCTATAGGATTTCAAAGTCTTAACTGTTGAATGTGTTATAGTTTGTTTTGTCAAGTGGTATGAAATGACTGTTCTTTTTGGGAAGCTGTCTTTCGGGGCTGCACTCGGTTCATACCTGAGAGGGGGAGTGTGTATTAAGAAAGGCTAGCTAAAGGAGTTAAGAGAGCTACAGAGACACATGGTAGGTGTCAGAAGGGCATTTCAGTTAATACTGAATGCCCCAAGTTTATTTTTCACCATTATTAAATACCTTAACCAAAAAGAAGAACATGGTATATCATGTATATGGGACAAACAGACTTTTCTTCCTCGGTCCTCAAGGATTGGGTAGCCATACCTTATACCAAGTCTGTTGTTATGTGGATAAGACACCCAAGAGCAAACATCCTACTGTAGCCACGTCTTAGACCTTTAGGTCTTATGACTTACTAGGGACAGTTTTGAACTCTCTGACCTTTAGTCAGCATAAAGTGGAGTCATCCTTATGGGCCGTGGACAGTTCTTGTATTGTTGCCTGGTGATTCCAGTTCCATTTATTAATTATTGCCTTCTTCGTTGACTAAAGGTATTTTCCATGTTGGATTTAATTACTCAGTTGGAGAAGATGTATTGCAGTGATAACTGCATTAGAGACCTAGAGTGTATTTTAGTGATTTGAAAAGAGTATTCCTATCACTTTTCTTTTTCAGTATTTTCTTGGCTACTTTGAAATTGATTCTTCACAGATGAGAAGCATTTGTTTTCCTCCCTTCCTATGCCCAGTACTTTTCTCACCTTTGAAACAGGTCTTTTTTTTTAAAGAATTATATGGAAGGCAACATGGAAAATAGTGAAGGCATAAGCACTTGATTTTCCCTTTCCAGTAGTTGATATTTTTCTCTTTGAATATTTTATATCTATCAAGACAGGTTTTTCCCTTTCATTCCAATGAGGGATTTCTCACTGCTATTCCTTATGAGTGTTACAGTCATGTTTTTGTCTGATTTTTTTTACTGGTAACAGTGTTTTATTTTTGCTTGGTTTTAATATCTAGAATTATTTTTTATTTTATACTGTCTTTCATTTCTGATACTAGGAAATAGTTATTTAGAAGTAGTATTTTTATTTTTCTTTACAGTATTTATTTCTGTTGTTTTACATGCTAGTCAGAATAACTAAAACTATTGTGATGCAGGAGTGATAAAGGATGTCACCATTCTGTTGATAGTATTTCTGAATTTGATGGATGAACTTCTGATGTCTCACTGTTATTATTCTATCTGAGAGCTTGAAGAGGGAACTTCCATTCAGAGAATGCCTCCATCAGATTGCCTGTAGGCAAGTCCGTAGGGCATTTTCTTGGTTAATGATTCATATGGGAGGTTCTAGATCATTTTAGGTGGTATCTAGGCAGGTGGCTCTAGGCAATATAAGAAAACAGGCTGAGCAAGCCATGGAGAACAAGCCAGTAAGCAGCTCTCCTTTGTGGTTCTGATTCCGTTCCTGCCACCGGCTTCCTACCTGAGCTCCTGCCCTAGCTTCCCTCCATGATGGACTTTAACCTATGGGATGTAATAAATTCCAGGTTTCTTTTGGTCATAGCCTTTACCATAGCAATAGGGAGCAAACTAGAACAAATTTAAAGCAAAAAAAAAAAAAAAACCATACAAATGCCAACAAAAAGTTCAGCTTAATCTCTGACCTTAGTGTGCAGACTTTCAAAAATATCAGAGGCATAGACCATTAAATAATATAAACTGAGAAAAGTATTTGTTACATATGTCAGATAAATAATAGCCTTTACATGTACATTTTTGTCTGAGAATGCACACACATACACACACACACACACACACATTATGCATATATAGTCCCTGATAGAAAGGAGTTACTTCTTATTTTATTTCTTTACTCTTTTGTTATATACATATAGCAAAAACAAATTAGTTACTCACCAGGAATATGCAGCATAGAACATCAGCAAGAGATAACTAAGCTGAAGACTGACTTGGAGAAGAAAAGTATCTTTTATGAAGAAGAAATATCTAAAAGGGAAGGAATACATGCAAGTGAGATTAAAAATCTGAAGAAGGAGCTGCATGACTCTGAAGGCCAGCAACTTGCTCTCAACAAAGAAATTATGGTTTTAAAAGACAAACTGGAGAAAACCAGAAGAGAAAGGTAAGAATCAAATTATTTTCTCACCCAGCAAGTATCTGCTAAGTATATGTTGTGTGCAAAGTCTTGGGAAACTTGGGCAATAGGTGTAGCCAGGCTCCAGCAGGGACAAAGCCAGTGCAGCGTGGAAAGAGAGGAGAGGAGGGAGAAGGAGAGGTGTGCGAAAGGCCTCAGAGGCTTTCCAGGGTGAAGACGTCTTAGCTGGGCCTAAAGAGGAACAGGTGAGTGGGGAGTGTCCAGACAGAGGTGGCCGAATGACGACCCGAAGGAAAGGAACTGTCACACATTAGAAAACAAGTGCTGCTTACTGTGGTGGATGCACACTCAGAAAAACGGAGTGGTGAGGCATGACACTAGGAAAAAACAAAACACAGGCAAATTTGTGGATTAATGTAAGGAAAGTTGCATGATAATACTTACATTTTGGAATGGTCACTTGCTACCTTGTGGAGGATAATTAGAGGGATCCAGAGGAATCCGGTTGTAACATGAAGTAGTGGTTCAAGATAATGTAGAAGTTGGGAGACAGTGTGATAGATTCAGAAATTGTCCTGAGAAAAGTGTAGAACACATTACATAGTGACATGTGCTGGGGACAGAAACAAAGAAGGAAATGGCTGTTAATGAGAAAACTAAATCTGCACGGAAGGGAAGAGGAGCTGGCTGGAGGAGATTGTGCTGAGGTGACTTCAAAGTGAAGAGGAAACTGTGTGAGAGCCCTGTACACAGAGGAGAGCCCGCCTGTTGAGAAAGTGCTATCATGCCAGGCACATGTAGATTTTTGGAAAGGTTTTCATGAGACCTGTCCTTACATATCACCATCTCTGTGGCTGTTCCTATACTTCAGTCTGATTCTTAAGTAGTTGCTGTGTAAATGTTACAAAAATAATTCTTTCGGTTGACTTTTATGCTTTTCTGTTTTGAATTGTGTTAGTCAAAGTGAAAGGGAAGAATTTGAAAATGAGTTCAAACAACAGTATGAACGGGAAAAAGTATTACTAACTGAAGAAAATAAAAAGTTAACAAGTGAACTTGATAAGGTGAGTGATTCAGTCTCGCTTGGTCTAGTCCATGCTGGGTGTTATGCACTGTGGTTTAAATCATGGTTGTCACTTGTATGTTGCGTGTTATTAATGGTCCTCCTCAGAAGGTTTTACTATACCATTTGCGTCTGTTTTGCTTCTTCCTGTCTTTTTGCTCTCCCATGCGCCTCCCATCATCATCTTTTTAGAGAGAGTGTCTTGTGTGGCCCAGACTAGCTTTGAACTTGTTAAGTACATTATCTATTTTAATATATTTTCTCTGTTCATTTGGACTGGTATTCTTTTGTACACAGTTTCCCTTTGGTTTTTCTTATAAGCTTTATTTTTATTCTATGTGTATGGATGTTTTGTCTGCCTGTATTCTGTACATCACATGCACACAGTGCTGATCGAGGCCAGAAGAGGGGGTCATATCCCCTGGGTCACAGGGTTGGCTGCTCTGCCAGAGTATCTGGGTTTGATTCCTAGCACCCACATGGAGACTCAAACAGTTTTTGTATGTGCTTCTAATTCTTTATAAGATTTTTTAAAAGTTAATGTAGCAATTGCAGAAAATGGAAGTGGGGGGGGGTAAGAAGAAAGAGTGAATGTTACCTGCAGAATTGGGTGGTTTTTTGTTTTTGTTTTTGTTTTCAATTAGATGAAGAATATTCACAGCTAGAACCAATTTCATGCAGGGTGTGAGGAAAAGCAAAGAAAGCAGGAAAATTCCAAGTGTTCATTATAGACAAATCCTGTCTTCAGTGTGAGATGTGGAAGATAATCATGCATTATTAGATGGAACAACGGGTGTCTAAGTACTGTCAAGTCCTGTTCCTAAAAGCTACTCATGCCTTCAAACTGCCTTCCAGCTGACCACGTTGTATGAGAGCTTAAGTTTGCGCAACCAGCACTTAGAAGAAGAGGTCAAAGATCTAGCAGACAAGAAAGAATCAGTTGCCCACTGGGAAGCCCAAATCACAGAAATAATCCAGTGGTGAGTGTTCTTCCAGATGTGCTGCTGTGGGTGGCGTGGGTTGTGGCCGAGTTGTTGTGGACACCGAGAACACCCTTCATCTTGGTTTACCATGGAAAGTAAGTTAGGGACTATACTGTATAAGAATGGGAAAGGCAAACCTTTGAAGAATGAATCACACACATCCACTCGCTTTGGTATTCTTTTCTAAGATCAAAACTAAATGTTTATGATTATCTTAAGCAACTGATAGCCTGAGAAAAATGTAGAAGCTGAACAATGCTGTGTTTGTAAGTAGAACATGTCAGTTCAGGCATGGCGTTTTCAAAACCTTAAGTGACTGCAGTTAGCTTCACAAGCTATTTCCTCTGCTCTTAGCACTGGTTTTGATTATTTGACCTATGGATTTTGTCATTTTAATTCACCAAATGCTTGTTACCATGCTTATAAAGATTTACATATTTTATACTTTGTGGAGAAATCAGAATCCACTGAAGACTTATTTCCTAATAACTTTAGTATTTATTTAAATCTTTACCCATTTTAACTTTTATATCAGAATAACTGGTTCCTTTATGTATCTATAAACCAGTTAATTATTCATTGAGGATTTTAGTTTGCTGTTATTTTTTATTTTAATCAGTTTTCTTTTTTGTAATACCCTTCTTAAATCAAAAGTGAATAAAATGTATTTTAGGTAACTTTTCTCTAATAACCCGAATATGTAGAGCTCTTCTGCTACCTAATGCATACAGACATGTCCAGATTGTGGAAATTTACTGTGCTACAACTGTTAGCTCATTAATGTTTAATTTATGAACACATCATTGGGTTTACATTTCTAAAGAGAACCATTTTAACATTTAGCCAAATTTATCAGGGAGCTGAATAATAAAAAAAAAATAGAGCTGAAAATTGTTTTGTAAACTGATTTCCCCCCCAGATCTGTGCTCTTAGACCACCGCTCTGTTTTCCAGTGACTATGAGAATGGGAAGTGATTCTGTGAAGGAAGGAATCTTTATTTACTTATTCAGTAACTCATTCATTCATTTTTTAAGACAGTTCTCACCATGTACTCAAGGCTGACCTCAAATTGTTGGTCTTCCAGAAGAAAAAAGTATGAAATTATCTAAACACTGTAGTGAAATAACTGTCAACTTCAGATGCTAAATACAAAGTGTTGTGAAGAAACAAATAATAGACTTAAATGTCATAGTGAGCATAATGGAACATTTATTTTATTGGCTCATGATTCAGTTTGAAATAACTAGAAATTTCAACAGCAGGAAATTTGTTGTAAAAAGTGTGTGTGTGTGTGTGTGTGTGTATGTGTGTGTCTGTCTGTCTGCACATGTGTGCATATGTGTAGGCTAGAGGTCAACTTTGGGTTTCTTCCTTAGTCACTGTACCTTTTTTTTTTAATGTGTAAATTTAACAAATTTTCTATCTAAAATTAGTGGATTTTTTGTTGTTTGTTGTTGTTGAGTTTTTTGTTTGTTTGTTTTTGTTTTGTTTTTTGATTTTTCAAGACAGGGTTTCTCTGTGGCTTTGGAGACTGTCCTGGAACTAGCTCTTGTAGAACAGGCTGGTCTCGAACTCACAGAGATCCACCTGCCTCTGCCTCCCAAGTGCTGGGATTAAAGGCGTGCGCCACCACCGCCTGGCATGGCACTTAGTTCTTAATGAAGCTCTAAATTACATAACTACTCAAGTTTTCTGCGTTTTACTCCATACTTCATTGTGTGTTGTAGGGTGAGTGATGAGAAGGATGCACGAGGCTATCTTCAGGCCTTAGCTTCTAAGATGACTGAAGAATTGGAAGCGTTAAGAAACTCCAGCTTGGGGACACGAGCAACAGTAAGCTCTGCCATTTCACCTGGAAGCTTGCCTCTTTAGGAAGCAGAATGCACGTAGTAAATTTAACTGTACCAGTTTTCCCAGGCTTTCACTTGCTGTAAAAGTTTTCATGATAAATAAGTTAGTTTATGTCTTTTCCAGTTTAAGAAAATAAAAATGTCACTGTTAGCTGTTATTTTATAGCTATCCATTACTGAAGGAACTGAAAAGAAAAGTCAGTTACTGATGTTCATTTATGCATATTTACTGTTATTTCTTGATTTAATGAAGAATGCATTTTCACAAATTATATGCCATTTCCACTCAGTTTCAGTGATATTGCTCATAAAGTAGCTTCTAGATTCACTTGTATTATGAAATTTAAATATTAATAAAATAGAAAGGAACTGAGACATAATCATATTATTCTATAGGATATGCCTTGGAAAATGCGTCGTTTTGCAAAACTGGATATGTCAGCTAGACTAGAGTTACAGTCAGCTCTGGATGCAGAAATAAGAGCTAAGCAGGCCATCCAGGAAGAGCTGAACAAGGTTAAAGCATCCAACATCATCACAGAATGGTAAGGACCAATCATTAGTCTTATTACAGTAGTTCATACATTTGTTGAAAAGTATTTGGAAAGAAGTTATATGTTTAGCTGCCTATCTGCCATTTTGTTTTTGTTTTTTAAACAAAAAGTGATAACTGTATGGTTGGGAAAGCTATTGAGTAGTGCAGTGCTTGCCTGGCATGCCTGAGGCCCTGGGTCTGATCCCCAGCTCTGCCCCCCACCAACAAAAGTGATGAACTCAGTCAGCAAAGTGTATATCTTGTAAGAGTGAAGACCTAACATTTGATCTCTGATCCCCACCTTCAAAAACAAAAAGTGAGACCAATGGCATCTGCCTATAATCCCAGAATCCCAGGGCTGGAAAGACCAGGATGGGGGCCTCCAGAGGCTCCTTAGACACCTAGCCAGGTCAGTGTGCTCCAAAATCAGTAGAAACTGTCCCTGAGACTGAGGTGAAGAGCTGCTAAGGAAGTCACCTGGTGCCTGCCTCTGCCCTTTACATTCGTGCATGCACCCAGACACATTCACACAAAGTGCACACGCACACACATACACACAGCTGCACACAAAGTGCACATTTACATTCACACACAGCTGCACACAAAGTGCACACGCACACACACACATACACACAGCTGCACACAAAGTGCAGACACGCACACATACACACAGCTGCACACAAAGTGCACACGCACACACACACAGCTGCACACAAAGTGCACACGCACACACACACATACACACAGCTGCACACAAAGTGCACATTCACACCCACACACATACATACAGTTGCACACAAAGTACACACCCACAGACACATACATATATGCTCTGGTTATATGAACAAGGTCTAGCAGAATTCTAAAACTAACTTTTCCATAATACTGTTGAATTTATTAATTCAGGTCAGGGTCAGCAAACTTTCTATAAAGGCCTGTGTAGCCCTCTCCTCTGCTCAGCTCTGTGGTCACAGTGCAGCAGCTGTTGCCGTCCTATGTGAAGTTTCAGTGCTGGGAGTTAAGCCAGCGCTTCAGACATGCCAGGCGAGTCCTCTACTACTAAGCTGCCCTCAGCCCTGGCAGCCGTCTTCTTCACAGAAGAGTGAGTTTGGCTGGCTTATTAATTTGTGTAAGAGCAGGTGACAGGCTGCATTTGTCTTGCATGCAGTAGTTGACTCTCTCCTGCTTTAGCCTCACAGACATTTAAACAAGTAAGCCCAGCTACACAAAATTAATTAATGACTATTTTCCTTTTCCTGCTTATTTAAGTAAACTGAAAGATTCTGAGAAGAAGAACTTGGAACTGCTGTCCGAAATTGAGCAGCTGATAAAGGACACGGAAGAGCTTAGATCTGAAAAGGGTATGAGAATGTGTTTGCATTAGGACTTGCTGTTCTGAATGTCCTTTATTGCGTGAGAGCCAACTTACTGTGTAAGAATTCTTTACATTAGCAACCATACGTGCATGCAAACACACACACACACAAACATGCACACATCCACACACACGTATGCAGACTGAGCTACTATATATTAGTCAATATACATTAGTTTAAGAATTTTTAGTTACAGAAGTGACCACTTTGCCATAATTTAACTGTTATTTCAGTGTTAAAAATATTTCATGAGTAACTTTTGAGTTTGGGATTAAAGTATTTGTGATGTACTTATAATGTTCTCATGTGAGGTAGTTCAGCAGTGGTGTTGTATGTTGACATTAGAACTTAGCGAGGAAACTTGAAAGGGGGGAGGTTGTTCTTGAGAGAGTCTTGCGGAGTAGCCCATGGTGACCTTGAATTCAGAGTCCTCTTGCCCCTTTCCCTAAGTGCTGGGATTACATTTATTAACACTTTTTATGTGTCTGAAATGTGCAAAATCATATGGGTACAGGAAGGACAGCTGGAGAAACAATATAAAATAACTAAAGATAAATATTTCAGTATTAATCACTTTAGTAATGAAGCATTATTTGGGTTTTTTCCAGTTTGATGATTACATTGCTTTTCCTATGTGATTTCCTAGATTTTATTAGCATTTTCTTGAGAACTTTCATTTTCCTTTTCACATGGCATTAGCTCAGAGTATGTAATCATCCTATAATGTGAACTTCTTATGCAGCTTTTCTATAATGTAAACACGAAGAGGGTGATAATTTAGTAAAAATAAATTCAGGATGTGATTTACTTTAGTAAAGGGTCATTTTATATGGAATTATCCAAAATCCATTTTTTTGACAAAGGCTATCATCAGTCACTGGATTAATTGGTTGTCTTTGTATTTGGCTAAGGCTACTCTATCATTTCCCATCTCCGTAACACAGAGAAGTATAAAGCTGGTTGAGTCTCTATGCCTGCGTATACTGTGGAGAACAGAGTAATCACATAAAGACACTACAGTACTTGATGTTACATTTTTGTGTCTTTGTTGATTGACTTTCTTAATGAACAGAAGTGACTAGGAATTCATGATAAAAGGATAAGCCATCCTGCTAAAATGATCTTGCTTGATTTTAATCCATGAACAGTGAAGGAGAGGTACATGAAGGAAGAAAAACAGTATGTAACACACGAGTGGCCTTGAGGTCAACAAGAATGACACCTGCGCCAAACAAAGCTGACACATCAAGTTGGCTGCATTACTTTTAAATTATGCCTAAATTTAAAAATAAAAGACTTTTTAAGTTTATAACACATTGCTTTATGAAAGCATGTTAAACAAAGGCTTTTTATTCAGAATATTGCAAAATAAAATTTCATTAGGTTACAATATAATATAATGTGCTATCTAAATATGTTTACAAAATAAAGGCAAAGACCTTTTCTATACTTTGTTTACTATTTTAACTCCAGTATCTAGAAGAGTATCTGTTACAAAATAGGCTCTTTTAAAAACCATTTATTTGTGTGTATGGGGTGTGGGGGGATGTGCATGCCTTGGCACACATACAGAGGCTAGAGAACAGATCTTAGGAGTTAGTTCTCTCTTTCACCATGTGAGTCTTAGGGATTGAACTCGGGTCTTCAGACTTGGCAGCAAGAGCCTTTATCTGCTGAGCCATCTCAGCTATTCATAGTAGACTCATTATAAACATTTATTTACTTAATAAATTTCTGAACTGCCTATTTCATAACTGATATATTAGAAAAATACTAAGAAGCATGTAAATCAATGATGAGGAGATGCCTCAGTGTGTAAAATGCTTACTTTGCATGTGTGAGGACCTGAGCTTAGATTCTGAGCAGCCACAGTCCCATCATCTGAGGTGAAGGGATATACCTATAATCTCAGCACTGGGAGGCAAAAGAAACAGAAACCCTGGAGTTCGGTGGCCAGCCATTCTAGCCAGATGGTGAGCCCTAGTCTTAGTGATGTTTCAGAAACAAAATGGAGCCCAATAAAGCAAGACAACTGACCTCTGGCCTTTAAATGCACATGTGTGGGCATGTGCATAAATAGAGATCAGAGCGTACCTGCCCTGAGGGCTGGGGGGAGAAGCACAAACCAGTTGCTAACTCCTCAGGATAGAAAAGTCAAAGTTGTTTAATAGGGGCTAGAAAGATGGCTCAGCAGTGAGAGCATTGGCTACTTTTCTAGAGAACCCATGTTTAATCTTCAGCACCCACATGGTGGCTCACACCATTCTGTAATTCCAGTTTCAGGGTGCTGATGCCCTCTTCTGGCCCTCTCAGGCACTGCATGTATGTGGTGCACAGACATACATGAAGGAAAAACACATATACATATATTTTTTAAATTTTAAATTTACGATAGGCCATTGATGATCTATCTTCCCTAGTATTTATTATCATTTCTGTGTTGTTTTGAGATTATGTATTTAAACTTACTGTCATTGCAAAAGATATATATGCATTTTTTAAAAATCATCTGAGAACTGAATTTTTGATTCTTCATACTTCAGTAAGCTAATATCTGAAATGGGAAATTAATTAAGTTTACTTATTTTATCACTGTTATTTATGAAATAAATATATTTCAAAATTTCTGAAAATATTATTTTTTTAAAAAGTATTTCAAAAGAGGAACCTTGTTTGGGTGGTAAATGAGTTTAGAAAAATCACAAATAATCTAGCTTCTAGTTTTTTTTTTATCAAATTTCCCAAAAGATTCTATTCTATTTTGTTTTATTATGCTGTACTAGAGTAATGGTTCTCAGCCTTCCTAAAGCTGTGACCCTTAAATACAGTTCCTCATGTCGTGGTGACCTCCAGCCATAAAATTATTTCGTTGCTATTTCATAACTGTGATGTTGCTACTGTTGTGAATCATGATGTAAACATCTGATGTGTTGGATATCTGATATACGACACCTGTGGAAGGATCATTCGACTCCCAGGTGGGTTGCCACCCACATACTGCAACCACTGTACTAGATGGAAAAAGAACTTTGTTAACTATTGACTCAGAGAACTGTCATGGAAATTAGTCTAATTTAACTGTTGAGTCTAGGAAGCACTAATGTATTTTGTTTTTTAACTATGCAAAGTTAATAAGCCTTGTATAGTAGTTTTATTTTTAAATACTTTAGTAGACTGAGACAGGAAAGGTTATCCTTAAAAATTAGTTTTAATTGTTCTACTTTAAAAAAAAAAGTTGCTGCTGTCTTCTAGGTATAGAGCACCAAGACTCACAGCATTCTTTCTTGGCATTTTTGAATACGCCTACCGATGCTCTGGATCAATTTGAAGTAAGTGATACTGCCCTGAGTATCCTCTGCATTACTGAAAACTCACTCTGGGGTCTAACATTTACTTGCAGTAAAACTTTTATTACAGCCACATAAGAGAACCTAAAATCATATAAACATGTGAATAGAAGAATGTGAGGGAGGACTATGTCTGCATTCTTATTGAAAGTATGACCACACTTGTATGTAATAAAAACATCTAAGAAAGTCTGAAACCCAAGTTGTTATTAGACCTAAAAGCAGGTTCAACCCCCCCCCCAAGAAACAGTGAAAGCAGAGCACATCCCAGCTTTTGAAAACATTTTCCTTGTCTCCAAGCTTAGAGGCACAATAAAAATAAGTGAAAACATGTGCGTTCACAGTAGCTTGCTGTTGGCTTTCATGCCAGGTCATTAAGAAGTAAGCGGTAAGGATACTGCTTTTTGACTAAAGTGCTAACCTACACTCTTGTTAGCTTTACTCTGAAATAGTGATTGTGTAGTTCCTTGTCATTCTTTATTATTTAAATATTCTGCTGAAAAAAAAAGTCAGTATACTATCAAAGCATGATTTATGTCAGAAAATGTAAGCTATTGGTTATCACCTTTTACAGCAGTTGGAAATCCAGACTCTAATGTGGAATGCTCTGTGCTCCGCTTTAAGTGCTGGAAATAGGGCGGTGAGCGCAGTAGACAAAGTTCCTTTTGAACCGCTTGTATTCCAGCAAGAAGAATTAGAAGCAGAGATTCTGATGACCTATTTCAATTGTTATTTCAAAAGTGTACCGTTAGTTTAATAATCAGTGATTTGCCATTTTATTACTTTGGGTACAGTAGCAGAATTTCATTTCTTTGGAAAAGGAAGAATCATACTTTGAAAAGTAACCCTAAGTTCCTTGACAACAGTGACAGTGACTGCTTTTCTCATTTATTTATTTAAACAAATGTCATTTGCATTTCAATTGTTTTACAAAATTTTGATTTATTATTTGTTTGTATTAAATTGCTTCATCCATATTTTCTATTTTTTTATTGCTGAATTCGTTAAATAGGATTCCTTTTCTTCTTCTTCATCCTCACTGATTGATTTTTTGGATGACGTAAGTCTTTAATTTTCAAACCAATGCATCCTTCAGTAAAAGAGATCAGTGAATTGATTTGAAGAATTTGCCTAGTAATTCAGTTTTAGAAATACCACTTGGAAATTTATATGAGCCAAATGCATCCTTCTTATCTTAAATATTACAGTTTATTATCAAAAGTAGTAAAGTAAGAAACACTTTTAAAATTGCTTTGGCCTTTGGGGATTCTGTGATTTCCATTCTTTGCTTACTTAAATATTGTCACTATTTATAAGAAATTGTTCATTTTCATTTTTCATGGTTTCTGTTTTACTTTCTCCTTTTCTTTTTAGCATCTTGCTGTTTCTGTGTTGGTTTAAAATCTGTGGGAGAAATCACAAAAGTGGCATTTAAAAGGTTAAACTCACAATTTTGCTGTAACACAGAATATAAATGAACTTTTAATACAGATTTCTGATGTGGAAAATGATTTTAAGTTATCATACACACTGTTTACCCCATAAATTGGATGCATTAGCATATTTTGTCTGAATTAGTTCTGTAGATTTAATAATTTAGAAGCTTCTAATAAGTGTGTGATACATTCGTTTTCTACCTACACTGCCTGTTATATTTGTTTTCTGTTTCCCATTAGATGACTCAGTAATCCTTGACATAGAACATGAATACTTTACAGAAATTAAAAGATAAAAGCATTTAAATGCAAATAGTGTACATAGTATTTTTAAATGATGGGAAGTTCTTTAAATGTTTTCTTCCTAATATTTTGTTAAAGTACGGTATTATATTCAGAAGATGATTTCAGCATAATTTTCCACTGAAAAAAATTCTTGATACTATATTTTCAAATTACTGAACAACATAGAAACTTTTTAGTATGTTTGGAAATATACCAAAACCTGTTTCCCTCCCAAAATGGAAATCTTTGTTGTTGTTTCTAAAACACTAAATTATGCTGGATGATTCAATAATATAATTGAAAGATAACTGACTCTAAAAACCGTGAAATTCCATGTTGCAGTCTGCTGTTTTGGTATATTAAAACAATGTAATAATTTTCTTTATTCACATTAGAAAGATGAAGAGAAAGTTTGAGTAATTACATAGTTCTTTTTTCCTGATAGACTATATTCACTGTTTAACAAACTCTTGCCTCCATCCTTTCCTTTCCCATAAACACTCAGATTGTAAAACCTAACAGTATGTATTTCAGCAAACAAATAAACTCTTCTCTGTAGAGATCTGTGAAGAGTGTCCCCTCTGCTAGGCTCCTACTCTCAGGAGCACTCTGGAATTTCCCTTCCAGATGTACGGAAAGTGCGTCCAAGTCACAGCCATTTCTCAGCCTTACTTTCCCTGACTGATCCTTCAGCCCCTGTTGTGCAGCAATAAGCTCATCTCCAACACTGAGCTGGAGTTTACATAGTGCGAGGAACTCCTAGCACACTGGGGTTTACGTAGTGAGGAACTCCTAGCACACTGGAGTTTACTTAGTGAGGAACTCCTAGCACACTGGAGTTTACGTAGTGAGGAACTCCTAGCACACTGGAGCTTACGTAGTGCGGAACTCCTAGCACACTGGAGTTTACGTAGTGAGGAACTCCTAGCACACTGGAGTTTACTTAGTGAGGAACTCCTAGCACACTGGAGTTTACGTAGTGAGGAACTGCTAGCACACTGGAGTTTACATAGTGTGAGGAACTCCTAGCACACTGGAGTTTACGTAGTGAGGAACTCCTAGCACACTGGAGTTTACATAGTGTGAGGAACTCCTAGCACACTGGAGTTTACGTAGTGAGGAACTCCTAGCACACTGGAGTTTACATAATGTGAGGAACTCCTAGCACACTGGAGTTTACCTAGTGTGAGGAACTCCTAGCACACTGGAGTTTACGTAGTGCGGAGGAACTCCTAGCACACTGGAGTTTACGTAGTGAGGAACTCTTGGCACACTGGAGTTTACGTAGTGAGGAACTACTAGCACACTGGAGTTTACGTAGTGCGGAGGAACTCCTAGCACACTGGAGTTTACATAGTGCGAGGAACTCCTAGCACACTGGAGTTTACATAGTGTGAGGAACTCCTAGCACACTGGAGTTTACGTAGTGAGGAACTCCTAGCACACTGGAGTTTACGTAGTGCGGAACTCCTAGCACACTGGAGTTTACATAGTGTGAGGAACTCCTAGCACACTGGAGTTTACATAGTGTGAGGAACTCCTAGCACACTGGAGTTTACGTAGTGCGGAACTCCTAGCACACTGGAGTTTACGTAGTGCGGAACTCCTAGCACACTGGAGTTTACGTAGTGAGGAACTCCTAGCACACTGGAGTTTACGTAGTGAGGAACTCCTAGCACACTGGAGTTTACGTAGTGTGAGGAACTCCTAGCACACTGGAGTTTACGTAGTGAGGAACTCCTAGCACACTGGAGTTTACGTAGTGAGGAACTCCTAGCACACTGGGGTTTATGTAGTGAGGAACTCCTAGCACACTGGGGTTTACGTAGTGAGGAACTCCTAGCACACTGGAGTTTACGTAGTGCGGAACTCCTAGCACACTGGAGTTTACATAGTGTGAGGAACTCCTAGCACACTGGGGTTTACATAGTGCGGAGGAACTCCTAGCACACTGGAGTTTACGTAGTGCGGAGGAACTCCTAGCACACTGGAGTTTACGTAGTGAGGAACTCCTAGCACACTGGGGTTTACGTAGTGAGGAACTGCTAGCACACAGGAGTTTACGTAGTGCGGAACTCCTAGCACACTGGAGTTTACGTAGTGCGGAGGAACTCCTAGCACACTGGAGTTTACGTAGTGAGGAACTCCTAGCACACTGGGGTTTACGTAGTGAGGAACTCCTAGCACACTGGGGTTTACGTAGTGAGGAACTCCTAGCACACTGGGGTTTACGTAGTGAGGAACTCCTAGCACACTGGGGTTTACGTAGTGAGGAACTCCTAGCACACTGGAGTTTACATAGTGTGAGGAACTCCTAGCACACTGGAGTTTACATAGTGTGAGGAACTCCTAGCACACTGGAGTTTACGTAGTGAGGAACTCCTAGCACACTGGAGTTTACATAGTGTGAGGAACTCCTAGCACACTGGAGTTTACGTAGTGAGGAACTCCTAGCACACTGGAGTTTACGTAGTGAGGAACTCCTAGCACACTGGGGTTTACGTAGTGCGGAACTCCTAGCACACTGGAGTTTACGTAGTGCGGAGGAACTCCTAGCACACTGGAGTTTACATAGTGTGAGGAACTCCTAGCACACTGGAGTTTACGTAGTGCGGAGGAACTCCTAGCACACTGGAGTTTACGTAGTGAGGAACTCCTAGCACACTGGGGTTTACGTAGTGCGGAACTCCTAGCAAACTGGAGTTTACGTAGTGCGGAGGAACTCCTAGCACACTGGAGTTTACGTAGTGCGGAGGAACTCCTAGCACACTGGAGTTTACGTAGTGTGAGGAACTCCTAGCACACAGTGAAGAGCTGGGTGTAAAAAGCTGTTGAGTCTTTGCTTCTTGTCTCGACTTTTCCAAGGTGTGACACTGCTGTTCCTTCTGTCCTTCCGTTATTCTGGTAAAACTCAAAAGCTGGCTATTCCACTTTCTAGCGTGGAGTTTGAAGGAAATAACCTGACCTTCAATAGCTATGTTTGCTCATCTGACAAATAGTTATGCTGTAGTACCACTCTCATGAATATTTAAATCATATAATGCCTTCAGGGATTTCAGAACATTTCCTTGCCAGGTTGGTCTCCTCTCTTCATCTACTCTAGATTCGTTTCTTGTCTACCAGTGTGACTTCACTTTAGTGCTTAGCCTTCCCCTGGCTAAGAACATGAACCACAGTTCCTTCTTTGGAATTGTTTAATCTCATGACTATTAGAAAATTATTTTTTTCTGTTACAGGGAAGGCTAGCACTAAGCTCCCATTTTAAAAAAATCTTGTTCTTAACTTATAGTTTATAATATAACCCTCTTGTTTCTTTTGTTTATTGTTCATAACTGTGAACTTGTTTTCCAATGTTAGCCATTCATTCATTTTATCATTGAAGCCATAGTAAAACTATGTTTCAATAATAGCATTAAATATTTAATATTTTCCTGTTTCACATCCAAGGTACTGTGAAACCCAAGTTCAGTAGCTTCCACTGTTAGGCATTTAGAATATTTAAGGAATAATTGAGTCTAGATTATTCTTTATCTTAAATCTGGTTGTAGTATACATCTTGCTTACGGTGTATGACTTGCCCTGCATGAGGTAGGTTCTGGTGCTTAAGCAATCCAGAATCCCATCCTTATGGTCATACCCTTCCATCTTCTGTCACCACTATAGACAAGAATGCTAAATAACTAGCCCTAATTGCAGCTCTCAGCCTTGCATGTTTAGGAGAAGAAAAGTTTGTGTTAAGCACAATTGCTAGTTTCATATGGTGTTGTGTCTACGCATCGTCCATCTTCTCCACACAGGCCCACTGTTACCTTCAGGGTTCTCAGTTTTACTACTTGTAGGTCCTCTCCTCCAAATTTACCTTCTAATCTCCTACTTTTATTCTTTAATTTGGGACTATTAAAACTATCATTTCATAACATAGAATCATTTTCCCGTTCATGATTTTTCTTGAGTTTGTTTTGTTTATTTCTCATATTCTGACAGACAGGGAAAAAGCATTATCTCAGCAGGCAGAGTTTAAGCATAAACTTTATCCTCATTTAAAATCTGAATGAGATGCTCAGAATATCAATCTCAGTCGTGGTTCCCCTTTCACTAGTGTCTTGGTTTTACATTTGTTCTCACCCACGTTCTCTTTTCCATCCTCTTATAGCCAATCTCAATGTGAAGATGTAGTCAGGGTAGACAGTTTAGAACTATGTTTTTGTTTTGTATATTGTCTTTGCTGATGAATCCTAATTTAGCTCTTAACATTTTAAAAGCCACCTTTGAAAAGAGTAAGAGTTGGTAGGTAAATGTATAAAGCAAATTTGCTTAATTATATATTGCATGGGTGATTTGTGGGAGGGGCTACTAGGGCTCAAATAAGTATTTTATGGCAAACAAAACTAAATAGATCTGTTGTTGAAATTGTCCACTTCCTTATGGAATGTTGCCATGTGGGTCACAATGCGTGTGCCAATGAAAACCTCATCAGCCTTAGACTACATCTGAGCAGTTGTCTCCTTACTGTTTTTATCCTACAGTTTTTCCTGGATATATGTGTACTTGAATGTATCAAAAAGTGGCTTGTGCATAAGTCTGTATGCGTGTGTTGATAAGGAGGGCCTGGCTCCTTCCCTGTGAATATGTGTAACGTGGTGTTCTCTCTCTGTTGAAGCGCTCCCCGTCCTGTCCTCCAGCTAGCAAAGGCAGACGTGTAAGAGACTCACTGTGTGCTGCCCCGATGCCTTCTGCCTCCTTGTTCTTTGCCTCTGGCTGCAGAGCCCTGAGCATGTGCCGTGTGCCATTTCACCACTGCATGCCTTTCTGCTGCTCCCTCCTCCCTGTGTCCTCTTTGTCTTTCCTTTGACTTTGGCTGCAGAGCTTTAGGAATGTTCTTCATGTAAATTTATACAACTAAGCTGCTTTCTAAATTACTCAAATACAAGGTAAATGAGTTTCTCAGAGAATCTGATAGAACAAAGATGTAGAATGCTGAGGCAATTTGTAGATGTCATTGTCTAGACTTTACACATAGATCAGCTCTGGAGAGATTGTGAGGTAGATGTGCTCATTTAATGCATGTTAGGAGAAGTTCCCTAAATACCTTGCACAGTATAGATTTAGGAAAGTAATGTTGGTAATGAAATCTTTGTATTCTAAGATGGTGTCAAGATTTAAAAATATTTAATGCTGAAAACGTCTTCCTCTGCCGATGCTTCTTGACCTGAAATTGTTCAGCCGCCACCTCCCTCCCCCGGCCCCCCGTCCTACGTATTCTGATGCACCAGCCAGATGGGTGCCTCTGTCCCAGCACCTGTCACACACATCTCAGAGGGGCAGACATTATCCAGTACTGTTCATCTGGATTTGCATGTACTATGTTAAATAGCACTAAAGGACACTCGCTGGAGATACAGCCTTTTTTCACTTTTGCTTGTCAACCTCATGATGAGCAAGCACCTTTAGTTCCAGGTTCCTAGACAGGGAAAGTTAGAGATGAAGTGCTTCTTGGTTTGTGGTGAATGTGGGAGGTGGTAGGATGGCCACTGATAACCTGTATTCTTCGTGAACTCATGAAGGGTTGCCACGCAAACACTAACAACACTAGCATTGCAGTTGATTTTAGGTGACTGTCTCATGGTGGATGAGCACGTCAATTGTCAGGGTTGTCTCACTAGAACTGTGAGTTCAGCTGGCCTGTTAGTTAGAGGCCTATAAGATATCCCTGGTTCTGCAGATGCTTTTAAATGTATAGAGTTAAAACTTTAGATATTCAGATTTATCAAATTAATCTTAGTATATGGTTACCATTTTGAATGGGAAGGCTAGTATTTGTCTGCTCATCTGTATGGGATGAACTATTAGCCTGTGGACTGAATAAATTTATAATGGCTTGTTTTTAATAAGGTTATAATTCAGAAGGGTTTTGTTTTATTGTTGATTTTATTATTTATTAGTTATATCTGATTGGTTAGCCATGTATACTGAGAGATTTGGCCACATAGAACATTTTGTTGACAAAAGTGACAGTATAGTAAACATTTCTTAATTCCTACTCATCAGAATAATTCATTAAAATATGTTTGCTTAGAGAAAATGAGTTAGCAAAAATAGAAAAATATATTTTCACTAAAATATTCTTTCTCAGTAGATTATAATTTAAAAGTATTGAATGAATATTTTTACTGTTAAATTAAAATTTGTTTCCAAGGTCTTCCCTTGAACACTACCAGAATATGTCATCTATTAATTGTTGCTTTATTATTTACCTTTTTGATCATTCTTACAATCATTAAAATAGCTATTAAATTGGCATAGCTCTGCTTTTTATGTATATCATATTTAGTGACTTTTACTACATTAATAACTCAATTAACTACTTAGACTTAAGGCTGTAATAGTTCAGTAGTGTCCAGGGGTTAAATACAGCGATAATGATTACATTTTTTATGCTTTTAAAAGTGCTTTGTATAAAAATGTTAAATACTTGTATATATGTGAATTGTTGTCAACTAATTTTAAGATTAATCTTAGGCATTTTAATTCTAGCACATCTAATGAATATCCTGAAATTTTAATTGAGTTAAGTGCTTTTTAATACTAAGAATAAACCATTAATTACAAATACATGGTAAGGGTTAGTATTTAATTGTAGTTAATTATAGTTAAAATTATTAACACCTTGAAAAGCACAGTTCTGTTGGTGATGATAAGACTCTGATGAAGAGAATGTGTGACACATTTTTCTCATTTGTCTTGTTAAGCTGCACTTGACACAACGTTGATAATGGCAGCAGTCCTGAAATGATGTGACAGTGCAGTCTACTTCCCGAGCTCCCTGCTTTTAATAGAATCTTCTCAAAGACCTGGAACGTTTTTAAAATTTAATGTTCAAATTCTTTTCATCTTTATTAAGCTTTGTTCCTTGTGTTTATAAGGATCACACTTAGAAAAATAAAGTAGTAATTTTATACTTCAAATTTTAAAAAATCAGAACATTATTGTAAATGATATAATTGGACTTTTTAATATTCTTACTGCCACTTCAAAATATTACTCCAGTGTAGTTACTTAGTGTCTTTAAAAAAGAAAACTAGGCCGGGCAGTGGTGGCACACGCCTTTAATCCCAGCACTTGGGAGGCAGAGGCAAGCGGATCTCTGTAAGTTCGAGACCAGCCTGGTCTACAGAGTGAGTTCCAGGACAGCCTCCAAAGCAATACATAGAAACCCTGTCTTGAAAAACCAAAAAAAAAAAAAAAAAAAAAAAAAGGAAAACTAGTTTGATTTCACATGATTTTTTTTTTAGTTTAAGTATAGCTCTCGAAAGCACATATAGTGATTTTTGTTGTTCTAGTGTAATTAATACTGGTTATCTTTCTAAAATATAACTGTAGTTCTCAATATAACCGGGGTTTACTTAATGCAACTAAGAAAATCATTTTTATTTCCTCATTTTTGTTCTCTTTCATTGTCACTGATTAGTGAAAATCGATCATGGAAAAGACTCATACATGAAGAATGAAGGGTTTATATTAAAGGGTTCAGGAGTTGAGGAAACAACCACAAGTTAAATTGAGAGTGGATCATTTTCTTCTCTGGTATCTCACTGCCATGGCACATTGGCATGGAATCACAAAGCATGCCGGTAAATGTTCAGCACCTAGCTCTGGTTTTGGTTCCTGAGACATGGAATATCCTAATAGGCTATCAGTTCTGTGGTGGGAAATGCCTGTTCGCCACATGCTGAGAAAGTTGTGCGACTGCATGTTCTGGTCCCAGCGCTGGACAGTGCTCACACTTACCTCCGTTAGCTCACGTTCTCATGGCTTGAGAGTAGTCCTGCTATAAACTTCGAGTCAGTATTGGTGAAAGACAGAAAGCTTTCTGGCCTTAGTTTTAGAGATATTGAAGTTGCAAGACCTAGAGGTAAAAGTCGTTTGGACTATTTGTTCTTATTCTCAAAATTATCTTCTACCCAGGATTTTCTGTCTTACACTGAGCATTGGGACTCCAGCCTTCCATGATAGCTAGAAAAATGTTAGATTATTTTTAAAATAGCACAGTTTTCTATGTATAATGAGTCTTCCACTTGAACACTCCATAAAAGCCTAAGTTTTAAGCTCTTATTGTAAAATATTTCAGGGATGCTTATTCCCCTTATAATTTATATAAATATATAGACATTGGAAAGGGGAGGGTTTTAGGAAAGGAGAAACGCCCCTGCTTTATGCAGCTAATAGTTTGATCTGATTACCTTAACTGTCCCCAAACAAAGCTGTGAACTGGGCAAAATATCTTGGGTCTCATCTTACCCTTTTACTCCCCTCTTCTTGTTCAAGGCTCACTGTTGAAAACTTAGCTTGGCCTCTGTGATCCTTGTTGCTTTGAATGCTTCTGTCATGGAGGCACCTTAGAGGAACATAGAAGGCTGGCTGTGCCATGAAGAGGTGGGATTCAGGCCTAACTTGCAACTTCCCAAAGCAAATCAGTGTGTGGAGTCATCTTTGTAGTTAGTGTCCCTCAGTAGTTCCAGTTTCTAAATCTAAAAATGAAAGATTGTGTTGCTTATTTTCACCAAACCCTTACCTCATGGATTGTTTGAACAGTGGCCTGTGCCCACCACCCTAAGAGGCCTTTCTGGGTCCCCATAGGGGACTGCTCCTGGTATAATTCTTGAAAAGTTGCCAGACTATAACAATTCTCTATATTGATCAGAAGTTGACTGTTTTACATGAGCAATATATCACAACTCCATAACAGTATTTGTTCTGGTTTCATTTCTGTTTTGTGATTAAAAACAAACAAACCAACAAAAAACCTTGATCAAAAGCATATAAGAAAGGATTTAGTTGACTCACATTCTCATCCATTATTGCAGTACAGTCACACCACATCCATAGTCAGGATCAGAGAGAAATAATGCACTCACGATGCTTGCTTGCTCTCATCTTTCTTATTTCTGTCATGCATAGTCCAGGACACCCTGCCTAGGGAACGGTGCTGCTCATGGTGGGCTAAGGCTTCCTACATCAGTTAACAAACAGATTAACTAATATGCCCACAGGCCAACCTGATCTAGATAATTTCTCATTGAGACACTCATCCCTGGTGACTTTAAGTTGTAGCAAGTTGACTCTTAAAACTATCCACCAAAATATTCTAACTGTACATGAGAAAATAGCCTTGAATTGAGAAAATTATTGTGCTCTTAGACATGGAAGCCACATGCCTGGAGCCCTGATGAGCATAAAGTGAGCTGGTAGGTTAGTCTGAGAAAGTGTCTCTGGTCTCTGTTCTGGTTACTTGCCATTCAGCCCAGGGTTTTAAGAGGCTTTATTTGTACACTTAGTTTCACGCACAAGAGTCTTTATGATTTTAATCAGTGTTGCAGTCAGTAATGTTAATATATATTCTCATGACTGTAAATATTTCATTAGTTGCAATTTAGAGGGGGTACATTGTCTACCTTCATATCCCCTCCCAAGGGTAGCCATGGTAACAATAAGAGAAAATAGCTAAGTCTTTTTGTTAGAACATTGCTCTTTTAAATATGCTATATTCAAAACAAATTACCTGATCTTTCCTAATTATCTTCTTTAAACCCAGTCTTAATAATTTTGAAAATTACCAGATTAAACAGATTATAAGTATGTTTCATGTTAACTTTTAACCCAAAGCATTTTCAGTTTCTAAGAGTACTTAGCTTTAAAGGGTGCATCTATATGTAATATTTCTGTTGCTGTAAAATAAAACGTTTGACATTAGTGACAAGCACAAAGCTTTCAATAAAGACGTGATAAAGGACTAAATTTCATTGTCTAGGACAAAGTTGTGTCTACTCTACAACATGTATCTCTGAAGTACTCATTTAACACGCATGATTTTTTGTGTGTGAAATACCAAAGTTTTACATAGAGTACAGATAGAGATATATACAGTGAAAGCTACTGTTCATGATAGGAGATGAACAGCAAGCTTGGGGCCAGCTGGTTAACTGTTCAGGAATTGTTTGAATGTCTGCTTGTACCCACTTCCCACAGAAGGCCACTCCTAATGCTTGTACCCACTTCCCACAGAAGGCCACTCCTAATGCTTGTACCCACTTCCCACAGAAGGCCACTCCTAATGCTTGTACCCACTTCCCACAGAAGGCCACTCCTAATGCTTGCCACCACTTGCCTATAACTCCCATACAGTTGCCAAATTATAGCCATTCTCAATATTTAACAAAATGCTTGTTTGTAGGAAAACTCACACTTTGGCATAGTGTCATCCCTAATGTGAATAGTCAGACTTGAGTTTTGTTTTATCTTCCTTGAGGAATTGTTGTCCTGACCATGTTGTTAAAATGTGATCTCTTTGGGTTGTTTTGTTTTCCCTGACTTATTTTCCTAGACTTTCCTGTTGACAACACTTGTATATGGAACGCAAGCATCAGGTTTTACATCCAGCCTAGGTCCACATCTCTTCCACATCTACTGAAGCTGAGCCGGTTAAGGTGCCTTCCTGGAGCAGTGTTGCTCCACAACTGTACACTTACATTCAGGAAAGGGAATTGAAAATTCTAAGTGAAATCTGTCTAATTAAGTACATTGTGTAGTAAGCTATAGTTAGACATCATTACATTTTGATAATACAGAAAGAGATAGAAAACCCCACTTACATTCACCTGAAATAGGCAAAAATGAGTGGGTGGATAGGTAGATAGATAGATGCATAGGTTAGCCTTTAGTTAGAGAAGTATGTAAAGATATGCTTGTACATTCAAAATTATATGGAATCATTGGCATTATTAGATACAAACTAAGCACCTGGCATTGAAAGTGCCATTCCTGATTCATGTGTTTTAATTCTTCTAATCAGTTTAATAAGCCAGGGTATAAGTAATTCATTGCATTAAAGATCGGCTTTAAAATGAAATTGTTACTACTGTAACAACTGAACAACTGTGGCAACTGGATAGTTTATTCTAACTGCTCAGTCAGCCATGAGTGCTCACTCAACTAAGTCCTGCTTTCTAGTAGTCTGAACTACAATGTTATGTAAATAGTTCATTCAGTCCGTTACATTGGCCAGTTTTCTCCCCAAAGATCATTTGACATTCTAGTTGGAAAAATGTACATTTAGTTCATTCATTATATCTGCTATATAAGCTTTAAGCCAAAGGTGTTGAGTAATGGTCTCACCAGTCACCAAGACAAAGAAAGACATGGTGGCATCATCTCTGTGGATTGCCCTGGATCTGGAACACATTCTTTTTTTTCCAATTTTGTTTTTGGCAACCAGCTGTGATTTAAAGCTTTGCAAAACAATGGTAACAATAACTTCTGCAATGAAATGCACCGCTCTCACCATGTGTAAATATTCTTCTGTTGTGGGATACTTACATTGCTTCCAGCCCTTTATTACTAAAATTGGTTCTGAGGGGATCTCAGTATTTTTGCTTTTGCAGATTGGCACATTGGGTGCAAACTAACTATATGTTACGTACACTTCAACTTGATCTTCCCAAATGTTTTTCACAATGTTTGGATCTGTTTTCATTTCTCTCAGCAGCATTTGAGAGCCCTTCATTTCCCCACATCCCTACCAACCCTTGGTACAGTCAGGTACTAGCTTTTGCCAGTTGGATGGGTGTAAAGCAGAATTTTTGTATTAACTTGATTTTCTCCCTTTTCTAATTATGTTTAGCATTTTTATGGGTTCATTGGCTGTTAATGATTTGCCTATTGATCTCGGTTTGTTCCATTATTTTTTCTGTTGTTTTTTTTTATGTTCTTTTTAAGCCTGGATATGAGTCCTTTGTTGGGCATACTAGTTACAAGCATTTTTCCCCCATTCTAAGGATAATTTTTAAATTTTTGTTAACTTTTTGGTTTTCAAAACCCTTGGCCAGCTTATCAGTCTTTTTGTGTATGACTTCTGCGTTCGTGGTTTTTAAAGTAGTTTTACTTTATGGAAATAATTTTTTCTTCCATGTTTTCTTCTACAGTTTAAAATGACTGCCTTTATGTATATAAGACTTTACTCAAACTGAAATCTATTGCTATGTGGAGTGGGAAATGGATTCTAGTGTTTCTCCCACATCTGAGTCTCCTGTATTTCACTCCTCTGCAGTGTCTCCACTTGGCATGTGTGGGTCTGTGGTGGGCTTTTCTGTACTTTTGTTTATTCTGACACCGATTCCATAGTTCTTCAGAGTCTTTTTATTAGAATTACATTGATATCATAGACTTACATGAGGAAAATTGACATCTTCATGACATTGGGCATTTCCATGTATCAACATGGTATGCACAGTGGTTATTTCTTTTCATTTTTCAGTAGTATTCATTGCCTTCAGTGTGTTCCGTGTTGCTTGCTGATTTGTTCTGGTGCCCTGAATTTTGTGTTGCTGTGTGAGTGAGATCCAAACAAATGCAGTTTTTATCAGGCACTGTTGATCTTTTATCCAGCACCTTTGCTTGAGTCTTTAATTTTAATAACTTCTCTAGAACTTTCTGTAGAACTCTAATGACAATTTTCTTTGCTATGTGCTTTATTATCTTTTGCATAGATTTTTTTCAGTGTTCCTTTTCCTCTTTTATATTTATCTTCTCAAATGTTAAATTACAGGTTGGGCCAAACTTTTTCAAGCTATTCCAAAGTAAATAGAATTTAAATTGAATATAAGCTCACAATTCACACAACACTGACACATTCATCAAATTCCATAGTGAGATGACTGAACTTGTTGGGCAAACCTGAGCTACATCTCTGGAGCCCGCATGAAGTTAGAATTCCATAGTTTATATAAGATTGGTTTTACTGGTTATGTTAGAAGCAGAGGTCTACCCAACTCTCTGTCAATATTTTAATACTCTTGAGTTTATACAAGGCTTAGCTGGTTTTCCTGTGTGCTTGCTTGGTTTTGTTTTTTACTTTGCTAATTAAGCCATGTGCCCTCCTCCCCCACAATAGCATCCAATAAAATCACTAGTTCTTTTTATTCAAAGAAATATACAATACTTAATAAAGTAGACTTCATTTTATTTACAGTAATGTTATGGTTTATAAATAAACTTGAATTAAATTCATGCCAATAATATTAAATGATTTTACCTCCTGTACTTAAAATTAATTTCTGTGTAAAAAATTCACTAATCTCCATGTATTCAAATCTGTGTGATTATATTCCATATATATATATAATATATATTCTAAATATGGAAATCACATAGTTAAAAAGAATCTTCTAGGACTAGTGAGATAACTCAACAAGTACTGACTGAACTTGTTGGGCAAACCTGAGCTACATCTCTGGAGCCCGCATGAAGTTAGAAGGAGAGAAATGAGTTCACGAAGTTATTCTCTCACCCCACATGTACACACTCATCCAGCTCACACATACACATCATGCATACATACTCACACACACTCACACACAGTAAAAAGTTGTTTAAAAATTAATCTACGTAGTCATATCATCAATCTTGCTAAATATTCAGTTACTAAAGGATCAATGTGACAAATTCTAGTGAATGTGAAAAAAATCTTCATTTTTGTGTAAGTTACTTGCATGATTTTTGTTTTCTCTATGGATTTTATTTTCTAATGTATTTCTTTTTAAGTTCCCAAATTGAAATGATTGTAATGAGAAAATACTTCATTTGTAAATATTGTGAGCTTAGACTTGAAGTACCGTCTGTGGAAACTTGAACCTCAGGGAGCTGAGGCAGTTGTCTCTTAGCATTGTTGACATGTTTGGTTTATTTACTCTGGTATCTTCCTAGTTATTTTCTAAGTAAAGTGAGTTTTTCACGACACTCATTTCCTCTCTTGCCTGGGATTCAGATTGCAGACTGCGCTCCTCTTCCAGTGCACACGCCAACCTTAAGGAAAAAGGGATGTCCTGCTTCAGCTGCCTTACCCCCTAAGGTACGCGCTCTAAACATAGGTGTTCCAGAGATGAGATGTGTTCCTTCTACTGTCAGTGTTTGCTCTGATTGTTACTCATTTCCTCAAAGCTTTAAAACAAAAAAACTTGGGAGGAAAATAAATTTGATAACGTAAATACCATTCTGAATGTTGGGAGGGGTGTATAGTATATTTGATTCTTAAATTCTGTGTTTCGAAGCCTATTAGAGGAACCCTTATTTTGTCACCTGATAAAAGTATAAAGTTGAAGCTCCTTGTCAGAGAATGTGAGTCAGTGTAGTCACACACTAAGAAGAGAAGTGCTCAGCAGCAAGTGCAGGTGCTCTCTCCTCCCCACCCTCCTGTGGCCAGGGCATCGTACATGGCAAGACACGACTGAGCTTGTCTAAGCCTATGCAAAGAAATTCTAGAAACTGGAACACCAGAGATCCTCCTCCCCGAAACATAAACTAGGAATAAGTCACAAATGAATGAGATCAGTGGCTCTGAAAACTAATTTTAAAAAGTATGAAAAGAGCTGGTGGTGGTGGCACACACCTTTAATCCCAGCACGTAGGAGGCAGAGGCAGGTGCATCTCTGAGTTTGAGGCTAACCCACAAAGCAAGCTCCAGGACCACCAAGGCTACACAGAAAAACACTGAACACTGTGTGTGTGTGTGTGTGTGTGTGTGTGAGAGAGAGAGAGAGAGAGAGAGAGAGAGAGAGAGAGAGAGAGAGAGAGAGAGAATAACCACATACCATTACATAATGAGATCAGACAGAATACAAATTTAAAAAAAACATTATATCCTTACAGAGATGGGTAATGTCAGACAGGATAAAACAGTAATAAGAAATAATATCTAGAAGAACTTGACAGAAGAATATAACTACTGAAGTCGATAAAGGGCTTTAATAATAGAGTGGGAGGAATAGGTATAGTTTTTTTAAAAAGTCAGTTAAAAATAAGATGAAAAATCTGAAAACTAAGGTATCTGACAGGAATGGTGTCAACATTTACATGATATGACTTTGAATAGGAAAGAGGTGGAAATAAAGAAACGGGATCTAGAATGACGACTCTGTGGTTCAGAGCACTTGCTGTTCTCCTGAGGTCCAGAGTTCCATTCTCAGCACCTGTATCAGGCGGCTCACAACTGCCTGTAACTCGGAGGATCTGCTCGCTCTTCTGACCTCAAAGGCACCTTTGTACACTTGTCACATACAGTGATGCACAAACACAAAGTACACTTTGAAAGACATAATGACCTAAAATTTTTTCAAATTAGAAATGAAAAGCTTCAGTAAAGGATGCAAGAAAACACTTAAAACATGCTCAAAATGTCTAAATGTTTCCAAAGAAATTGACTTATTTAAATGATTGGAACTTACATAACCAATTGGAGATGTCAGACTGGAGCTGTGGCCCCTCTGGTAGAGGTGCTTGGCTGAGCAGCCTGACCGCCTGAGCTGGAGGCCCTGTGTGCGTCTGTAACGTTAGGGCCAGATGGGAAGGACAGACTGATTTGGAGGGACTTCTAGCTTGGAGGACACAGTGGGGCAGGGAAACAGCAGGACATGCTGCCTCAGCAGGGTGCAAGGAACAGCTGACTTTGGAAAGTTGTCCTCTGACCTCCACAAGTCTTGTGGTACCTGCCTGCATACCCCTGCCCCAAATAATAGTAGTGTCTTTAAAGATGTGAGAGATGAAAGAATTCAAGAGAAAGTAAAATTAAAGGGAGATATCTCAGAAATACAAAGCAACCTCTGAGAAATTCAAGATCAGACAACTTAGAGATGCAAACGAATCTCATTTCAGTCAGTAACAGTAGAAAGAAGTAAAAGGACTCAAGTAAAGATGGCTAGCAGACTAGAATAAAAGAGCCAACGTTTCCAAAGTAAGAGTCACTGACAAATCAAAAACAATCAGAAAAACTAAAAGTTCTATTCAAGAAAAACCCTGCAAGTAGGATTGTGCAGTGTGCGTGAGTCTCTGGTGTGTGAGAAGTGCCCGCAGCCCCATGTGGAGATGTGCGTGAGGCTTGTCTCTGGTGTATAACAAGTGCCCGCAGCCCCATGTGGAGATGTGCGTGAGTCTCTGGTGTGTGAGAGTGCCCGCGTCTCTGGTGTGTGAGAGTGCCCGCAGCCCCATGTGGAGATGTGTGTGAGTCTCTGGTGTGTGAGTTCCCGCGTCTCTGGTGTGTGAGAAGTGCCCGCAGCCCCATGTGGCTGTGAGATGAGAAGTAGAAGGGTTAACTCTTCTGTTGATTATTTTGCAGCGCAAGACTCATCAGTTTTTCGTGAAGTCTTTCACTGCCCCTACAAAGTGCCATCAGTGCACCTCCTTGATGGTTGGTTTGATAAGACAGGGCTGTTCCTGTGAAGGTAAGAATGACAGGAAGGAAGGTATGACTTCTTGGCTTTGTAACAGTACTGTTGCCAACTGGTTATGGGGCTCTAAGCAGACAGATGGCCTTGAATGCCTCACTGCCGCTGCCATTCTGTGACTCTGAGCCAGTGGTGTGTAGCAGATGACAGAAAATGCTCAGAGAAGTGAACTGCAGTCCTGTCCGCCAGTGAAAGCATTTCTTTATACCTTTATAGCCATCGAGACATTTGTTTTCAAACAGGCGGTACAAGTTTCCAGCTATCACACGCATAAGGACTAGAGATTGGGTCTTGAGGACATGTGCCAGGTTGCCCACCTGCAATCCAAGCCCTCAGGAGGTAGAAACAGTAGATCCTTGAGGGTGCTGGACCAGCTGAAGTGTTGAGCTCCAGGTTCTGTGAGAGACCTGGCCTCAGAAAATGAAGTGGGGAGTGACAGATGGAGGAAGATGGCTGACATCAGCCTTGGGCTTCATATCCTCACACACATGTGACTATGTACTCACACACATGCACACATATAAACATGCATGCATAGCACACACAAATTAATCAGTTAATTCAGCATTGCTAGTAGACATCAAGTAGCTGAATGTCCATTAGTAACTCTTACAAGAGAATTTCAGGACTGATAATGAGTTGCAGTAGAATAAAGAACTAGAAAACTTCAGAGAATTATAAATTTAAATAAGCCATATTATTTGCAAGGTTGGGATTTGTGTTTGTTTTTTATCCATTTACTTCTCAGTTTGATCACTAATAAAAGAATAACAATAGAAATAATGAAAGCATTTATTACTTCTCAATGAATTTCTGACTGACAAGCAACTGGATTTTTTTCCCTAGTGATAAAATGGTTGTTTAAAATGAAGTAGAAAATGAGCATTCTTCTAAAGAGCACCATCGATGCAATTAGTGAGTGCCCAGTGAATTTTGTTGTTAATCTAAATATGTTCTTTTCCTTAAAAGTGTGTGGGTTCTCGTGTCATATCACATGTGTGAACAAAGCTCCCACTGCCTGTCCGGTTCCTCCGGAGCAGACTAAAGGGCCGCTTGGTATAGACCCACAGAAGGGAGTGGGGACAGCGTATGAAGGCCATGTCAGGGTGAGTACCTCTGTTTAGTCACTCAGTAAACATAGCACTTGACAGAAAATTTAATGAATCAAACTCATTTAAATAATATTTTACCTAGAGTCATAATGACTTGGAAATAAATTCTAAAATATCACAGAGTTTTCTGTACTCTCCATACCTTGAAGTTTACAAATGTCAAAATCATTATAATGGAGCCTTGGGCCTCTGGTCTTGCCTTAGAGGTAGAATGAGGTTGAGGTGTAAGTTAGGAAGTACCAAGACATAAGCTTACCATCCTGGGTACCGTTACAGTGGGAACGGAATGTCAGTTTCATCTTACAACCAAATCTGCCTCCTATGCTATTTCTCTAAAAAGCCACGAGTCAGTCTGAAATGGTACCATTTAAAGCTTCTAAAATGGCCGAGGGTCTGAAGAATGTCTTCTCACTGTCTCCGTGCTAATGGCATCATGTCCCACTTGCTGCCGAATCAAGTGAGAAGCAGACCTGGGGCAGGTTTACACAACCTTACGTGTCACCTGCAGTTCACATGGAACCAGAGGCTCTCACCGCCATTCTCACTGAGTTTTCTTTGTTTGTTTGTCTTACTGAAACAAATTAAGGTCCCTAAGCCAGCGGGAGTGAAGAAAGGATGGCAGAGAGCACTGGCTGTGGTCTGTGACTTCAAACTGTTTCTCTACGATATCGCAGAAGGAAAAGCGTCTCAGCCCAGCTCTGTCATTAGTCAAGTGATTGACATGAGGTAAGCCCCAAGGGATGAAGATGTATGTGCATTTCAGCATAGGAAATAAAGGTTATGAACTTTCTTTTATATTGCCATGCTTTGCATTAAATAACCTAATTTTGAGTCAGTTTTTGGATTTAGTCCCATGGCTACTATGACATACTAGAAAGTAGGGAGCTAGGGGTAGTTCTAGGACAAATTGGTCTATGTGTTGAGTGTGTGGAGCTATAAGCCAATGTTTGGCTCTGAAAAACCAGTTTAAAGGTCATGTAGTAACAGTCCTAAATGCACGCTCACCCGTTACCATCTGAAAGTGCAAAGTGATTCCATGACAGCAGAGAGTTAACATCTCTCACTGGCCCCGGACGGCACACTAAAGCAGCAAACAGTTAAGAAGCTGTGTTTCTCTAGCTCCATTGTCCAGACTCTTCATGTGCCCCTTGAGCTCCTCCTCCTCCTCCTCTTCTCCTACAGCTTCAGCCATTAACTCCTGAATGATGCATCCCATGCATGTCTCTAGTTCAGACATACCCATTGCTCTAAATGCACATTTCCAGATATGCCTGTTGGTGTCTGAAACACAGTGGAATATGGAGAGATTGGTACAGGGAGTATCTGCAAGAGAGATTTGGCAGACCTGCTAATAAACTGAATGAAAAGATGGGGACTAGGCAAAGGGGAGCTCCTTAGCCCATGTGGTTAAGGATAACATAAACAAGAGCAAAACTGTTAAAACAAATATACCACCATGTCAGGACTTTAAGGCAGGGAAAAGATGGTACTGATGACAACAGGACAAGACAGGACTAAATCACTGTTTTAAGTGTGAAGTCAAAGTGTCACTTGGCTTTAGTATGGCAGGCAGAGAGTTCACTGGGACTCTGGAGACTAAAGCCCCTTCTGCCTGTGTGCTTCTTGGTGTCATGTGTCTGCATGAGTCAGGTTATGTCTAGTGTAAAGTGCCAGGTCACTCCTGATGGACTACCTTGAGTGCTGTCAGTAACTATATGGGGAAATCTTGTTTTGTTTCTTTTTAAATTGAGCTTGGATGTTCATACACTCTTTGAGAATTGCTTCATATATGTTATTGGGTGTATAAGCAAAACCATACACATAATGGCAACATATAATAAGCCTAAATGTTTAACTTTTATTTCAGAGATGAAGAATTTTCTGTGAGTTCAGTCCTGGCTTCTGATGTTATTCATGCAAGTCGGAAAGATATTCCGTGTATATTTAGAGTAAGTTGTGTATGACTTGAGTACTTGAGTTTTATATGAACCTTGTGTGTGCGTATGTGTTTGTGTGCACATGCATGTGGAGGCCAGAGATTGAGGTCAGATAGCTTCTTTGATTGCTTCCCACTTTACCTGCTGACACAGCCTCACTGAACTGCAGCTCGCAGCGTGAGCTAGTCTAACTAGCCAGCTTGCCCCAGAAAGTCCTGTGACTACCTCTGGAGTAACAGACAAACCTACCTGACTTTTACCTGGGCTCTGGGGATCCAGACTCTGACCCACAGGTTACTGCAGCAAGTGCTTTATATACCGAGCCAGCACCTAATTTCTTGTTTTTAATGAGTAGGTTTTGCTACTCTGTATAAATCATAAAATTACTAGGACAAGACCCAAGCCTAGTACTCTTTATGTGTCCATATCATCCACTATTTATATGAATACAAAATTGTGCTAAGACTTGTAGAATGCAAAATATGTTTCTAAAGTATGCTTCATGTGTACTTTTGAGACCCAGTTCAATCTTCAAGTAAATGTTAGCAGGTGAGGTTTAAAACTTAAAAACATTTGTCTCTGTAAAACTCACACTTTTAAAATTGTTTCAGTTCCTTTATAACAAATACTCCAAAACTTTAGTATTCATTTTCCACTGTTCTGTGGTATTGACTGATGTTCTCCTGTGGCTGCATTCAGCTTATTTGGGGCAGGAACATTCAAGTTAATGTTTTTTTCATCAGCTGGCTAATGTCATTGGTTTTTCTCTTTATATTCATGCTCTCTCTCTCTCTCTCTCTCTCTTTCTCTCCTCTCTCATTGCATACAGATAATTGCTGATAGCCATATTGATGAAGTAAACAGTACAGATTTGTAAAGCTGTTCTACTGTTATATCTGTCCTACTTTCTAGTTGTCTATGAATCTTATATCTAAGGAAGATCAAAGTTTTAAACTTAGTCTCTGACTTTCTAGGCCAACAACTATTTATTTATTCTTCCCTAGCTCCCAAAGGAGTCTGTAAAGGCTCACTCACCTGTAACTGACTTGCAGTAGGATTTTATTGTTAAAAGCATATGTAAGCATATAAAGGTCTTCTATACACACACACACACACACACACACACACACACACACACAAAATCTAAAAATGCTCTGATTGACATGTAAACTTTCATTTACTTACTGTTTCAAGTGATCTGATCTTCTTTAATGATAATCTGAAGAGTTGCTAGGAAGTACAAGAGACTTTCAGAACAATATGATGTACTTGGAGCATAGAAGCATGCTTTATCTTCATGCCCTTGAGAAGCTACTCACTTTCTCTTTATCATGGATTCTCATATTTAAAATTAGTATATAATCATAGTTCCCCTGTCTCATGAAGGTGTTAAGAGGACTAGATGAATTAATATTTATAAAGTGCTTTTCTTTCTGACACTTAATAATTTTAAGTGTCATTTGTGAAATTAGTATATGTAATGCATTTTATGGTATTTTGTGACATTTTGTAACAAAGAGCATGAATAATAGTAACATTTCGACTTGTATCACCTCCTGTTGTTTGAATTATAGCATTACAGTGAGATACTCTAATTCAGCATAGCTAAAGTTTCCTAAAGGAATAATTTAATAAATGCTCGTTTTACTGTGAGTGCTAGGCAAATGAGCATAACCCTGAGGCTAGCATGAAAGCTGTTTTCTAATGTTGTGAATATTAAACTGTTTTAGGTCACAGCGTCCCAACTCTCAGCACCTAGTAACAAGTGTTCCATCTTGATGCTGGCAGACAGTGAGAATGAGAAGAGTAAGTGGGTGGGAGTGCTCGGTGAACTACATAAGATCTTGAAGAAAAACAAATTCAGAGACCGCTCAGTGTATGTTCCCAAAGAGGCTTATGACAGCACTCTGCCCCTCATTAAAACAACGCAGGCTGCTGCAATCATAGGTAAGCATTTCTAACAGTCGTTGTATTACCATCCCTGTATACTACGCTGCATTTTGAGCTGGCACCACTGTTTACACAATGTCTGGCATATGTCAGATGTTTGTGGGATGATGAGGCCTGTGTCAGACCTGTCTTTTAGCACTTACATTATCTTCCTAAAAAGCACTAGTGCTAAAACCCAGCCTGCTGACCTTTTTCTTCTATTCTTGTGAATTGAAATGAGTTAGTAAGTGTGGAATGTATGTTATTGAAGAGTTTTGAAGTCATAGAATACATAGCATGGCACCAGCAAATAGCTTCTGTATATAGAAGTTTACCTTTTTGCTCTGTTCTTATATACATACCCCACTTCTGTTGCTTTCTAGAAAACATGAAAAGTCTACTGAGCAGGATTCAGACGCCTTTCACAGTGTCTCTAGAATGGATAATGTCTGTGGTACTCACAAACCGGGCTTGTAGTTTTCTCATTACTGAATAAGCATTTCCTTCAGTACTAAAGCAGACTTTTAGCTGACTGCTCTGCTTTAAAAGGCGTGACACATTTACTCTGCAATCTGAGGAGAAATAGGGATGGCATATTTTGATTTTGTTATTTATTTTCCCTCTAACATCAGATTTTCTCATTATCTGTTTTCTGTTATCTTTACATGATTTTTATCTGATGAAAATGTTTTATGTTTGTGTCTTAAATAGATCATGAAAGGATAGCTTTGGGAAATGAAGAAGGATTATTTGTTGTGCATGTCACCAAAGATGGTAAGAGAAAACCCAGTTATTCTGAAGTAATTTTCAATGATGTATTAGAAAACTCTCAAACCTGAAGTTTAAGAGCAGGATTGTGTTGCTAAGGTTTTCCAGATATAATTTTATGTATTTTTAAATCAGAAGATTTTTTTTTGAGACAGGGTTTCACTACATAACTCTGGCTATCCTAGAACTCAGTATGTAGACTAGGCTGGCCAAACTCACAGATCTGCCTGCTGCTTCCTCCTGGGATTAAAGGTGTGTGCCACCACACCAGCTTTAACTGAAAAGGTTTTCAGTTATGTTACCCCCTTTTAGTTCTAACGTTCTGTGTACTATCCCTCTCCTGTTTTATTGAACAATTCCACTCGTGTCTAAGATGGCACAGAAAAGAAAACTATAAATTACTTTTCTCACTTTTGGTATTGCTTTAAGAGATAATGTCTAAAAATCCCTTGTGGTTCAGTACAACAGGTTTTTCGCTCCCTAGGGGAAAATAAAGTGCTGAGTGAAATAAAGCAAAACCAACTGAATTTGCTCTTCATAGACACAGTGATTTAGTTCTGTCACTTGAGCTTGATGAGTTTGCTCCTCATAGAAATCCCTGGAGAAGTGTTAGGAGGGTACTTCAGTTGGTAAGTGCCGTGTGAGCACTGCATTCCTAGAACCACGTAAAAAGTGGGCATGGTAGTGTGTGCTTGTGAGCCCAGTACTGGGAAGGCGAAAACAGAAGGACTCCTGGTAGTCACTGGCCAGCCAGCCTAGCCTAGTTATCAGTCCCAGGTCCCAGTGAGAGACCCTGACTAAGTAAACAAAGGTGGGTATGAGCAAGACCACTCAGCACATAAAGGTGCCATGCAAGCCTGGTAACCTGTGTTTGATCCCTAGAACCTGCATAAAGGGAGAAGAAGAAAACTGACTTCACGAAGTTGTCATCTGACCACCACACCCAGGCTGTGACAGGCACTCACACACATACACAATTTAAAGTATTTTAATTAAGAAACAGAAGCTCAAGGCAGACAGCTCCTGAGAACGAACGCTCTAGGCTGATTTCTGGTGGTTCATGCTTGTGTATGCATACATGGCCACATGTACATGCAAAGAAAAAGCTGACGAGGTGGGGCTGGAGAGATGGCTCGGCCCCTAAGAGTCCTGGCTGCTGTTGCGGAGGAAGGACCCAGGGCTTCGTTTCCCAGCACCTAAATGGCGGCCTACACCATCTGTAACTTACATTCCAGGGTGTCTGATGACATTCTTCTGGCTTCCATGAACACAGGTATACAAGTTATGCATAGACATACATGTAGACAAAACACCCACATACATAGAATAAAGCTTTGAAAAGAAATACCTAAAGAGACACATGAGTTGCAGTTACTTGGATTTTAAAACTAGAATTCCATGGTGAAGTTCCTAGGAACAAACTTCACAACGCATCAGCATGCTTTACATGGGGTTCCTTGCGACAAGATCTTGGTGCTGAACTTAATACCAGCTATCAGCTGTCAGTGGGTTAAATGATTAGATAATGGGTTAATTATCCTCTTTGTTTCCTCTGTGATTTCTGACCTTTGATACTTTTGTGTGTATGCATCTTTAATATGGGTTGGGCTATATACTTTGGTATTTAATTTGGATACAATCAATATAACCATTTTACATTTAATGTTGTTTTTTTCTGTAGAGATTATTAGAGTTGGTGACAATAAGAAAATTCACCAGATTGAACTCATTCCAAGTGACCAGCTTGTTGCTGTGATCTCAGGCCGAAATCGCCATGTCCGACTTTTTCCTATGTCAGCTTTGGACGGTCGAGAGACAGATTTTTATAAGCTAGCAGAAACTAAAGGGTGTCAAACCATAACTGCTGGGAAAGTACGCCATGGAGCCATGTCCTGCCTGTGTGTGGCTATGAAAAGACAGGTCCTCTGCTATGAGCTGTTCCAGAGCAAGACCCGGCACAGGAAATTTAAGGAAATTCAAGTCCCGGGTAATGTCCAGTGGATGGCCATCTTCAGTGAGCAGCTCTGTGTAGGATTCCAGTCAGGATTTCTCAGATACCCCTTGAATGGAGAAGGAAGTCCGTGCAATATGCTTCATTCAAATGACCACACACTGTCATTCATTGCACATCAACCAATGGATGCTATCTGTGCAGTTGAGATCTCCAACAAAGAGTATTTGCTGTGTTTTAACAGCATTGGGATATACACGGACTGCCAGGGCCGAAGATCTAGACAACAGGAATTGATGTGGCCAGCAAATCCTTCCTCTTGTTGTAAGAGTCTCTTTATTATTTGTCTACCTTCTTCCCCTTTTTTGCCTTTTCATTTACTTTAAATGTAATCATTTTTACTAACAGCTAGTTTTTTTTATCATTCTCAAGGTCTTTCCCAAGTACTAATTATGTTGCTAGTGTAAAATAACCATACTGTAAAACCTAGGCAAACAGGGTGAACATTAAATGCTTGAAGTAGACCTAATCTTTCTATGGAAAACTGACTGAGATACATTTTTTTTATCTCCATGTATTTAAAAATAATCCCAAATCACTCTCTTCAGTGTCCCCCTAAATATAGTATACTTGTATAACAGTAGCTCGTAAGACTTATGCTGGAGAAGTTACTAAGTGATTGTTTAATCGGTTCTTAAAAGATGTAAGGTGGCTTTTATAAGAAATATTACTCCATTTTACATTTTATAGATATATACATTGATTTAAATTTGCTTATTTTACTCTTTCCATAAAAATATTGATTTATCATTCAATACTTTTGTCACTGCATAATAAGCACTGTTAAGCACGTATTATTTTACTATATGAGATGAAGTCGTGAGTGAAATCAGTGCAGTACTATCTTCCCTTACAGAGTAGGGGGGAGTAAGTGGCTGGTTAGAACACTGTGTTACAGGTGCATTCAGGGGAGTGTCTGGCCCAGATTGCTTTGTTTGTAATGGAAGCCTCTTAAGCCTGTTTATATGCTGAGAGGGAGAAGCCTCTAGAGAATCAGTAGGAAAAGGTAGACTATTTGGGAAATACAGAAAATAAAATACAATACCCCAAAATGGCCCAAAGAGGGTGGAATTCAGAAGTCTAGTAAAACAATTACTAGGGCAGGAGGCAGGGACCCCTCCCCTGCAGCAGGGAGATGGAGGGCCGGACCAACCCCATGTGTTAGGTAAGAGAGCGTGTCTCAGAACAGGGAGTTCTTATTTCAGAAGAATGACCAAAAGCCTCTAACCCTACCCAACCAGATTTAACTGTTTATAGTGTTTTATTTCTTCTGAAATGAACATTTTTATCAGTGACATAATGGGAAAGTGAATGCTGTTGTAGTTGAGTCAGATAATCCTGAGTGTTCTGAGGTGCAGTCACCATCAGGCTAACACATTTCTAGGTATGATTCAGTCAGAAACTGTAGTTTGAGTAAATCGCTTATCCTGTGCTTATGTCGCTATTCCTTCCACAAATGTGTATTCAGCATCTGTTCTTGTCACATAGCTGCAGGTCACAGTGTCTGTAGCACAGCTGTGCCAGAGACACATATCATGCATAGCTTACTTAACTGTTCTAAACCAGAACACATCAACAGCTTAACTGCTTTAAAAGTCTAATACTTTAAAATGCAATGAAATTTCTTATTGGACAAAGTGTGTTCGTTGACTCTGTACTGGGCTTATAAATCTGAGCTTTGGTCTATCAGTTCTTCCTTAATGATTTATGTTCTGCTCACTTCAAAACTGTTTTCAACGTCATTCCTATGTAATAACCGTTGGGTTTTGAAAAGATTCCACCGTACAGTTGCTTAGAATAGACCGTTCAAAGCGTGTGGGGCTTACAGTTCACAATAATCAGCAGGCTGTGCCTTCCTTCCTCCCCCTAGGTTACAATGCACCTTATCTCTCCGTTTATAGTGAAAATGCAGTTGATATCTTCGATGTAAACTCCATGGAATGGATACAGACTCTTCCTCTCAAAAAGGTAATGAAACACTAAAGTGTGGGCCAAATTGGTTATTTTTTTTTCACATTTTTCATTGCAAATATTGATTGTGCATAGTACTGTGTTACATAAGGACATTTTCAAGAGCATATATATTGTACATTAAACATACTACCCCTGAACCTCACCACTCTCCCTGTTCTTCCCCCTCCCTCTCCTATGGGGGGTGTCTCTGCAACCACCAAGGCCGGCAAGAGTCAGTCTGTGTGAGGCAAGAAGGAAGTTGGTTTAACATAACTCAGTAGCTGGTGTTGATACAAACTTTGAGAGTCTGACACTGGGCAGTTTATTTTGGTTATATTTAAATATAGCACAACTTGGAAAAATGTTTGCTGGTGATTCTTAATAGTCTCATGTGCACAACAAGGCTGAAGGCATGGCTACATCAAAGACAGAGTTTCTCTGTGTATCCCTGACGGTCCTGAACTCGCTCTGTGGACCAGACTGGCCTGGAACTCACAGAGATCTGCCCATCTCTGCCTCCAGAGTGCTGGGATTAACAGCATGTGCCACCACTGGCAAAAATGTGCCCCAATTTTAAGACACACTAGTAGTGTAAACCCTTAGAAAAATTGCTACATTATATAAAGCAACAAAAATATCATCCTCAAATTTGTAAGTTAGGTTTGGCCATAGTTTTCTATTTCATTTTTGTCATAACCTTTGTACCATGCAAGCATGTAACTGAAAATGAATGACACTGTGAGCTCTGCTCCTTCCTGAGAGTGCAGTGCCCCATCACCACCGCAGCCACACACACTGTGTCCCACACCTCTCCTCTTGGAAAGTGCTGTCCCAGACTGCTTATTCTCATCCTGTTATGGCCTTAGGATGGGGCAGTTGGAAATTTTAAAGGAAAGTGGTATTCAGTTTTGCTTGATTTTGCAATTTAATAAACTGTTGAAATTATCACTTCTTTTTCTGTATTGTCTTTGCTCACTTACTGTGTTTTTTAAGATTCATGCATGCACTACATACAGTTCCTTGATTTCCACGACTGTAAAACAGTCTTTAGGTGAATACTTTAGTGTTTATCCATTACCTGGTTGACAGCATTTGAATTACTGCTAACTCTTTGCTATTGTCAGCATTTCTGCATCTGTCTCGATGGAGATGTGGAGGCCTTTCTTTACACCATCAGCCTCACAGTGGGACTGCTAAGTCACAGGGGCTCCAGCTGTCACCTTATGCAATAGTGTTATGCCAGTTGCCAAAATATTAGTACAAATGACAGTCACATCAGCATCCTCTACAGTTCTTTCTGGCCCACATTATCACTAACATGTCATTCTGTAAATTGTAGTGGACAGTGTGTCACTCAAGTGCTGGCTTGTCAACTGTGGTGACGCCCTTCATACTATCCCTTGCAGGCCATGTCTGCTCATCTTGTTGTTGAATTTACTGTTTTTTTCTTCCCAGGCTATGCAGACTGCTTTCTGTGGGTCCTGGGTTACTAACACACAGGACAGTCTTTTCTGTGTTTGTGGCATCTCTTATTTGTGATGCATTTTCCTGAACAAAATTACTAATTTTACTGAAGTAAGATGTTACTCCTGTTGTTTAGGTTTTTCTTTTTCTCTTAAGAAACTTTCCTACTTCAAGACCATAAAGATGAAACCTTTATTTTCTTCCAAATTTATTCTTTCTGACTCCCACATATTGCTATGTGCAATATTTTGTGCATAATAAACTTTTTCTTATTACATGCGTGGCTGCAGTCCATTTAGAATTGAGTTTTAATATGTGGTGTATATGGCTGGTTCCTCCTCCTCCTCCAATATCTGTGATCCATTTCCTCTCAATACTTTAATCACTAGATATGTGGGCATTCAGTGTTTAGTGATATGAATTCTTAAAATAAATGTGTTCGTTTCTTAGTTCAATTTTTTAGTCAGTAATAGTTTTAAACAAGCAATTTTAAGGTTTATATATTTCTACTTGATTTTATTTACCCAGAATAGAATTTCTTTAAACTATTATTATGATAAGTTAGTTTACTCAAATTAAATAATAATATACCTTCCTAGTAAAATTATTGAGATGTTTTAAAGAACTATATTTTGACTTAAGTAAGTAAAAGGTCTTAGTAGTGTATTCTTAACAAATATACTAAAACTTTTATGATTTAATTTTTAAAGGTTGTATTGAAATACTAATTTCATTTTTATTATTTTAGGTCCGACCTTTAAACACTGAAGGATCATTAAATCTTTTAGGATTGGAGACTATTAGATTAATATATTTCAAAAATAAGATGGCAGGTAAGAAAATATATTAATAGGATTGATTCAGTGGAACTGTTATGTCAGTCCAAAGCATTTGGATATGAAATGCTTCAGCCCAAATTTGGCTCAGGCATATCTCACTCTGGAATATGTAAAGCCCTCTGTCAAACACTGGCAAGACGGTAAAGACAGGCTGTGTTAGCAAAGTGTTTGACTCTGCCACACATTCTTTTTCTGTGGAGCTCTTGGTAAGTAAAGAAGATAGTCTGTAGTCTTCGGTGCTGTAATACCATAGAACCAAGTCAGTAGGTCCTAAAGTATGGGCACTTGTCTAGAGCTCCAGTGCTATTGCACAGCACCTCCAAAGTACTGAAGACAGTGTGGGTAGAGGCAAAGGAGACCAGAGGAATGAATCCCCAGAACCTAGAACGTCAAAATGGGAGAAAATAATCTATGGAAAGTGGGATGGCTCAGCTGTTGAGACGGCCTACTGCTCTTCCAGAGGTCTGGAGCCACTGAGACTACTCTCCGCAGGAGAAAGAAAACAGTGTGAGGGTACCGGGGCAGAAGTGGCTAGCAGAAGTGTAGCATCTCATATTTATAATTAAAAGTAAGAATGTATTTTATAAGCTATTCTTGATTTTAGCATGTGTATTTTCACACATTCCACTGAAAATTATTGCTTGCTTTCTAATGTATAATTTTTAATTATCGCAGTTGTACATATTATGCAATTGATTGCCATGTCATAGAGATAAATGGATATAAAGAATTTTAACAATTTAAACAGTGTCATTATTTTCTTTCACATAGAAGGGGATGAACTTGTAGTTCCTGAAACATCAGATAATAGTCGAAAACAAATGGTTAGAAATATCAACAACAAGCGGCGTTACTCCTTCCGAGTCCCAGAGGAGGAGAGGATGCAACAAAGAAGGTATGTAGTTAACTTGTGCCAGCATTCATCTGTGCTACCAGCATCTGTCCATGCCTATAGCTTCTGTCCATGTTGCCATCACCCAGAGACAAGCTAAAAACAATTTAGAAGAAAGATTTGGTATCTGAAAATTTATCACTCAGCTGTGGTCCAAAATAGTAGGGTTTGGGTGGTTTGTTGGCAGAGTATTTGTCAAGCATGAGTAAAACTCAGGAGTCTGTCTCCTACTGAAGGGGGATCCTATACTAATGAGTGCATCCCCCAGTGCCATTTTAATTAATACTGTCTAGGTTATAAGAATACAGTGGACAGAGTACCATATTTTCACTCATTTCTGTATGTATATGAAGAGTTATAATTCTTCCTGGCACACATAACTGAATATAAATCATCTGTGCGTATACTAATTGTATATCCTTAAGAAGTACAGAAGCCAGACATGGAGGCTCATGGCTGTAATCTTAGCATTCAAGAGGCTAAGGCAGAAGAGTTACCTTAAACTTGAGGCCAGCATGTCCTGAGCTAAAGGGTAAGACCCTTTCTGAAAAAAAGAAAATTGAGAGAAAAAAATTAACTCAAGTTAACTCTATTCTCCATGAGCAAGCAGATTTAGCTATATTTAAAACCATTTCTAAAATGTTATCTATTATAAAAGATGCACATATAAAACTCTGTAGTATCTGCAAAGTAGAGAGGGGTTCTTTGCATGTTAAAGGTGGAGCTCAGTGGTACACATGTGTGTCTCTGATCCCCAGCACTGAACCAATTAAACAAATAAAACTTAAATCTTAAGATCTTCTTATTTAAAATTTAAAAAACAAAACAGTCTAAGGAATTGAACTATTAATATATTCTGTTATTCTGATTACATATTTATTTTTATAAAAGTTATGCTTAATTTTTTTAAGTTATATTGATTAAATGTGGAAAATCTGTCTAAACAGGTGTTCTACCTTACAGGGAGATGCTACGAGATCCAGAAATGAGAAATAAATTAATTTCTAACCCAACTAATTTTAACCACATAGCACACATGGGTCCTGGAGATGGAATACAGATCCTAAAAGACCTGCCCATGGTAAGAGGCGTGAGGAGTGGTGTGAATATGAATGGAGTGAGGAGTCAGTGGCAGATGCATGGGGGAAATATGTGTATGTAGGCTTACATACATGCACAGCTTCACAGGATGTGTTATACAGTGAGGACATGTTCCTCCAGTATGCCACAGTATGTTTAAGATGCATGGTGGCATACCTGATAGAAGAAACTTACAATTCATGAATCTATCAAAACCCAAAACAAAAGTTCTTAATTGGTGCCCCACCCTAGAAAAGTTCTCCAGTTTGCTAAAAAAAGATTGTTATTGTTAGTGGAAGAAACAACTGTATTTGAAAGGTGATAGAAGAAACTTACAATTCATGAGTCTATCAAAACCCAAAACAAAAGTTCGTAATTGGTGCCCCACCCTAGAATAGTTATCCATTTTGCCAAAAAAGTTTGCTATTGTTAGTGGAAGAAACAACTGTATTTGAAAAGTTCTATAACAAGTCCCAAATGCAGTTACCAAAACTTGTAAGATTTCACTCAACTCAGTAGATACTTGGGTGTTTTCTCCACAGAAGTCCACACGGGCTCCATCATTCATAGTCACACCTCTCAGCTAACTGTGAATTAAATCTTGTTCCTTTGTTCAAATCCAAGCCTGTTTCCTGGACAACTACATGTAAAAAGAAGTACAGCATAGGAAGATGGTTGTGCTTTAACAACATGAAGATTGCATTGCATCCACAGACCCATTATGCTGAGGTTAAAATTACGAGTGGAATTAGCAAATTATTCAGGCTCAGTTTGCTCCTAAAATGTCAGTATCACACACTCCAGAAAACTACTAAAATGGAGTCTGACTCTTTGATAAGTGGGGGTAGCAGCTAAACTGGGCAGAGAATTTTAGGAATAGTTCCTCTCTTACAGCAATTTCAGAGAGAACTGTAAATATTGATCCTAATCTCTTCCTAAGGATGTCTGTCTTAATCTCATTAGCAGCACCATTGGTAGAAGAAATGAGAAACATGATAAAAATGTGATGTGTAATAAAAATTCTTGTGTAAAAGTTAGGTTATAACAGGAGTTTTTCATTTATTTCCTGGGAAGAAAAAAAGAAAAAAGTCTCCCTTCATTTCAACCAGAGTACAGGGCAGTAAATATCAGTCATATGGCCATGCTTTCTGACTACCTTTTTGTCTTTAAGATGATGTTGATGATGGCAGCCACAGCAGTATAGATCATCCACAGTAGTGACCCTTGGAATCTAGATTTTTATTAGCTGTGTTGGGTGAATATAATATGTGCACAGACTGCATCACAGCTGACCTATATATGTATATCTATATGTGTATATAGATATCTATATATGTCAAGCACATCTGACATCAGAGCTGCTGTGCATGTTGCCATGTGTGTAAGCTGTTCTGCTTTCAACCCCCACCTGGAGTGAGAGCTCTGGCGTCTCCTTTTCCCACTCCTAACAGCGACTGCTCCAAAGCCCTTATTGCTCCAGCTGTCATCTTGGCAGCGCACGCAGCACAGTCTGAGATCCAAGCCTCTGCTGCTCCTGTTCTTGCTATTTCATTTTTCCTGTGAAAGTTACAAAATGCTGTAGTAGAGAGAGTTTTTGTGAATGAAACAGTTAACTGTGACTGTATTCATAGCTTTTCTGTAGAGATCAAGTGCAGCGCACTGTTTTAACTGAACTTTCTGAACCTTTGATAGTTTTTCATAAATGTGTAGTTAGCATTGTTGAGGAGTGGAGAGAGAGTCAAATTTAGGCTCACAAATACATTGCAGAACAGCACGCCAGCTAAAGCAATGTTAGTTCAATAGTAACAAGGTTTTGATAGCTACTAACCTTTAAAACTTTTGTTGCATTCTGGCGTACCTAGAAAGTTTTTATCACATCTTTACTGTGTAAAAGGAATTACAAAAAAATTTTGTAGAAATTCTGTTGTACCCCATTTTGTCATCCTTTCCTTAAGGTGGAATAATGTCAGGATTTAGTGTTATTCTGCCTAGGTTCCCCCAGGTGAAGAGTTGTTTCTCATCGGAAGGCCTTTCCAACCTTCGCATACAGTGGAGCATGGACCTTAGATTCTAGATTAGCAGTTCAAATGTTGTAAGAAAGTTCAAAATATCCCCTCAGCTTTATTTCTTTTTGTTTAAGTTTTTTGGTTTTTGTTGGTTTTTTTTGTTTTGTTTTGTTTTTGCTTTTGTTGTTTTTTTTTTGTTGTTGTTGTTGTTTTTTTAAGTCAGGGTCTTACTCTCTAGCCATGGTTGGCCTGGAACTCTCTATGAAGACCAAGCTGTCTTCAAACTCAAAGAGATCCAACTGCCTCTGCCTCCAGGGTGCTGGGAACAAAGGTGTGCGCCACCACGCCCAGCCTAACTATACTTCTTTCTCCCTTCACTCTCTTACTTACCACTTAAAAGAAATCTTCTCTTTGTTTTGAGACAGAGTATTCCTTTGGTGACCCTGGCTGACCTTGAATTCACAATGTACCCTATGGCTGACCTTGAATTCACACTGTACCCTATGGTAGCCCCAACTTTGAGCCTGTCCTCCCGCCTCAGCCTTCTAGATGCACCAGGTGGCCATCAACTTGTCCACCAGAAAGTTGTGCTTTTGTTACTCTTGTTGAAAAGATATTTATTAGTAAACAAAGCATTTTCAGATGGCATTTGTCATTCATCCCCAACTGGCTCTATCTATGTGACCTTCCACGATGGCTGTTGATTCTAATTCGACAGCTCAGTTTGGGGTCTGTGTTGTCACCTGATTTTGTTAACTCCACAACCACCTCCCTAGCCTCCATCCCAGATTAACACCTAGTCCTCTTTCCTTGTCAATTCAGTCGTTTTTAAATGTATCTTCTATTCCTATTCCTTTGATTTTTCTTACTGTGTAAGATAAACACTGTTATATTTCCAAGAAGATGCACATTTATGAAGCTGTTTCTTCATTTGCACACATGGTAGCATCAGAAATCTCCTGTGTCCAAATTCCTGTTTGTTTCCTGTTATTTCCACATGACTCTCCTCATTTCACATCCAGAGGATCTATGACCTAGCTCTCTAAAGCCGTCCATTCAATTACCCGACACATGCTTCTTGAGGACTGACTTTGTGCTAGGACCATGCTTATCTAGGAGTAGACTCTATTAAACATCACATGTGCATGTCTGTAGGAGTGCTCGCATGTGACAGAGAGCTTGTAGTTTGTAGTCTTATTTCAGTATGTTCTCTCCACTCAAATGGAATTATGAATTATCCCTCTTTCAAAAAAGTTCTTAATGAACTCAGCATACTGAACTCAGTAATCTCTTCAAGAAGTAATTTTTCTTACTGAACTGTGGATGCACTCAGTGGTGAGTGCTTCCTGGGTAGTGTGTACATGTATGTATGTGTATGTATGTATGTATGCATGCATTATCTCAACTTGATGGTCCATACTTTATTCAGTAAGGTATTCTCCTCTGCACATCCTTCAGTTTCCCTGTAGTAAAGGGACGGTATGTTCTGGAAACAGCTGTTCTTCAGGAACTGAACTTGACAGTTCTCCACTGTAGGAAAAGGCTGGCATCACCAATGTGTTCACTCATAAGTAAATATTTATCAGGAGATATGAACCCTTCTCTTCAGACTTTTTTCTGTAACTTCATTATTATATTATTTGCCCTTTAAAAAGCACACTTGAATATTCAAAGGTAGAATTTCCCCTTGTTGAAAACAAACTTGTTCTCTAGGGTGTCTAAAGGGAAATGAGCTGGGCTGCTTACAGGCAAACTGGGATCAGCATAGCTCACAATTCTCACCATGTTTGCTATAGGGAAATAAGATCACTAAAAGCCAGGCACATCATAGGTCTATAAATTCAGAACTGAGACATGACCATAAAGTCTGAGGAAGCAGGTTTGTACCTTCCTCGTTAGAAACAGTTTCTGGTCCCCTTGTCCCTTAGCAGTCTCTTGCTGTTTCTGTGTTTGCTGTTTGGGGTAGACTTTTGCAATGTTTTTGTTGTATCACATGAGAAAAGCCTGAAGCCTGAAAGCTCCTTGGATCTCTGGAAGCCATCCTGGTACTCACTCAGCTGGTAAAATGGGAATGATGTTAGCATGAAGTGATCTTTTGGAAGTCTGCTGTTGAGAGTAACTGATTACAGAGGCTGACTGTCTGAGGCCTGAAAGAATTTCACGGGGAGCGCCGAGGTCTCGAGATGCTGCCCGGGTCCTTGTGTGCCGTTGTCTGGTGTCTCTCACCCTGTCCGTCAGCATGACCTTACACCTTTTTCTCCTTTCTTTGTTTTGATAGCCAGGCTTCCCTTATCCGCCCCCTCATCACCACTCCGGTCTGATCTCCTCTCCGAGCAACTTTGAGCACATCTATCATATGACTGTCAATTCTGCTGAACAGTTTCTCTCTCCTGATTCCATAAATCCTGAGTACCCCCCGTCCCTGCGCTCTGCCCCCGGTACACCACACTCTGTGACTCTGAGGGTATGCACGGCTGAGGCCAGGGCTAACTTCACTAACCACGTGTGCACCTGCTAACCACCGAAGGGCGCCTTGGGGAATGGGAATGACTGCTCCACCTACTCTTCTGCCGTCTCCTGTTTATCCGCCTCTTCCTCCCCTTCTCAGTCCACTTCTCTTCTTCTGAGGGAAATATGGGGGAACAAAGCGCTTCTGTGAAATTCAAAAGCAGCTTTAGAGTATGATCTTTGTTGGATAGTTTTCCCAGTATGGTATTTTCCATTCTGGGTGCCTTGCTGAAGTAGAAACAAACAAAAACAGCCCCAAACTGGATCTTTATTCTTTTAAAACAAACAGAAAAGGGCTCCCTGAATTTCTGAGTTTTCTATCAGCTCTTTACTGTATAACTGCTTCAGTTCAGGGATGAGATAAAAGTCTGTGTAGAACTTAACCTATAGACCTACAAAAGTCTCCAAAGTAATGCTATAAATATTAGTAAATAACAGGAAAAGTTCTAATGTTAAAGTCAGTTTTTACAAGTCTTTGAGTTGTTGATATGGATTTAATTGCAACCAAAACCCAAGATAAGAAACATTTAAAAAACAAGCAAACAACAATAAAAACCAAAGCTGCTATACCCTGAAGAAGCGTGGCACCTGCTGGTCCTTTCGCCCATCCCCCCTTTGTTGCCATTGCCACGCATTGAAATGTCTGTTAAGCAGAGTATATGCTTAATCAAGTAATATATGCATATGAACTTGAAGGGAAGTTGGCTTTGTGGATATTAAAATATTTGGATTATACCATGCAAACTGTAAATAGTAAAATAGTAATATGGGTTTTTTAAATTTCTAATATAGTAATTTTCCAGTAAGAAAATTAGAGGCTTAAAATCTTATTTTTTTGTTTGTATTAATTACTTTGTATTTTAAATGTCACTAACATTAAATTATAATGCCATCTGAATGTCTTACTTGACAGAATTACTGAAATAAAATCAGCCTTAGTTTGCTTGGCAGCAGGAAGCAGATTCCAAGGAATCCATAGTCAGTCAGGACTTCCCTGTGAGAAAAACTGCTCCCCATAGCTAAGTTGAGTTGTGTCCATCAGTGGGAGTATGCCTCACTCTTCAGCATAGTCTTAACTAGAAAATCCCAAAAATTGGGTTCTTGTTATATTCTAATGAATATTTTATTATCATTTAGTATTTTAGTATTTCAGTATTCAGTCTTAGTTGCTGGCATTTTTGGAAGCTTATTCTCAGTCTTTTGTTCTAGGGTAGTCTTACTTTAGAGAAAAGAACAGCAACCTGTCTTAACTTTGAAGTGCAGCTTCACTCTGGCAGTTTCTGTCTCCAGGGTACCCTTGGCAATGGTCATTCATGTTGCTATGCCTCATAAGGTTGTTCTTGTGTGCAAATGCTAAACTACTGTCTTTGGCTGTCTTCTCTTTAATTCTTTTAATTTTCTTATATATAATAAGGCAAAACATTTTATTTAAACAAATAACACACAGAATTACGTGGACTTTGCAGATCTGGTATAGGAACCAAAACAGCAATGTTGAATTAGGACCAGCTAGCTAGCCAACCTTCAGCTTGGGGACATCTTTGGGTGGCATTGTTGCTTGGATTGTTGGTGCGACCTTCCCTCAGGGTTTCAGGTGTATGGGAAAGTCCAGTGCTACAGACACATCCAGAACCATCACCCTTTGGGGGTAGAGGAATTCATAGTCACATGGTAACTGGGAAGTGAGTCCAGTTCTATACCTTGTTAATCAAGAATGGCAGCTCACAACTGTCTGTAACTCCCATTCCAGATGGTCTGTCACCCTCACACAGACATACAAGCTGTAAAATAAATAAAAATCAATCTTGAAAGGAAGGAAGAGAGACAGAGAGAGAGAACCAGCTAAGGAAACAACACTGGAAACAGTTGTGAACTGTATGTTCCCTGAGCAAGCTGAGCAGGCTAGATCAGCACAAGGCAGGGTGTTTCTGGATGAAGGACTACCTTCCCACAGTGTTCTCTGTTTTTCTCTGTTTCAGGAGCAGGTAAGAGGATGTTCAGTGAAATATATAAAACGTAGCCTACTGGCTTACTGTGTGCCTCGGAGAGAGCAATTGCTTGGCATGCACAAAGCCCTAAGTCCATTCATTCCCCAGTTCCATCCATGTTTGGGGCTTGTCTAGACCAGCCTGGGCTAGGAGAGACACAGTAAAGAGGAGGGAAGGGGAAATGCAGGCTTGACTCAGTTACGTCTTTTTTCTTGCTGAACCTCATAAAGCCTTGAGGTGAGATAGTTCCTGTTGACATTGACTAATGGAATCCTGAGCAAGCCTGGGTCATGCCACAGTAGAGTGAATACCAGCATGGGCTGCATATATGGATGCATTTCTCTAGTGGATTCCCTTAACCTGCCAAAAGAAGGGGGTAGTATTTCCTTGACACCATGTGTGAAAGATTCACTGGTTTTGAAACAGTGGGCAAACTGGTGTAACATTTTAAAATACACTAATTCATTTTGTGTTCTATGGCACTGGAAAGAAGTGTGATAGAGTGGGGGAAACTTAAACTTTTTTTTTAAATGGAAGTGCTGGGAATATGACTTGTTGAGTAAAAGCCTGATGTACAAGCCCTATGACCACTGTCCAGATTCTCAGAACCTATAAAAATGGACGTAATAGCACAAGCCCATGTGCTGGCGAGCCTCGCTAACAGAGTGGGAGAGAGAGACTGTTGCAAACTAGGTGGAAAGACGAGGATGGCACCTGAAGGTTTTCTGACCTCTGTACATGAAAACATACTCTGCACACCACAAATGTGTAAAGATTTAAAAGAAAAATATGGACAGGAAACAGCAAAGTGTTAGTAGTGTCTGGTGAGCTAACAGAATTGGCCACTTTATGGTTTCCGTATTTCCCATATACTCCACCATCTGGGAGTATTCCCTTGACAATGAGGAAAAAGCAAACATTTTTAATGAACTAATTAGTGCTGAAAAAACTGCTGGCTGGTTAATGTGATTTTGATTAGTCTTGGTGGCCTTGACCGCCATGGGATTTGCTGAGTGTAGAAACAAGAAAGTGGGAAATGAAATGGCTCAGCAGCCAAAGGAGCCTGCTGCCAAGCCTGATGACCTGAGTTCAGTTCCCAGGGCCCACATGGTGGAAGGGAGGAAGCAACTCCAAGTGCTATCCCCTGATCTGCACATATGCCTTGCCATGCATATACCTACATGCACACACACACGCGCGCGCACGCGCGCGCACACACACACACACCAGAGACAGACAGACAGACAGACAGACAGACAGACAGACAGACAGACAGACTAGACCCTTTGCCTCTTTGGGGCTGTGCCCACACAAAGAGAAAGCATTGTAAGTGGAGAAAGAAGTTAGGAACATGGCCATGTGGTTTGCCCACTCTAAAATTTGGAAAGTGTATTCAAGTATCTGTACTTTCTGGACCCTTTCCATCTAGCCTGAAGCCCAGTGGTACTCACTGAGCTACCATGTGCAGTGCGAGGTTTCATGACCAGAACTAGAAAGATTCTGAACAACTGGAGCACAGTCATGCAAATGACACGTGGTGTCAGGAAGACTTTTTTTTGTTAGGAGTATAATTTTAATTGACTTTTCTAAAGGGGCTTACTCAGGTTTCTTAAGTAAATACTCTCATCTCTAGTCAAAGATGTTTCCATTATCTGCAAATGTCCATGTAATTCTGCACTCCACTTAACCATATAATATTTTCACAACCAAAAAAAAACTGTTTATTGGTAAGTACTCCTTGAAGGGTGAGAGTCATTTCATGTCAGGGCTTCAAAGTCCTGATGGTGGGAAAGATTGGGTCCCTGTTGCTCCCCACCCTGTATAATTCTGTTCAAGGGCACTTTGTGTCTTGAGAATCAGAGTAAAAGGCAGGATGTCTGTTCAAAACCTGTGTCTTTTCGGCTGAAGACTATGCCTCTCTTGTGTTTTAGAACCCTCGTCCTCAGGAAAGCCGGACAGTATTCAGTGGCTCCGTCAGTATTCCCTCCATCACCAAGTCCCGTCCTGAACCAGGCCGCTCCATGAGTGCCAGCAGTGGCCTGTCTGCACGTAAGTGGCCAGATGGGAAGAAGCTTTTGCCAAGAGGTCACAGTGGGGGAGGTAAAGGTGGAGCTGAGGAGGTGAGACCACAAAGAAAATGTGGCCTTGGGACAGTTGAGCTGCTTGCCCAGGAGCATTTCCTGGTAGAGTTGATCGGGCCCCTTGTCTACCTGAATGGAATTATGTGTTGATGCTCAAGCCGCATGCCTAAGTGTGCAGGGATGTGCACACTCTCAGTCCCTTGTGGGCTGTGGTAGTTCTCTAATGGGGGCTACACATATGGACCGTGGCATCAGCTTTGCATGTGCAGCATGTGCCTTCGGATTGCTAACACCTGGGACCCCAGCAAAGCCTTTCCTCACTCCCAAGCCACTGATGGCTGAGACAAGCTAAGGACACTAAATCCACTTCCCTATGCTAAAGTTTTTCAGTCAGAAAATATATTCATTATTCTATATTCTTGGGTTGCCCTGATACTTATTGTTTAATCAGTAAACATTGATTTCTGTACCTGTTTTGTTTCCAGGCATCATTAGGTTCAGTTGTGCTATATCCATTATTGTATACAGCATAGCAAACTACCCCACAACTTAGAAACAAACTAGTGAACAAGCTGGAGGAGGCAGCACAGGTTTGCAGCAGGAGAATAGCAAGGGTCCAGTCTGGGCCGTGTAACGAGACCCTCACAAGACAAGGCTGGGGGAGGGGATGCTGACTTATTACCTCACGTGGTTTCTGACAAGACAAGGCTGGGGGAGGGGATGCTGACGTATTACCTCACGTGGTTTCTGAGAGTCAGAATGGTTTGAACTCTTTTGTACGGCTGCAGTAAACTAAAAGCCACTCTCCTATGGCTGGAGAATCCAGCCCAAGCTCAATCCTGTGGTTGTAGGAGGCTGAACCTCTGCACTAACTTGGTTGATGGGCTCCATTCTCATGAGGGTAGGCCTTGCTCTATAGCACCAAGTCTGTTTGCACTGACTTCCCCAGAACAAGTGAGCTGAGGGAAAGGGACAGAAACAGAAATGATAGGCAGTCACAAATCACCTAAGGACAGAATGTTGTAGAAAATGTGTCTCTAGAAGATCTTGTGTTTGTGTAAGGTAACCGTCTTTAGAGCCTAGAGACAGCTGTGATGTCCCTGAGTTGCCGTTCACCGTGGTACTCACTGCATGAGTGCATCTCTTCATGGGAGGGGCTGCATGTTGTCTAACCACAGGGAAAGGTGCCGCCTTGGGCATGACCTTAGATGTAAGAGCACTTGAAGACTGTAATTTGCTGTGAGCTCCTAAAATCATCCTGAACCAATATGTAATGCCAATCACAGTGCAAAATCCAGCCAGGTGGGAAAATGGCAGTGACTGTGTTAACCTTTGTGTGTGTGGAAACCAGGTGACTGCTGGTGGATTTAAACCATAGCTCAGGTCACCAGGTCAACAGCTACAGGAGACTGGCCAGTACTCATATTGAATGTGCCTAGTGCCCTCACCCAAAACAGGTAGAGTCAGGTTAATTTTCCTCAGAGTTAGAAGCATATTAATCTATGCAACAAAAATTGTACCTGACCGTTCACACTATACGGTTATGATAAATGTAGCTGTCAAAAGCCCCGCATGGCTCCAGTCTGTTCCAGTGAGCTTTTACCATCACATGAATTTGTGTGGTACTTCAAGAAACAAAAACCCACATTTCTTTCAGGTACTTTGGATTTGTTAGTTAGGATTGTGGGTAATGATGGGGTCTGGGATGACAGAGATCTTAAAGTAGCTGGGGTGAGGTTCAGTGTTGTCAGCATAGAAGTATCTCACTTTCCTGCCAGGGCCCTAATGCCTTCATCAAGCAATCCCTTTGTCAGATCCCCAATTGAGACATTTGTAGAAATATGAACAAAGACATCCCAAGAATTCCAATGGCCATCTGCTGCTTTTTATGTCTCCTACTGGCTTCATATGTCATCCAGCCATCCTGGAAGGACAGCCAGCTAGGAAAGGGATGAGAAATGGAAGAGCTACATTGTCACTTTCTAGAAACAGCCTGGGTCCTCCCAGATCCAGATCCACCATAGCTATGGGATGTGTAACTAGTCTTTTTTTAATTAATTTCTTATTTAAATTGAAAGCAATATTATTTTACAGACCAGTTCCAGTTCCCTCTCCCTCCCACCATCTTCCCCATCCACTTTCAGAGAGAGTGAGGCCTCCCATGGGGAATCATCAAAGTCTGTCACATCATTTGTGGCAGGACCGAGGCCCTCCCCACTGTATCTAGGCTGAGAGAGTATCCCTCCATAGGGAATGGGCTCCACAAGGCCTGTTCATGTGGTAGGGATAAATACTGGTTCCACTGCCAACAGCCCCACAGACTGCCCAAGCACCCCCCAACTGATACCTACATTCAGGGAGCCTAGTTTGGTCTTATGCAGGTTCCCCAACTGTCAGTCTAGAGTCCATGAGCTCCCACTTGTTCAGGTCAGCTGTTTCTGTGGGATTCCCCAATGTGGTCCTGACCCCTTTGCTCATCACTCATCGCTCTCTACAACTGGATTCTAGGAGTTCTGCTCAGTGCTTAGCTGTGGATCTCTGCTTCTGCTTCCATCAGCTACAAGATGAAGGTTCTATGATGGCATTCAAGGTAGTCATCAGTCTTATTATATGGGGGAAGGGCATTGCTTAGATTCTTAGTTGAGGCCATCCTTGTGGATTCCTGGGTATTTCCTAGTGCCAGGTTTCTCATTAAGCTCATAGCAGACATCTATAGAATATTCCATCCAAACACAAAAGAATATACCTTCTTCTCAGCACCCCATGAAACCTTCTCTAAAATCTACCACATACTCATCAACAAAGCAAACATCAACAGATACAAAAAAATTGGAATAACCCCCAGTATCTTATTAGATCACCATGATTTAATGTTAGAATTCAACAACCACACGGATTGCAGAAAGCCTACAAACTCATGGGAATTAACAATGTTCCATTGTATCACCCCTGGGTCAAGGAAAAAATAGACATTAAAGACTTCTTAGAATTCAATGAAAATGAATGCACAACATACTCAAACTTATGGGACACTTTGAAAGTAATGCTAAGAGGAAAGTTCATAGCAGTAAGTGCTCTAGAACCAAAAAAAAAAAAAAAAAAAAAACTCCCCCAGGAGGAGTAGACGACAGCAAATAATCAAATGGAGGGCTGAAATCAATAGAGCAGAAACAAAACAATACAAAGAATCAATGCAATGAAGAGTTGGTTCTTTGAGAAAATTAACAAGATAGGCAAACTTTTATTCAAACTAACCAAAAGGCAAAGAGAGAATATCTAAATTTTTAAAAATCAGTCTTAGGCAAAGAGAGAATATCTAAATTTTTAAAAATCAGTCTTAAACATGGTTTCCATTGTGCCTGTGTCATGGCAAGCTCATAGGGGAGCCTCTTTGCCCTTTAAGAGGGATGCCCCTTACTCCAAGAGGTCCAGGGCCTACCACCTCCTGCTCCTACAGTCAACTCTAGAGCATTCTAGCAGGGGCTGTGTCCAGTAGTGTGAACTCAGTCAGCCAGTGCCATGCATTCCACTCATTCCTAGGAGACCCCTGTGACTATCAAACTACAACAGCCCCCCCTCCTCCTTCTTTAGATTGAGTATTGAGTGTGACTAATCTTTTTATAAAGACCTAAAGTTAGTGTGTTGAGAGATGGTTCAGTGGTTAAGAGCACATACTACTCTTTTTTTTTTTTTTTTTTTTGAGACAGGGTTTCTCTGTATTGTTTTGGAGGCTGTCCTGGAACTCGCTCTGTAGACCAGGCTGGCCTTGAACTCACAGAGATCTGCCTGCCTCTGCCTCCCGAGTGCTGGGATTAAAGACCCCACATCAGGTAGCTCACAACAATCTATAACTCCAGCATAGTTGAAAGTTTCTGTCCTGTCCAGTCCCACAACCCAAATAAACACACAGAGGCTTATATTAATTATAAATAGTTTGACTGATGGCTCAGGCTTCTTACTGACTACCTCTCTCTTAATTATTAACCCATAGTTATTAATCTATGCATCTCTACATGGTCTTGGCGACTGAATAATACCCAGGCCTTTTTCTTCCTCAGTAGCTATATGGCATCTCACTCACAACTCACTCTCTACATTCCTCTTCCCAGAATTCTCCTAGTTTGGTAGCCCCGCCTATACTTCCTGCTTGGCTACATCCTACCTGTCCATTGGCTGAAACAGCCTTACTCATCGACCAATAAGAGAAACATATTCACAGCATACAGAGGGACCTCGAGCATCACTCCAGCCAGCTCCAGGGTGTGCAATGCCCTGGCCTCCTTGGACACCTGCACTCATGTGCGCACCCCAAAGACACACACACAAATAAAAATAAGTTTTAAGTGGATTATCTGTGTATAAATGGATTTTGAGTTCTCTGTTGTTCATGAGTGATGGTGGGGTGAGGAGACTGGAGCAGGGATCCAGAAAAGATACGGCAGGGAGAAGGGAGAGCTGCTCACCCCTTCTGCCTTCGCGCCGTTCTTCATGCAGTGGGTTCTCAAGCCGTAGGCAGGCTGCTTTCCTCATGCATAGGTGAGAAAAATGAGATTGAGAAAGGCAAAAACAACCTAGTTTAGGCACGAAGAGAAGAGATGTGGAAGGCTGGGGGTTTGGATTTTCTGTTGAGAGTGAGAAATGGCAAACAGAGACATCAACTGAACACTCAACTAGGCATTAGGGAAATCAAATAAAAACGACTGCCTTCCATTAGGTTGTAGTCCAGGGAGACCAAAGACCTATGTCAGAGTAAAAAGTGTATTTCCAAAGGAATTTCCCTGCAAGTGAGAACTTTGATAACAGGAGGGGAGGGGTATTACTGTGCCATGCTGTGAGGGGACAGCACTAGGAAGTGGGAGCCACCAGTGGCCTCAGGATCCTAAGTCAGGAATTTGGGTCTGGTGGATCTGGTAAGGACTTCTAGAACACCAGTTTAGAAGCAGCACTGGTAGTCTTTGACAGGGATCCAGTGTGGTGATGCTGTGAGAGGCTTAACCCCAGGGAGGGGAGGGACCGCTGAGGACAGTCTGCCAATGCAGTGTCTTTCCTAACACTAACATGTTTGGTGGTCACAGCTAGACATGGCAGTCATTGGGTGACATTTTTATCTATCAGATTCTTAATGCAAAAGGCATTTATAAAATCAGTAAAATGTTGAAGCAGCCCATCTGTAACTTAAAGTGTCCTTGACCATTACAGACGCTTAGTAAAATAAAAAGTTTTCTTAGGCAGAAACTGAAAACTGGTGGGGACCATGGAGAGCTTCTGCATGGCACTGACAATACTCCAGAGGGTCTTTCTTGTCCTCACTCTTCTCGCTGTCAGTGCTGCTGGTCACCTTGCTGTGTTCCAGCCCCAATGTCCAAGCATTTGGGTGTGCTCTCGGAGAAACTCCTTGGCTGTGAAGTAGGAGTGCTACCTTGTGTTTCCTTTATTTTCTGAGTTTCTGAAAGACCATGTTTGCCTAGGGGCGAGTGTCTGGTGCTGGGAATGCAACCCATCTCTTAGAAACCTACTATGAGTTCCAGCAAGGCACATGCCGTTTGTTACAAGAAAGCCCAATATGTCTGTCGTGTGGCATGCCGAAGGAGCCGGGGTGGAGACACCCAAGGCGGTGTAGCTGGAAGGATTGATTCTGTGGGCTCCACATGGCCAAACATCAGCAGTCCTGCAGCCAGAGGGCAGCAGAAACAACCTTCAGCACTGGGCTTCCTGCCCCTCCTGGGGAGTGCCTTGTCCTCTTGGCAGCCTGTATACTTTATACCAGCGTGACCTCTTCCAAATACATAGCTTTCCCCAACTGTGTTCTATAGGGTCATCGGCCCAGAATGGCAGTGCGCTGAAGAGGGAATTCTCTGGAGGAAGCTACAGCACGAAGCGGCAGCCCATGCCCTCTCCCTCGGAGGGCTCCTTGTCATCGGGAGGCATGGACCAAGGAAGTGACGCCCCCTGCGAGGGACTATGATGGAGAGGTAAATGGGCCATGGACGGCAGCTGCGTGCTTAAGGCCAGTGCATTGTCCAGGCTGATCCTGTCACCTTGCATGTGCCTCTGAAGGGTCAGCAAGGACTGTCACGTGGGTGCAAACTGCGGCTTCCCAGAAGCCCTAAGCCTCTAGTCACTTGTCATGTGTGTGTGTGTCCTCCAATCATCTTACAGAGGGTCTGTCTGCTGACAAGAGGGAAGCCCATGGGTGGGGGTGGGGGTGCTGGACGGGGCCTGGGGCAGCGAATTTCCTTCCTGTTGTCCCTCAACTTCTCACTAGTGCCTTGTTTTACAGGACTCTGATTCTCCAAGGCATTCCACAGCTTCCAACAGCTCCAACCTGAGCAGCCCCCCCAAGCCCCGTTTCACCCCGAAAGACCAAGAGCCTCTCCCTGGAGAGCACAGACCGCGGGAGCTGGGATCCGTGAACCCAGGACCGCGGTGGCCACAGGCAGGGACTCTGCATCCCGACAACGTGCCTGGCAGCAGCGTCGCCTTCCGCACTGCTGCAATAAGGATTCCTCAGCAGCCAGGCCCGCTTCACCACCACTACCCTCCCCCCCCCCCCCGTAGCTTCCGTAGACAGACTGCGCAGACGCAGCGCTAAGAGTAGACAGGTTGTGTTCTCACCATAGTCCTCACGTAGCGCCCAGCAGCCCCATGAGCGTCAGCCCGACTGTTGCCAGGAAATAAATCCTCACGACTCAAAACAATGCATATTTTACTACAATACAGAGTTTAAATACATAAATGTAGAAGTTAAATACTGAATGTATATAGTCAAAGAAGCATCTTGTGTTCAATGAAAGATGGATGCGTATATAAGAAAGATCATTTAATTTAAAGAAATGTGTTGTTTCTTGTCTGTTTCCCAGCTAAGTCATATACAGGGTAGAAAGGCCTCAAGTGACATTTGTAGAGAGAGAGCAAAAGTCCGGTCCCCATGGTGTCTGTCCTCTAGCCTGGGTAGGCTAAGGAATGTTTGGAGATCAGTGCCATTGGTGGGGTGTGACCTGGACACCACAGGTAGCATTGAAGCCACTCCACAGCCACACCCACCTCCCAAGGCATCTTTCTCTAATGATAGATTTGAACCCCCCCCTATATTTTGATATCTCGCACAGATGAATGTGAAAGACAATTCTGTCATCCTCCATCCTTCCCATCATAAAGGGCACAGGGAGAGTCACGGCTTCTGAAGATCATCGAATGGTTTGTGTAGGTGGTTTTTGTCCTGGACAAACCCTGTCCCTCCCTTGTTTTCAGTGAGTCTGTCTGGACTGGGCATAGCTTCCCAGTGATGAGCCCGTGAGTGTGTCTGGACTGGGCATAGCTTCCCAGTGATGAGCCCGTTTGGTTAAGGATGGTTGTGAATGTCCTCATACACTCCTGGGGAAAGGGCTTCTTTCTCCCTCCTAAATCACGTGACCCCTCAGAAGCTCAGGCTTGAACAGCCTTGACCAAATATGCCTTCCCGGTGAGGGGCCTGTGGGCCTGGGGGGTGCTGGCCGCCAGAGACCGCCAGCCAGCTTCCACTCTGCGTATCTGCTGCTGTACTTGTCCAAGGAAGCAGGTGGAGACCAGGACGCCCGTCTCTCGCCATGCATTCCACCAGCTAAGAACCTGGCAAATGGAAATGCAATACGCATGCCAGCACAGAGGCCTGCCACTCTTCCTTCCCCTTCTCCCCACTTGAATCCACACCTAAAATAGATTTCCAGAGTTGCTAACCTGCCTGGCATGCTGCCAGACCCTGTGGCCAGACTCCCGAGGAGGTCAGAGTTCGGGGAGGGGCATGGTGACGGGGTCTTTTTTAAACAGCTTTGACAAACAATCTAGATTCCCTACTGGCTCACTTCGGGTGGGTATTGTGTCATTCTGATCTCAATCGTTTTGCTTTTGGAAAAATATTTGTGTACCTTCAAAACGAAGGTTCAGATCTTGAGTTTGGTCAGAGCCTTTTCATCTGCTTGAACTTCACTCCTTGCCTGACAGCACTGGCTCCTCTCCTCTCTGTCCCCTCCTGTCTTCCCTGTCCTCTTCCCTTCCCTCTCTCTCCTTCCTAGGCAGAAAGCTGACTCTACCCTGAGTCTTTGGTCTGTAGCTTTGACAACCAGCTGTTACTTTTTGTTGCTTACAGTGCTTGTTTGTAAAGGGGCCCTTTAAGAGTCACAGACGAAACTTCCCTACAGGTCAGCCCCGTTGCAGTGAGCCCCTCCCGAGCTCTGCTGTGGATTGGTGAATTCTCCACTGTAGTCATAGATCCAGGCAGGTAGCAGCAGCCCTGGTCCCGAGTGTGGGGTGGGTTCTCCTCATAACCACTGTCTCACTGGACCTACCCCAGCCTTACATGAAGAGCGCTCCTGTCAGAGGCTGGGGGGGGGGGGAAGACAGAAGCCAAGATCCCTCAGAGCAGTGGCCACCGAAGACCAGAGGAAAGGCCTGTGGCCCTGTGAGCGCACTCTCCCTGCCCATGCAAGGTAATTTGAACAAGTGCAGCAGCAGGTATTGATCTCTTTAAGTGAAAAAAATGGCATTCAGAACCATTTCTAGCATAGTGTCTGGGTTAGTACTTGGTGCTATGTCCAGCTGGTTTGCTATTGGCCCTTGGATTCTGGCTCATCTCTTATGTGGGTTTTGGGTGGGTATGCAAATATATATATTTTTTTTGGTTTTGTTTTATTGCCAAAAAACAAAAGCCTTCCTGTCAATGATTGCTAAAGCAGGATTCACTTAAAATATGTATTTTGGGTGCACACTCCCTGTGCTTGGCCACTCACATTCTTTCCCAGCGAGCAGAGCTTTAACACTAAGGTGGGGATAGCTACAAATGGCCAGTTTGACCTTCCAGCAAATTGCTATAGCCAAACTTAAAGGGAGTGCCTGAAATTCCTGCCATTCCCGCCAGCCCTTCCTCCAGCCTCTTCTCATTCATGTTAGACTCCTGTCACTTTGTTTCTTCGTGGCAGCATCTATTTCTAAGAAAAGTGGCTGGCTTGTGTGGAACCTCAGGTATCATTAAGGAAAAGCCAGAGCAAAGGGGCAGACGTCCACTCCCAGATGCAACAACCCACCATGCAGCCGTGGCAGTGACTACAAATTCAAGTCTCCCAGCTCAGAAGACCTAGCTGACACCCCGTCTCCCAGACGTGAGTGTGACAGCCCTGCTGCAGAGCATACTTTGCCCGAGACCACCTTTCCAGGCACACATGGCCCTGCCTTACCCCTTTCCAACCTGGTGTGGCTGCATAGCATCTCATGTCACCCTTAAGTGGCTCGTTCCTTGTTGAAGCCGTCATTCTTTGCAAGTTCCCTGTGGAGCCCTGCTGGCTGCGGTGCCGTCTCTCCTGCCAGCTCCAGCACCACATTCTCCTGTCCCAGGGGCAGTGTCACACAGGGCCCTGCTACAGTCAGCCTTGATGCCATTGACAACAAAGTGACCTGCATTTTATTTGATAGTGTATCATTTATTTTATATTTTTAGGATTTTTTTCTCATTGTAATATTACTGTACAGTTTTGCATGGCCTGGGTGTAATCATTTTTGTTTAGACTATGATGCTGATCGGTATGTGTGGAAGGAAGGTACTGCTTTGGCCTCTTAACCACTCATTTGGTTTGGTTTCATCCCTTGATGTCTTAGGGAACTTCCTGAGAGAGTGTCTGCTACCAGACTATGGCGTGGGTTCTTTTGCACAGAATTACTTAAGGTGGGATAGTCAAAATGTAACAAAGAATTTCTCACCAATATTTTATGTTGGTGTCACCTAATTAACCAGACTTTGATGTACCGCAATAAAATAAGGAACTGTTAGGATTGAGTATTTTGTCTTTTTCTTTTCCTATGTGAAGAGTGTGAGGAGTTCCTGGCTCGCTGGTCCTTCCTCTGGACCTCTTCTTTATATACCTAGAGGACACAGGTCAGCTCACCCCTGGGGTGAGACTTTTTAAGTTGCCCTCAGAGCTCAGGTAAGAATAACATTCAAATCCCTGGAAGTGTTCAGCTCCCTTCCTCTAATTAAAACGTCTTAGTCATTGCTTTAGGCTGTTTGGCACAAGATCCATGGTTGTCTAGTGTGAAGCTGGGAGCAACTTGATTCTGCCTGTGTAAGCAGCCACTTGGAAGCGTTGGATCCATTTTGGTGAATTAGAATGCTGAAGGTAGCACAAAGGTAAGGCTGGGGGATCTTACCAGAAATGCCAAAACTGCAACTGAAGTCACTCAGGCCCCTGTAGCCACTGGGACTCTTGGAGCCCCACAAGTCACCCTGGGCCTCAAAGGCAGCATCTGTGGAGACTAGGGCTTGGCAAACGTTCCACAAAGATGGTCTGTGACACATGGACAAGAGCACCACATGCAAGTAAAACTTCTTAAAAGGCACAGCGAGCCTTTGGTGCAGGGGTGGTAGTTAGCCAGGCCCCTAGTCAGGACAGACTTAGTACAGCCTGCTGTTCTGTAGCCACTGAACCCACAAGCTTGTGTTCTCATACTTGTGATCCTAATTACTTGGCAGGCTGAGCAGGAGGGTTACAAGTTCAAGGCTTGCCTGAAAAACTTATTGAGAGCCTAAGTAAAAGGGCTGAAGGTACTACTCAGTGTATATACTTGCTTCACACCTCAAGGCATTAGGCTCAATCCCCAGTGCCAACGAAGCCTTGAGGTCAGAGACACAAACACAATAAAATTCTTAGTGTCTGTCTGAGTTGCCACGTTCTGTCCCCACCAAGAGCAACAGATTTTCTAGATCAGAAACCTTTACAGGTAAAGACCGCCACCTCATTCCCAGGGCTCACAGAACACACTTCTTTATTGAATGCAAGGGTGTGAACATATGATTATAAGACATACAAACAAACAGAGCCTGTGTTGACCCCTGGTGCGGGGTAGTAACTACCTCTCCTGGAACATGCTGGAGCCCGCTGCTCCTCCAATGACAGCCCTGCCTTGCTCTTGAAAAGGGTTAGTTGTCCATGCTGAGATCCAGCTAGGGTGGCTGCCCTACTGTCCTGAGCTAGCTCCAGGCCACAGGGTGGGGTGGCAATGGGCAGGGACACACGCTCACCCAGAAACACACAAAGCTTCATTCTACATGGCCAACTAGACCCCAAAGGTTGCTAGGCCGGCTTTAGTCTTATGTTGCTCTGTGTTCCTGGTGGACATCCACAGCAGGAAGACATCCACAGCAGGGAGGAGATGGCACAAGAAGCCTGCCGTTTGTCTGGACGGTACAGAAGCAAGCGGGGTCTCTGCACTGCTCACTTCCTACCCATGGAGGCTGGGGCTCCTGCTCAACATCCTCCCTCTGCTTGGCTGAGGGCACGGCCCCTAGTTAGCCTGGCCCACGCCTAGTCTACTGCAGCCCAGACTTCATCCTGCAGTAGTTGCTGTAGGCTTCCTCAAACATGGTCTTGCAGGAGAAGCGGGCCTTCAGCTTGGAGCAGATGAGGAACGAGCCGCCCATCTTGCGGTGTAGCGAGTAGGTCTCCTCGGGTGGAGGGATGAGGCGGTGCTTCAGCATAACGGGGATCAGGTTGTGGATCTTCTCAGTGGTGCTCTGGGTGCCAAAGTCAAAGGGCTCTTCTGAAGCAAAGGCTTCCCCCAGGATGAGGATGGCATCCAGGTGGGCATCCTCCATGGCCTACATCAAGACGAAGGGCAGAGGTGAGTGGTCAGCAGCCCCCAGCTCCAGGCCTACCATAGTTTCTAATCTTAGACCAACTCCTTCAGTCTGGAGGATGTCAGAGAAGCAGTGACAGGATGGTTTTGGCTTTAACCAATAAATGGTATTAGGTACAACTCCAACCCTCAACAGCCAGGCAGACACAAGACCACAGAGCAGAGGTCTTCACTCCCACACCGTTCATTCCTGTCTTTCTACACAATAGGCGGGGCCTGGCTCCTATGAGGAGAGCTGTGGGAGCCGGCCTAGTTCTTAGCACACAGCAAGTCACCAGCCAGGCACAGGACACATGACAACTGTCACCAGCAGGGCACTGGAGAGGCAAGGGGCACCCAGGTGGGGATAAATCAAGCCAGCTGCCCACAGGAAGCAGGAGATCAGCTTGGTATGCACAGCCATGCTAGCAGCAGGTGTGAACCCAGGTCAGCCAGCGTCTGCTCCCAGGTAGGTAGTGGGTGGAGGCTCTAAAGGCCTGGGATTCCCTGCCCGCCCAAGCAAGCCACCCCCTGCCTCCTTGCCACCAGGGTGGGCAGGTGGCACAGAGTGGTCATACCCTAAGCCAAACTGTTGTGACCTACCCTCCACCCTTCCCACAGAGTGCTGAGTTTCAAACACTGGGCATAAGGAGGCCTCCTAGAGCAGCTGGGGCTTAGGCACCAAGGGAAGACAGCCATGCCTACAGAGAGAGCTGAGCCTGGGTGGTTCACTCACCTTGACCTCGTAGCCAGTGAGGAATTTCATCTCTATGGATTTCTTCAGCACTGCCTCCCTGTCCTGGTCAGCAGCAGCCCGGATGACCTGGATAGGACAGAGAGGCTCCTGCCCTATACCAACCCTCTTGTGTGCCGGCCGACCCTTGGCCTGGGACCCACAGCCAGCTAGGTGAACCTGACAGGCTGTGGTCAGCTCCAGGAGGCTCTCCCACGCTTTCAATCCCCAGAATTGGCTCTTGGCCTCAGAAACACACTGGCCTTACCTGGATGTAGAGATCGGTGAAGGATCTGTCATATTCCCGGGTTGCCCCAAAGTCCAGGAGAGCCACCTACAGATGGAGATGCAACACTGAGGGTCTGCCCTACGCCTCTTGTGAGCCTCTATAGAGCAGCCAGGAGGACCACTGCAGAGTCTCAGCCCCAGGCTTCTGCTGAGACCTTCATGTGGGGCTCGGCTGGGGCTTACCTTGTGCTGCTGAGGGTCATAAAAGAAATTGGACCAGTTGGGGTCAGTCTGCATCACATGGAACTCAAACAGCTCCCTCAGGCACAGCACCAAAATGTTATAGCAGATCTGGGGACAGGGTAGGAACCTGCGTCAGGCAGCACAGACTGCCTAGTGACCTCCAAAGTCTTTGCCCGACCCAAAAGAAGGATGCAGTCAGTCATCACCCCTTGTCCAACCTCCCCAGGGAGGGCTTAGGGTCTCTGTTCACACCATTAGGTGCCCAGCACAACAGCTCAGTTTGAGGGTACCTCATTCCGGACTTCCTGGCTCAACCCTTCTGCCTGGTCCAAGGGGAAGCCTGTTATTAGCTCAGTGGTCAGCACGTGGGGACTGCACAGCTCATCTACAATCTCAGGCACATAGAAGAAGGGGTGATCCTTCAGCAGCTCCCTGTGTAGAGAAGGAACTCACATTCAGTCTGAGCCCTCCACAACGCCCCAAATGGACAGCCCTTTAGGGGAAACCTACTCTGCACCCAGAGCCATCCATCCTTAGAAACAGAGAAGCCTGCCCACTCCAGTGCCCCTCACCCTCCTGAGGGCCCCATAAGAGCCATACCTGAACTTCTTGGCATAGGCAGCTTCACGTTGGTAGTCACACTCAAGGACAAGCTCCCGCCTCAGCACCTCAATCAGGTGCTCAGGGAACAGGCCTGTGCCAGAAAGGGGCATCAGGAGGGATGGGGGCTCTGCAGGGCTTTCCCCTGCATTCCCAGAACCCGACCCGCCCACCTCGTGCCTGCAGCCCAGCCTGACCTTCTGGAAGCATGTTACTCATGTTTAGCACAGCCATGAGGTTGTTGACGTCACTGTTAATGCTCTGGGCCACACCAGGGTACTGAGAGGAGGGAATGGGAGTGACTGGGGAGGCAGCAAGACAGGTTGTCCTGTCTGTTAGCTTCCCAGCAACTTGTGGCCTGACCCTTGGATGCCAAGACTAAAACAAGGGTGCCACGACCTGACCTCTCACCACCCTGCTCCCATTTCTCCTTACTCTAACCCCAGAAAAAGCCCTGGGTTCCAGCCCAGGCCCCAAAGGCCATCCTGCACCAAGACTGCTGGGAAACAGCTCCATCCCCCACCCCCTCACTGAACAAACACTTGCCCAGCCCCAGGTGCTTAGGACGGAGATCAGTGTCTTAGGAGACACGGGAAGGCCCCACCCTCTGAAACTCTGTGAGGACAGGACACAGCACACAGGGCCATCTACCTGGATCTTCATGGCCACCTCACGGCCGCCCTTCAGGCGGGCCAGGTGCACCTGCCCTATGGAGGCAGCTGCAAAGGGCCGCTCCTCAAAGTACTCCAGCTTGTCTCTCCAGTGGGGACCCAGGTCATTGTTGAGGGTTTTCTGGAAAGAGGTCAGGGAAGACAGCCTGATTATCTGGGGTACCCTGATATGCACCCAGCTTGCCTCCACAGACTGGTCCTTAGATCCCCAGGGTCAAGCTATTTCCCCATCTCCTGCAAACCTCACCGTCATCTGTTTCAGCGGCATGAAGTCAGCACTTTGCCGAACCCGCTCGAAGATCTTGGCCAGGTGAGGGTTGATGAAGGCATCATCTGGGAGACAAGAGAGGTCAGAGCGGGGCTTCCACTAGGGAGGGATGTACACAGGCCAATAGGACTGTCTAGGTACCACTGACAGTGTGGTCTCCTGGGTAGGGCAGGGCCACCAGACATGGCCCTCCCTCACCCTAGGCCCTGAAGCTCAGACACAATGACAGACTCAGCCTCAGCCTCCTCCTGGCACACAGACTCCAGACTGGGACTCTAGTGGGGGCTGGGGTCCTCTGTGCTGAGACAGGCACACTGCTAAAGTGTCAACCAAGGCAAGACACAGCCTTTGTGTATGGCTCACTGAAGCCCCCTCCCCCCAGAAGAGCAGCCAGGAGGCCTGAACTCATACCTAT